TCTTAAATATACATCCTTAGCACTTTTTTCTTACCAAAAGTTTTATCTTTTATGATTCATACAGATGATCGACTACATTAAATCATATTAATTTAAAAGATGTAGCCGGATCATTTCTCTCCATGCCACCGGTTTTATTAAGAATTAAATGAAAATTTTCATAATTCTAGTTGATTAAAATATATAATAAAAATATTTGTTATATTTATTATTGTTATGGACGATAATTATAACTACTTTGTGGAGAAAAATTAAATATTTAAAAATTATTTTAAGACATAACTAATACTTAAGATGAAAAATATTTTTTATGTAAAAAATAAAGTTAAATTTTGAGAAAAAATGATGTATAATTAATAATATAAAATAACTATTTAATAATTATAAAGCTATGTATCACAAAAAAAAAGATGAAAATGTTTTCACATTTTTAAAATATTTATATTTAAAATATAAAAATATATTTTTCATGAAATTTTACTTTTAAATGTTAATATATCTTGCATGTTGAATGGAAATTGAAATACAACGAATCGAATCATGTACATTATTTGGTATGAATTATTTTAATTTAATCTAAAATTTTAAACTTGGGTAATAATAAATATATTTATGATAAATATTTATAAAAAAAATTCACTCATAGTGGTTATACTTAAAATATTTTAATTTTAAAAAAACTAAAATATGAATTAATTTTTCAACTACAACAAAAGTGAATAAATAATTTTTTAGAATAATGATTTTCTTTTCTCTCTGCTTTATCAATTTGTACGCTACCAAGGAAAGTGTGAGGATTGCCACTACGCTTTGTGTCTTATTTAACAAATTGATACCAAAAGTTGTCTAAGGATAAATAATGAGTGTGTCATTCTGTCCATATCTTATCGTAAGTACAGAAATGCTAAAACTAAAGCATCCTCTCCATTTGGTTTCAGATTTATTCATTTCATATTTATAATTTTTTTTTAAATAGTTATCATTTATTAATAACATTATATGATATGAACATGTTACATTACTTAATATCTTGAAATGGTCGCTTTTTATATAATAGGATTATAGATTAGATATACGTTTATTGTCTTATAGTGGCAACAAAATTATTTTAAAAAAAATTAAAGTACCAAAATTAAATATAGTTATATTTATATAAATTTTTATTTTATTTAAATTTTAATATTCAATAATTTCAAAATTTTAGTTTTTATAATCTTAAGTAAAGTTTGTTTTAATTTATTTAAGCTTTAGTTATAAGTTAGAGGAAATTTAAATGAAAAAAAAAATCAAATTTGAATTTTTATAATAAATTCATTTATTTATAAAATATATATTGTTAGAATTATTTCATGCACTTTAAACGTGTAACATCCTACACTTTGATTTAAACAAAGTAGAGTTTATTAAAGTATAATTGGAATATATTTAGATAAAATTTATATTTAAAAAAAATTTAAGACAAAATGTGAATAGTGCTGTATGAACAGTGTATAAATAGTAAAATTACGTACAAGCCGTATATGAACAGTAAAATCACGTATGTATAGTGACTGTTGACGTCGTCAGTGACATCATCTTGACGTCATGACTGACATCACATACGCATACAGTTCACTTACAATCCGTATACAATACTGGTGTACAGTGACCGCAAACAATGTTTCCGACATGAACAGTAAGACGATAAACAATGTTTCTAGTCATGACAATAATTCTGATTATAAACAGTGAATTTCAAAAATTTTCTATAAAAAAAAGGTTTCGCATGAAAATTTTATTTCTTCACTTCTATACAAGGTTCTCAAAGGTTCTATGGCTATATCTCACAATTTTCTCTCATACTAAACCCTTCTAAACTTATATTTCTCTTCAGATATATGATTATACATCTGTTCTAAAGGATTTCAAGTAAATTTTTCTAAGTTTGAAGTTAAATTTACCATTTGTTTCTCTTCTTCTTCATTTTCATAAAGATTTTTATGGTATTCTTAGAAAAAACTACGTGCTAAAGTTAAATCTTCGGTTAAATCTTTGTAAAAGCTCTGTTTTGATGTAAAAGGGACTCTACTTTATTATTTTGTTATGTTATTACTTGTATTCTCATAGATCTTGTCGTGTATGTGACTATATGTGGAATAATTCTTATTTTATAAAAAAAAATAATCGGTTAAAAATGAGAATAATTGGTTGTTTATGTAATTTTATGATGAATACATGGTAAAAATGTGATATTATGTTCAAATAGTGCATGGTAAGGTATATTGAGGATGATTAATATGATTTTATGACCTTAGAAAAACTTACTTGAAATCCTTTAGAACAGACATATAATCACATATCTGAAGAGAAATAGAAGTTTAGAAGGGTTTAGTATGAGAGAAAATTGTGAGATATAGGCTTAAAACCTTTGAGAACCTTAGATAGGAGTGAAGAAATGAAAATCTCATGTGAAACCCTTTTTTTATAGAAAATTTTCAAAAATCACTGTTCACCGTAGAAATTACTCTTTATTGCAGGAAACATTGTTCCTCGTCTTACTGTTTATGTCAGAAACATTGTTCGCGGCCACTGTTCATATCAGAAACACTGTGCACACGTACTGTACGCGTTCATGACGTCAACCATGACGTCAAGATGATGCCACTAATGACGTTAGCGATCACTGTACATACGTGATTTTACTGTTCATACACGGTTTGTACGCAGTTTTACTGTTCATACGCGATTTTATTGTTCATTGATACTGTTCATCAGCACTGTTTGCATTTTTTTAAAATAAAATTTCTATCCAAATCTATTTCAATTATACTTTAATAAACCTCATTTTATTTAAATCAAAGTGTGGGATGTTAGAAAAAGACTTGTCCTTTATTGCATAAATTTAAAGAAACAATTTTAAAAAATATTTACACTCTTTAAGAATAGCTTTAATGAAAATACTTATAAGTTACTTGTTTTACTTTGTTTTAATATGATATAAGAAAGAAAACTAAAATTTTAAAATATAATTATATGTAAGAGTAATCTTTTAATATGTAAACTCAATATAAAAAATACAAAGTTTTTCACACAAAAGAATAATTTTACTTCTTTTTGCTTTTTAAGATTTTCACTAACAGGTGAAGAATTTTCCTCTTTTCTATAAACACCTCTAAGAAAAAACCTTTATCGGTATATTTAAGAAATATAAATATTTAATTATATTATTTTTATAAATATTAATTTTATATTAATAAAAATTTATTTGTCATACTTTTATGAATATATTCTTTAACGCTCTATTTTAGAATGTTAAACGAGAATGAAAAACATTTAACTTTTAGTTTTGTTTTAGCCTTTTTATAGATAAAAAATTAAAATTAATAGATAGTATAATGAAAATAAATCTAAAAATTGATATTTTTATTTTTTAAGATATCTCAATCTTTTCGATAACAGAAAAAAGGTGTAAGCCAGCTAGCGAATAATTTACAAGATTTATGTGACAGTGTACATGTAAGGATTAAAACACAATCTTGGATTTATCCTGAAAATCTATCTGGCTCTCATAGATCGCACATTAATTCGACAGAGAACATTATTATAGACTCTGTTTGTTTAAAGTTTTTTGAAAACAAAATTTTAAATTATTTAAATTTGTTTTTTGCATGCATGACTAAACATATGATAAAAATAAAATAAAATGTATTATTTTATATGTAAAATGCTTTTAAATATGATGACATGATTTAATTGACAACTTTTTAATGACACATTCAACAAATATATATTGTATTCAATGACTATTTTATAAATGATTTGGATGTGGAGCTATTGACATTTGCAAATACTTTAATTTTCGCACTTTTTAATTACTTGTATCTTCAATAACTTAAGATATTTTGTATTAGCTTCTATATTTATTAACTCTAATGTTTTTAGTTATCGGAGCATAAATATAGTGATAAGTCTAAGAATTCAATGTGGGAGCTTGTCATAATAAAAGTAAATTTACGATGAGAAACAAATTGAAATAATACATAATTTATTAGAAATTGTGCTGTTAGCATCTTTTGATACCGTGTTTGTTTGATTATTGCATCATTAGAAATTGTTCCATCAGAATTTTGAATTAACGTTATCTACCATTGATAAACATCAAGGGTAAGAGCAATCCCTAGCCAGGAAGATTCTGCCCTAACATCATCGTAACTTGCATTAGATAATGTTTTAGTGATCCAACTAATTACCGTAACTTGCATCTTACCCAAACTTCATACAGTGGATCTCATTAAAGAAATTATCATGGAATTTTAAATAATAAAGAAGAATAATCGAATTCATATATCATTTATAAATAATTATCGGGAACAGTAAATAAGAAAATAAACAAACCACTAATTTAACCTGCCACGTAATTTATACAGAAACTTTTATAGCTGGTGTCGTTAAACCCAAATTATTGGGCGTGTGGATTAATTTACAAAGGTAAATTCTTTTAATAACTAATTATATTTATAAATAATTATATGATAATTGATTATAAAAAATAAATATTATGTTAATTCAAACATGGTAAGTAAGAAGTAATGTAAAACAATAATGCATAAAATTTAATTTTATATTTAAAATGATAAATTAATCAAAAAATAAACTGATAACTTTTAATTATAAACTTCAAAATTGTTTATTATTTAAATTATTTAAAATTAATAAAGAAATATAAATGAAAATTTCAAAATTACTAAACAAGATTAAATAGTATTTGATGAAACTTTTTTCAAAAAATAATCATTTAATCTCTCCTAGATAGAATAATATGGGAAAACTAAAGCATATTTTGTTATACGATTGGTAGGGCGGACTAAATAATTGCAGACGCACATGCATAGGAAACAATGTCGGATATAATTCGTTTAAAATAATAGCGAAAATTGAAGAGCATAGAGTCCATACTCTATTTAAGAGCATTCTGAGAGTTCCCATTCCGCAAAGCAAGCTAGGGTTTGAGCTAGCTAGCAATGGCTTCCACCATGAAGTTCACCCTTTTCTCTGTGCTCACACTCCTCTCCCTCCAAGCAGTAGTCTCCATTACCCCAGTACTGCAGCTTCAACATCCACTAGACCCTTTAACCCCACAAGAGATAACTCTTGTCCAAACCATAGTCGTAAACAAGTACCCCACCTCAAAGAATAGACTGAACTTCCACTACATTGCCCTAGATGAACCAGAAAAGGATGCCATCCTCAGATGGGAATCCACCAAACCAAATATTGTAACAGTCCCTCGCAAAGCCTTCGTCATTACTATTATCAATAGCCAAACCCACGAGATCTTAATTGATCTAAGGGCTAGGCGCATTCTCTCTGACAATGTTCACACCGGGAGTGGTTTCCCTACCCTATCCGTTGAGGAGCAAAACGTTGCCATAGAACTGCCAATGAAATATGGTCCATTCATTGATTCAGTGAAGAAGAGAGGGTTGAACCTCTCTGAGGTGGTGTGCTCTACTTTCACCATGGGGTGGTTTGGAGAAGTGAAGAATAGGAGGACAGTGAGGGTGGAATGTTTCATGAAAGAAAGCACTCCCAATATATGGGTGAGGCCTATTAGTGGACTCACAATAGTGGTTGATCTCGAGTTGATGAAGATTGTTGAGTACCATGACGGTGGTATTATTCCAGTGCCAACAGCCGAAAAGACTGAATACCGACTTTCGCATCAGAACCCACCATTCGGTCCAAAACAGCAGAGTCTTGCAACCCATCAACCAGAGGGTTCAGGGATCAATATCACTGGTCACAGTGTTAGGTAACGTTCTTTCTCATTTATTTGCTTTGTTATCTTGTTGCATTCGGTAATGTGCTCTGTTGTATTTCTCACTGCATTGGCCATGCATGGTTTGATATTTTGTGTTTGTTCAGCTGGGCCAACTGGAAGTTCCATATAGGATTTGATCCACGAGCTGGGCTTGTAATATCTCTTGCATCCATTTATGATTTGGAGAAGCACAAGTCCCGTCGAGTATTATACAAAGGCTACATTTCTGAGCTTTTCGTGCCATATCAAGACCCAACAGATGATTTTTACTATAAGACTTTCTTTGATTCTGGAGAGTTTGGGTTTGGTCTCTCTACGGTCTCATTGGTACCCAACCGAGATTGCCCATCTAATGCTAAGTTCTTAGATGTATATGTTCACAACGCCGATGGTAGTCCAAGACTCATTGAGAAAGCAGTCTGTGTGTTTGAACAATATGGCAATATCATGTGGCGTCACACCGAAGCTGGCATTCCCACTATGAAACCGGTAAAATTCCTTACTACACGTGGGAATTAATATGATCTCTTATTCAATTATCACATCCCACGTTCGTTTTTTATTTTATTATTTTCATTGTAATTTTTTCCGCGAATAAACTTTTTTAACATGACTTTTGACAGTTCGAAGAATCTAGAACGGAAGTCAACTTAGTTGTAAGGACTGTTGTTACTGTCGGCAACTACGATAATATTATAGATTGGGAGTTTAAAGCAAGTGGCTCGATCAAGCCCGCGGTATGTATACTATTTTTTTTCGTTTTTCTTTTAATATATGGTTCTTGCAACAATATGCTATTATTTCTTTTTTCATCAACAATATATATGCAGAGAGAGACTATAAAAGTAGGCCGAAATTTTGTAATTAAATAATTTTCGATGTTATTGAGATAATATTTAACACTTTTTAAGCGATATCACACAAAATTTATATCAAATTCTTTAGGTTATTATCATTAAATTTTAATAATAAAATAATAACATATGAATATTTTTAAATTATCTATATCTATATTTTATAGAAGTTATTTAATGTTAAACTAAAAAACCATTTATGAATTATCATTTAATTTAAGAACTCAATAATAAAAAATTTATCCTGTACTCAACTTTAAATTGTTTTATTCATGGGTATGGTCTAGCAAAAATTGTATTTTTCTTGCGAATACGCAGTATAATGCTGCATAAACAATTTTTACTTTTTTAGACTGGCCCAAGGCGTGGGCCCCATGTGGTCTAGTCCCAAACCTCAAAGTACTATGCCACCATGATTACTTGAACTGTACGTACTGGATGATTTTTCGATATTGATGTAAAAAATTCCAAATTTGATTTTTTTATAACCCAAATTCAAAATTTTAAAATTAGTACCATTTAATAATTAAGTAACGTGTTTTAGAAACATTCTTTGTATGCTTCAACAGATAGCACTGTCGGGTATATTGGAAGTAAAGGGAGTGGATATTAAGCATAAGAATGAGATTAAGAGTGACCAACATGGTACCTTGGTATCAACAAATAGCATTGGTGTTTATCATGACCACTTCTACATTTACCATCTTGACCTTGATATTGATGGACAAGAAAACTCTTTTGAGAAGACCAATTTGAAGACTGTAAGAGTCACAGATGGAAGTTCAAAGAGAAAGAGCTACTGGACAGTTGAGACTGAAACTGCTAATACTGAATCCGATGCAAAGATCATACTTGGGTCAAGCCCATCTGAGCTTTCAGTGGTAAATCCTAACAAAAAAACGGCTGTTGGAAATGATGTTGGATACCGTTTGATTCCAGCAATCCCAGCTCATCCTCTTTTAACGGAAGATGATTATCCACAAATTCGTGGTGCTTTTACCAATTATAATGTGTGGGTCACCCCTTACAATAGGAATGAGAGATGGGCTGGTGGGCTCTATGTTGATCACACCATTGGAGATGATAATTTAGCTGTTTGGACCAAAAAGTAAGATAAATTCTTCTTCTTTCATGGACTTGAAGTTAATTTTGAACTTCCAAAATATAATTTTTTAGGTCTTGACATTGTCCGATTGATGTTACCAACTTACATTTTGAATTGGAAAAAAATTTCAGGAATAGGGACATTAAGAACAAAGACATTGTGCTGTGGCACGTAGTTGGAATTCATCATGTTCCAGCCCAGGAAGACTTCCCGATAATGCCATTATTGAGCACTGCATTTGAGCTAAGGCCAACCAATTTTTTTGAGAGGAATCCAGTCCTTAACACCCTTTCTCCAGAGGATGGTAAATGGGTGGGTTGCCCCAAGTGAAACAAGCCATGCTGTTAGATTTGCATTAGCATGCGCCTATTTGCACGTTACTCCGAGTCTAATGCAACCACGTTGCTGTCTGGGAAGTGTGAAATGTTGTTTTTAGTTTACTGCATGTCGTAGAATAAAGATGAAATGTATCGCTGCCCAACCAATTTTATTATATCAATGAGAATTAAGTTTGCCTTCTGTTTACCCTCGTGTTTACTTTGTTCCTTAATTAACTTCATATGTTTAGCTAGTTATATTATTATAAAGCATTTATTTCATTATTTTAATTTTTATATAAAATTGTCGTTGGTAATTACTTTTTAATAATTAAAAAGTTAAAAAGAGTAATTATAACTCTTAATACATATTTTGAAGGGCATTTTATACCGAAAATCTTCTTCTTTAAATAATTTTTCACTATTTCTTAGTGCTTATATTTATTCTAGTTTATCTTTTCACTATGTATTCGTTTATTATAACACTTATTTTTAAACATTTCAAAACCATAAACAAGTTTCATAAATTTTACATCATCTTTTTAATTTGCTCTCAGTTGTTTTGTTTCATCTTAATCAAAGACTCGGGAATTTTTTTCAATTGCTTATGAATTTCATCCGATCAATATTTAGTCTCGCTTTGAGTGGTCCAAGTTTGTTTTATTTAATATCTTTCGATATCACATCCCATGTATATCTTAAAAAACGACATGATTGTTTCGTAAATTGAGTATAAGTTAGTATGTTCATTTTTTATATATAAAAAAAAATTTGTTGCTCAGAAACAGATTTTTGACGTGATTAACAGAAATCACCTATTAAGATTAAAAAAAAAAAACACATTGTTCAGTACGCTGATTCCAATTGAAAAGGAACATCTTGGGCATTTGGTCTAGTGGTATGATTCTTGCTTTGGGTGCGAGAGGTCCCGAGTTCGATTCTCGGAATGCCCCTTTTGTTTTTTTACTTCTTTTTAAAGAAGCATTTCTGAATAAGCGCCTTCAACTCATATGATTTTTAAAAGAGTTACAATTAATTATTGAATTTAACTTTGATACATATCTCAATGAAATTCTCAATCATTCTCATATTCACAAATGAAATAAACGAAACAAATTGAAAAATAGAACAAGATATAATTCTTCCTGGAAGGGAGTATTCATACATGCCACGAGAAACTGAAACTCATACTCTTCCAATTCTTGGCGGAATAATTTCCGAAATCCCAACATGGATAACTCCTGTGCATAACAGCTGTGTTGCGCTTACTATTATAGTGATCGTTTCTAAGGTGCGCTGGGGAAAAAAAGGAAAAAATAATGAATATTTTCTTTATGATCCAATACGCAGCTACTCTGCTCTATTTTAAACTTTTTTGTAACTAATAAGTAAAAGCTTGTTAGTAACCAAACAGGCAGTCCTTAAAAAATAAAGCTGGACTCTTGACAATAGTTGAGTAATTAGTTATTGTCGACGATGGTCACTTTCTCAATTACAATTGGAATTCTAACAATGATGCAAAGCTTACCAGGTTTGAATCCGTCCAGCCAAGTTCAATCTCTTTGCATGCAAATCTGCATGAAAAGAAGCAGTAGTCATGTATCATTTAATGTGTCTTGTTACAATAAATGGTAGAGAAATTTGATGCAAAAAAAAATTAATATGAAAAGGAAAATGGAGGATAAGGCTTACCCCATGGCTAGTAGAGTGAGTGCCCATGTAGTCAATGAAGACATGGCTGCTGCATGTATGTTGGGAGCATTCCATTGGAAAATGTTATGCAATCCAGTGAGTGAGGTGGTGCACCCCACAACACCCACAATGAGAGAGAATATTATGAAGAAACCAGTTGTCATGTTTCCCATTGGGAAGTATATTGGAAATATGTGAACAGGAAGGGACAAAACAGATGCTGCAAATGCACACCCAAGTCAACAAACCATATGATTCAAGTTGAAAGCATCGCTTTTTATCTATTAATTTGATTATTTTTGTGATGAAAAACCACTCCAATTACCTGTTTCACCAGATCTTTGAATCCCATGATTCACTGCCCAAGAAGCAATTACAAGCACAATGAAGTATAACACTAGATTCAGTGTCAATAGGATGAAGGCCACTGATTTGGATCCTCCAGAAGCCATATGCCCCTCGAACCTCAAACCTCAAAAAATTAAAGCAAAACCTGTACTTGGTTGTCCTTGTGGAGCTTGAATGTTGACATATATAAGCCAAGTCTAGTTACCTGAATATTGATTACTAGGAAAGGTTGTCCAGCAATATGGTTCTTCTTTGCTGTCACCATTGAAAAGAAGTTTCTTCAATGCAAAGGAATGGTTTGTATTCTTTGATCATTATCTGGTTTGCCCCATGAAGGGGAAAGGAATTCCCTTTCCTATAATATCCTGTGAGCATATTGAGGTAGCATAGAGGGGGCAAAAAAGCTTTATCTATTTAGATCATTGATAAATGCTTTTACCGGGAATCAATATCCCACTTTAAGTATAGATCAAACAAAAAGTGAAGATAATCCATGTTCATCGTACAGTCTGAAGATTATAAGTTTTATTGAGTTGAGATTAAACAAAAAGTAGTAATTGAAATTTTGAATGCCTTCTACTTCTGAGGTATATAAAACATCTGTCAGTTACTTTGAGGAAACAAGAAATCTGCGGGAAACAACGAGTACATAAATCAGATGTGTGCATTAGATGAAAGAATAAATGGAGTACAAAACTCAAGTGCATTACATTAAATATTTTGTGTGTGTTTTTAATTTAAGGCTTAATTAAGATTTTGTTTTGGTAATTAGAGTTATAAAATTCGACATTATCTTAACATTAGTTATTATGATAAAGTCCTAATTTGAGTTTTAAAAAATGGTATCAAAATCACATAAAAATTCAACACTATCGTATGATTAGTGAAATAAATAAAGATTTAATTAGAGGATAAAATATATATTAAATTTTAAATACCCATTTAATAAAATATCTTGTTAATAAAAATATTAATTAAGAAAGTAAGATTAAAATATTATAAAATATGATAAAAATATAAGATTAACATTAAGTACTAAACTTTCTCAATTTTTTTATTTTTAATTCTTAAATTTATATTATAGTGTATTGAAAAAACGTGGAAAGACAATCTTAAATTTTTATTTTATGTTTTCATAGTGAGGTATCTCTCTCGTTCCCTTCCTCCTCTCACTCTGTTAAAGAAAGGGATCTCTATTCGACCTTGCATTTACAACGCTAGAAAGAAATTCTTTTTAGGGATGTTTTGCATAAATATTCTCATAGTAACCTCGTCAAGTTGACCCATCTTTTCTTCAAAATGGAAGAAGCCATATTCTGAAGTTTGTTCTCTTGTCGCCAAATTTCGACATTCCTATTAGCACCAATTACTTTAATAATCGGTACTCTTAATTTCACAAATTATCTTATTTTTATAAAAAAAAAGTGAAAAAATTAGTCCCACATACTTTGAATATTTTTTTAATAGAAAGAATATATACTTCAAAAGTGTTTTTTTTTTTTCACATTCATAATATCACCCATGTAGTTACAACAGTTAATTTTATAATCACTAAAGTAATTGTCTCCATTTTTGTTCTTCCAAGGAATTATATAAATTTAGAAAAACACTTACATCCTTTCTTTGATCGAGTGAAAAGAGAAAGAAATTGAGTATTCAACACGAGAAGGATAATTTGACCGAAAAAATGAGAATGATAAAAAAGTTGGATTGTCTTTTGATTATTTGTTAATTATATTTTTTTAAATTAATATATTTGTTATTTAATCTTATTAATGACATGGCATTCTTTCATTATTGATCCATTCTAAAATATGTCAAATTTTCATTCTATTTAAACTATTTAGTATATATTTTTTTAAAAAAGTTTATTTATAAATACACAACAAACTCGCTAGCTTATTTGATTTTAATTAATAAAGTTATTATAAATGTAGTAAAAAATCATATATTTTCACCGAAACAATTTTTATAGTTAAAAATTAGAGCTTAAAAAAGTATATTGAATGTTTATGGAAAAGAAAAATTATAAATCATTGAACTAAATGGGCCAGAAAAATGTAATCATAGCCAGCGCGAGTTGCGTGTTTTTTAAAACCAGCCCGCAAATGAAAGTAGTCAGAGGGCCATTACCCACTATTTTTCGTTCTTATGACAAAAGCATTAGAACTAAGAAATAGCAGATGATAGTGATACTAATGGGATTCCTATCATGTGATGAAAAAGTAAATTAAGTTGATTTTGTTGCTGTCATGATTAGCTGCATGATACTTGACACTAAACCCTTTTTGTTTTTTTCCCCACCCATTGCCCCAACATAGCTTCACAAATGGTTGATCCATTGAGACCATTACGTGCCTCAAATACCCTTTTACAAGCATGGTTTGGTTCCTACTACTCCATCTAACTCAACTTAATACCAACTTAGTAATAGAAAAATCAATTAATTACTGTTGCTGCTGATAAATTAAACCTCAGGATATGTACTTTCCATATATGGAGTTATAGAAATATACCCAAAACTGTTGCGTGTCTTGCTTTCGCTATCCTCTCATCTTGTGTATATGGGAATATGAAACTGTTTATTGAGCCACCACGTTTATACGTTATGGGAAAAAAAAAACTTATATTTTTTTATATGTTAAATCGTCAAATATATGCTAGTACTATTTGAATCTCTACTGCATTATTGTTATGATTAGTTTTATTTTAATTAAAATTTAACATTTTTAGTATTGGATAAAGGACGTATTTTGAGTTTTTTAAATTATTTTTTCTAAATTTTTAACTCATTTTACTCAAACCGATAAAGTCAAGTAAAATTATTATGAGATAAAGTTTTTTAATGCAATTTTTGTATATATTTAAATTGAATATTTGTCAAATAACTTACAAATACGTGGATTCATACTGGGTTGAGTAGTTTGGAGAGTAGAAGCAGTGGTTGATGAAGTGAGGAACCTGTGTCAGAGGAAATGGCAATGGTGAAGGAAGTAATCAGTACTCAGTATTCTTGGTTGGAAATATGATCATTGACCAGTCTAAGAATTGGAATGGATTCTCATCATTAACGTGTCAGACATGTTAGAAATTCAGTACCATGCATTTACTACCGTTAGTACGGATTTTTATTTTTTTTTAATTTAGTTCAAGTAATAACGATGAATTTATGTTATTTGAGTGTCACATTTGTAAAATATGAACTCAGTTCATGATTTGTGAAAATTTAGGTTTTTATCTATATTTTGAATTTTTTAAATTATAAGTATTTTTTATTGAAGGTAATTATGATTAAATTAAATAAAACTATTATGAACAAAAAGTTATTTTAAAAATTTAATTAAAATTAGTATGTATTTAAATACACATTTTAATTAATTTTTTAATAATTTTTAAAAAATGATAATTTTTATTTTAATAAAACATTATTAAATATATATATATATATTATTAAATTATATTAAACAATAATTAAAATAAATTTATTCAAAAATTATTTTAAACAGTGGTTAACTCATCTATTACTAGCTATAACTTTATAAGATATATAATATGATTTTTCTTTATTATTAGACTTTTAAGTATTGTTATATTTTTTATTTGGTGGAGTGAAAGATAAATATTGTAATTTTTTAAATTGTAAAAATATGTTATTTTTTAATATACATTTTCTAATTTTTAATTATTTTTCTCTATTTTTTGGAAATAACATTTAATCACTCTTAATTGTTCAGTAAAATTACACCTTGGTCAAAATAAATAAAATTAAATATTTTTAATTATTTTGAACATATATTTACTTACTATTAACACTAATAATAATTATTAATTTATCAGTGTTATTGTCATTGTTAATGTGGATGAATGCGTATTTTTAATTTTACCATTTTCTTATTTCATCATTGTTATTGTATGTATCAAAATTTTATATTTAAACTGAATAATTTTATTATTGACTGTCTTTAATTAATTTAAACATATTAAAATTCAACTTAAAACTATATTTTTATGTTCAAATATTTTATAAATTTCAAATATAAGAATTATGATTTAAAGTGGATTTTTCCTTATATTTTAAAGAAGAATGCGACAACACACTTTCTCCCACTATTTTAGTCTCCTTCAAGAAGCATAGTCACTGTGAGCTCTTCCATCGTTCGTCCTCTGTATGCTATTAAAAAAAAGAGCTACTTTTTCTCGTCTGAGACGTATTTTTTGGACAGAGAACTAAAAATCATGGGTCCCACTGCAGAAAAATAAAAGTTCCTTCATTGTCGAAGATTTTGGCAAGAGAATTTTCTTCTTAATAACTTTTCCAATATTTTTATAAGGTAACCTTTTCACACTATTTTTTTAATACAAATTTGCTCAATTTCACAGGAAAACTTTGTACTTACCCTCTCTTCCTTTCTCCTTCTTCTTTCCTCTTCTCATTTTTCTATTTAATTAGATAAGTAAATAAATAATTTTTTACTCTCAATCTAAGAAACTTCAAAATCCACCTTTTTTACATTTTTCCTTTTATTATCTTTTTTTACTCTATTTCACTAAGCTTTACCACATTATAAAAGTTGACTCTGCATGTAAAGTCACTATTTGATTTTTCTTGAGAATCTGGACATTATAAATAAAAGGTAAGTAATTGTTAACGAATGTATGCTACAATGTTAACAGGAAAAACGCAGTATATACTCTTTATATTTTATATATAATAAAAAAATATTATATATTTTGCATTCTTAATTTAAAGGACACCTGTCACCACAGTTATATTTAGTCATGAATTTTATAGTATATCTTTACGACACGTCCAAAAGGCAATGGAGTGGAAGTAGGAACCATGTCTGTGCTGGGTATGTCGGTTCAGTGGCACCAAGAAATATTGTGGAATGGTGGGTAACACTTAACATCAACACCAAGTGCATTTGGTCATTATCAATTACTTCTCAGCAATCCAATTAATTTGCGTAATTTATTTATTTATTTCGTAATAAATGAAAAAATATAATATAAACTGACATGTTAACAAAACAATGATATTAAAACAGGTAAAAGGACATTCATTTAGAGTATGTTTATAAATAAATGTTGAAGAAAACTACTTGAGTTGTGTGGTACAGAGTGAAGTGAAGCCCTTGGACCTGCACAGTGCAGTTGAAAATGAGAAGGAAGAGAATGATGATGGTTCATATGTGAAACTCTGTATGAGATTCTCACGTGCAAATGAGTGAAGATGGCGATGTCAACATGCGAGAGCGGTTCACTCCGTCAACACTACCACGGCATCGGCACCTTTATCCACTTGGAAGTTTCGCACGTAGCAGCCAGGCGTCGACGAGGCTTCGTTTGGTTGTTGCCAACCATGTTTTTGGCCTGTTTTGTTGTTTTCTTTCACAATAAAATAGAAATACTTATATTATGTTCTTCCTAATAAATATTCTAATATTTCTTCCTCCATTTTTAAATTATTATCTTTTGAAGGCTATATACATAATTTTTTCAAATTATTAACCAACCAACTAAAATGTTTTTGAATATTTTCATTTAATTTGATTAAATAAAACAATTTTAAATTTATTATTCATGCAAATATTAAATGAGAACGCGATTACATTTTCTTATGAAATCTTAAATTTATAAAATATTAAATTTCATGATGAGATAGGATAATATTTTCTAATTTTTTCATTTTTAATATTTTAATTAATAATTTAGAAATTATTTAAATAAGTTACACTACAAAAATTGATATTAATAATTAATATCAATTATCAGGATAAAGTTTTAGTTTTGATTAAAAATAGCATAAAATTATTTAATGAATTATATTTAAATTTTACATAAGTTTTTATTAGAATAATGGTTTTTAATTAAAATTAATTATTCTATTAAAACAGAATATTTTGTATAAATGATAAATTTTTAATGAATTTTTTATTAAGGAAATGATTAACAAAATTGTTATATATAATAATTTAATTTAAGTCACTCTAGGTAAACTTGAAAAGGAAAAAACTACTAACATATATATATATATATATATATAATATGCGACGTGCGGGATTGCTTTTTCAGTTTTTCAAGAAAAGAAGCACACAGACCCACCACAAGCCACAAAACGAAGGCCTCTTCTTCTCCTCTGTTTTTTCTTTACTTCTTTGTCTGATAAAACTGTCATCAACCCCCTCCTCTTACCACTCTCTCTTCCCCTTCCTACTTCTTTTTTCCTTTCATTTTTTCTTTTTCTTTTCCTTACAAATATTTAATATATAAATAATTGATATGTGTTGAAAAGAACTGAAAGATTCCGTCTTGATCGTTTGAATCTATGGAACAGCTTGTCAACTTCATCATCCGCCCTCCAAGGTATCAAATTTTCTCCTTCTTACTATCCCCTTCTCTTTCTTGAAATATCTTTTGCATCAAAGTATTGTCTTTCTCTCCCTCTTTTCTTTCAAATTTCCCAGATGGGTACCTGTTTATGCTTGGGATTGTTCAGTTGGAATAGGGTGGAATTCGATTCAAAGTTTTGATTTTTAGTCTGCAAAGCCTCAACTCAGCTTGTCGCTATTGAATTTTAGTTTCGTTGTGAATCTTTCCAAGTCTTCTTTTTCAAAAGGGAATAACTAAAGCAGATGCAAGTTGATTCATAATTTTACTTCCTTATCATTTTAAACAAAACGTTTTCTCTTTTGGAGTTATCACATCATGTTAACTTGTTTTACTGTTTGTTTGGTTGGAAATTTGAGATCTATTTTTAAGCTACCTTGGGATGCTCTTTGTCACCTGATATTCAGGTGTTAGATTTTCATTCTTCCAGCAATAAAGGTCTCATTTAAATAATTTTAGCTTATTTTGTTATTGACTGGTTATTTATGCTTGATGTTCAATTCCTTATTGCTTTTTGTATTCTGAAAGTGAGATCTATAAAATTTGTTCTTGCTAAAAACAGAGATCCGAAAGCAAAGCAGACATTGCTGTCAATATATATATATATATATATTTTTCAAGAGTTAAAATTAAAAGGCACATCCTTGCAATTTTTTATGATATTAGTGGAAGCCCAGTTGCAATATAGACCTTGATACAGCATTATCCATGTTATACACTCGTATACTGTCTGCCTATCGCAGAATAGCTATGGACTTCCACTTCAAGCCATTTCTCTGCAATTATGGCGCTAAGATGAATTAACTTATATTATCTACATGCCTCACTGAACTTTGCACTATTTTCATTTCAAATTTAACTTCCAACTTTAAATTATTGTGACCACATATGTTATTTGGATGCAGAGCTGAATATGATCCCAAAAGTGATTTATTGGAACGGGAGTTCATGCTGAAAGGGAAATGGTATCAACGGAAGGATGTAGAGGTAAGATTAAAAAAAATATAATTCAGTATGCTAGCAAAGTTTTTTTTAGCATTGGCTATGTGGAAATGCATTCAAAAAAAGTTTTTATCTTATGTCATAGTTCATCAGTAACAGATTTATAAATCTGAACCTCCAATCGCTGTCTTCGTTGTCTTTTTATTCTTCTTCTTCTTCTTTTTAATAATTTTTTTATTAGTTTCCTAAGTGATCACCATCAATAGACAACATTAGTGGTAAAAGAGAGATCAATTCTGTGGGTCACCATTGACTTCAATGAGGATTATGAACTACAAAATTTGTGCAGAGCCACTAAATTTGAGTGTGAATTTGATATTGACACATACCCAGGAAAACATGTCGATGATATGGTTAACCCTGATTCTAATTATGAAGCCACAGCTTTTATGTTGCACGAAATACAGTTTTGAAATTTGTTTCATCCCTCAGTTTTTTTTTTCTCTTCTGGAAATTTGCCACAAGAAGTTTTTCTTACCTATAATGCCAACATCGATGCATGGGTTAGTTAACATTTAAAAGTGAAACTATAGTAGGATGAGAAAAATAGAATTAAAATTCTATTTTGGAAGATTTATTTTTCAACTGAGCTTTTATCTTTAATGTAGAATACTCCAGGTAATGTTCGCACATAAAGTGTATGTATGTGATGTTCTAAAAATTCTTTTCTTGTCAATTTCACTTTTTCCCCCTTCCTGGGCCTTTTCTTTAAACTAAGTCATGCTTTATCTATATTTATTGAAAACCTGCATGGTTAGCCTGTCATGTAAGATATTATATTCTGCAGATAAAAAATAGTCGGGGTGATGCTCTTCAATGCAGCCATTACATGCCTATAGTCAGTCCTGAAGGAAAGCCTCTGCCATGTGTAATATATTGTCATGGAAACAGGTGAGTGTGCGACTATGCAAGCAAGCCATTGTCTGACAAAGTTCCATTGAAACTATAGAAGTTTTCTTCTGGAAATTTTAGACTCTCCTTTCAAGATTGTTTGTTTTCCTTTTATTTTCTTTTTCTTCTTTTACCTCAAAAAGGTCTGCACAATCATTTTGTCTGTTAGTGACTTAATGTTTTATCGTTGCTACTTGAATTTTTTTTACTCATTATGATAATTTGATTGATTAATACTTGCACAACAGCTAATTTGTTTGTACATTTTCTACTAGGGTACTATAAAACTTATAATTAGAAGTTAACTTGCATTCATAATATATTAATCCCTTTCTTTTCAGTTATTGTATTTTTTTATTCTGTATAGTATACTTGCGATAGGTTTGACTAGTTGATTATATTGTATAAGATTTGCTGTATTTTCACGTTACAATGGTAATTTTATAATTTTGATTATACTGTATTTGACTAACAACAATATACTCCTGCATTATTCCTTTGTGCATAAGAAAAGATATTGTAGTCTGTACTCTGAAGATGATCCTATATTAAGTTAAAAGATAAGAAATGATAAATTGATGGGAACCAAGAGTTAGGATCAGTTTTGACAATTGTTGTATAAAAATGGATTTCATGAAGACAATAACTGTCATTTTGGCAGTAATGGGGGGAGAAAGCATTGTCCATTGTGGTCAAAATCATGATCAAACTTGTAGGATTGCACGATTCTATGGGTTTCATTGCCCTCTCTTTGCTGGATCACACCTGGGATCACAACTTTGTCTGATACAGTAAAATTGCTGAACATTCTCCAACACTGTAGGATCGGTTTGATCATAGCGCAATTGCTGATCATACTTGCAACATTGTAGGATCTGCAAACTTTCCTGATCTGGACATGTTTGTAGCAGCTAGGTTCATGGGTCATGTTTTGCAACCTATCTTGCAAAAAGCCCACAAATCCTCACCCAAATTAACCATAATCTCTCCCACCTTCTCAATTCTCTCACTTGCAGTATCTCTTTGCCTCATTCCTTCCTTGTTCGTGCTTCACAGAGAGGTGTTTGAAGTTTCTGCCTCTGGGCCTCTGTTTGTGTTCTGCCACCATCAGTCATCTCTTTGGTTTTGAACAGCCATTTTTGCTTCTGCATTTGGATTTTGCAAGCTTTCAAGTTCTGGTCTGGTTGGTGTTAGGTCTGTATGAGTTCTACTAATGCCAGTCGAAGAAATTCCACATTCTTTTTGTTTTGTTTTTTGGTTATTGAAACCCACAGATTGGGCCCTTTGGGCCTTCTTTTGGGATACGTGATTTTTGGATAGATTTCTATGTCCTGTTTTTTTTTTCCCCTTGTTATAATTGGTATCAAATATAAAGAAGACAGAAATATAAAAAATACAATGACTGTAAAATCAATATTAAAATTCTCATTTGAATTTTAATGGTATTATTACATGCATTGATTAAATATATTATCATATTTTTATTTTAAAATATTTTATTTTTTTGGTATGATTTTATGATCCATGTTACAATGACATGATTCACGATCTTTCACCCATTTCCCAATCTTAGGTAGAATCTCAATTTTGCCAACATCTTTCTACCGTCTAGAAACTATGTAGTCTTGTTAGTTTTGATGAATTGTAATGTGATCTGCCTAGCTTGCTTTTATTTTCTTATTCTGAGTTTTGAACATCAATTCTGTACAAAAATTTACAGTTCCAACTTTAATTGTAAAATTTAGATACTTCGTAAATTATACTGTGTTCCATAACATTCTTTGCTGGTGTATGTTTGTTTTGTGTTGTGTAGTTTATAGATTTTAATTTTATAGGTTCATGCTGACTGAGTGTAATGTTTATCTGACAGTGGATGTAGGGCTGATGCCAGTGAAGCTGCTATAATTTTACTTCCCTCAAATATTACAGTCTTTACTCTCGATTTCTCGGGATCTGGAATTTCTGGAGGGGAGCATGTCACTCTAGGCTGGAATGAGGTATGTTCTGTCTCAATAACCTTTTAAAAAAAATCATATTTGACTGTTTCATTATAGATATAGCTTAGTTTTATTATTGTGTCATTTATCCACTCTCATGGGGAGCAGTAATTTTTCTCTATCTTTTTCCTGTCATTATTACAAGTGAATGTGAGTAGGGCCTTAAATGGAAGAGCTATTTGACAATTTCAAAGCTTTTTTTCTTCTTTCTGCGATCTTGTATGTTGATTGGGTACAATACGCATTAGCAAACCTTGCTAAAGATAGCTTCAAGAACTTGCGTACTGTTGTTTTTGAGAAGTTTGATCCAAAATTATTAGTCCAAATTAAATACAGTAATATATTTGAGTACTATGTCTGTATCATCAGTGCAAAGTTTGAAACCTGTCATATGCTTGGACAGGACAATTATCTTCTATCATAGTCGATCATGAAATGTTGATTTTTTTCTGTGCTTGAAGTTTGTGTGCACATTACTACCTTCTTCTTTGTTGTCATTCTTCATTATGAAATTATTTGTTTCATGTCTTGACTGTTCTCAGAAGGATGATCTGAGGGCTGTGGTCAATTATCTGCGGGATGATGGAAATGTCACTTTGATTGGCTTGTGGGGTCGCTCAATGGGAGCTGTAACTAGGTAGGTCTTCATGATTCACTTTTTCCTTTGGGCTTGCATTTGGAATGAGGTTTAGAAAAGCTTTGCTAGTTAAAATAGAGTTGTGTAGCACTGTAGCAAGACTTTGCAATTTGTTTTGCAATTACTCTGTTCCTGCTGTACATTGAAATAATCTAGGAGATGCTGTTTTGAGTTTTTTCGGCAGCACAAGCAAACTCATTAAATCGTGTGTGAAATTGTGACTGAATTAGCATAAAAGGACCATATTATGTGCCATATACTAAATAAAAAATTAATCACAGGCCTTATACTTGTGTCATTATTTTGTCTTAAAAAAATGTATTTGGTTAAATTAAAAACAAAAAATTGGCTTGATCAATTCTCCATTGTTTTTCTTTTCTTTTCCAATTTTCTAGGTTGTCTAAACTGGTGATCTTTCTATCTAGTTCACCGTTTTTTAGGTTAATTCAACTGATTCAGTCCCTTTGTTATCAATGAACCTTATCACTGTTTTTAACCTCAAGATGAATGGATGACCTGAAAACATTTTCATGTTGATTGAACTAGGAAAGTAGTTAGCAGTTCTGTATTTGTGTAGGCTTGTAGAAAACAATTCTCTTTTTTCTGCCATAGAAAATCATGTATATGTTTATTCCCATCTGAATTAAATGTTTCTCCTCATTAAGTGTATTCAATATGTGTACTCTGATTATATAGCCATTCACACTTACCATTTTGGCTAATGCATATGGCTTTTCTTCAAACCATTAATGATGTTATTGCTTGCAGCCTTATGTATGGAGCTGAGGATCCTTCAATTGCAGGGATGGTTTTGGACAGCCCCTTTTCTGATTTGGTTGATTTGATGATGGAACTTGTAGATACATATAAAGTTCGTCTGCCAAAGTTCACAGTGAGTATATTATATTAATTTTTGGGTGAAAATTGGAACACCTTTTATACAGAGATAATTTATCTTAACTTTTGAATTTATAGTCTCAGTTAATAGTTTATTGCTGTTCATATGGTGGTTATTGGAACTATCTTCGGTCTATGGTGTGTGACATGATATATAGATTATTATAGAGTTCTTTGCAATGGTTTGTATTCAAAATACACCACTGTAGGGTGTGTGTGCGCGCCTCAAAACAAAACCGTTTCTTGTTAGTGTTACTGGATAGTGATTTAGAAATCAGTTATATTAAGCAGTGCAAAAGCTTCAAATTCATGACCCCCCAAAACAATTATTCTGCATCATAAAACTTCATGTCAATGGATGTGCACCATTAAACCAGAAAGCTATTAAAGCTGTGCAAAAATTTGGTCACAAGCTATTAATGACCTTTTATGCAATGTTAGGATAGGACACCTGGTAACTTGTAGGAAATCCCATGACATGCCTAATGTCTTGAAGTTTGTAGAGTGTGGTTGCATTTCCTACTTTCAGTCACTCATACAAACCTTCAATTCATTATGGTAGTTGATTCCATAAATAGTTACCATTTTTGTGAAGTGTGTGGTGAATATCTGAAATTTGCTATGTTTAGATCTTAGAATGGAAAGCTTATCTGAATCTCAAAAGTTAGCTCAGGTGAGGAGGATTGCACAAGCTTTATATGTAGTATTTTGGTTACATTCTTAGCCTATGTGAGGGTTGAGACATCTTAATGCACCCCTTTGTGTCCAAGACAGACCATCTGGAGCATGAAAATTGTAAAATTGGACATTTGTAGTTGGTGCATCATTGAAACTGAATAGGTTTGATACTATATTAGAAAGATGGACGAGGCCTTACCCAACCCAAAACCTAACTCTAGCAGGAAGGATTGTCCAAGACCTTATATGGAGCATTTTGGGCATAGTTTTATTCGATGGGGAACAATTCAACACATAATGAATAGTTCCAATACTTTATATATTTGGCCAACTCTTGATTTAATTCATTACTTTATTTTGTTCTTATCATAAGACAATTTGTCACCATCATTTACTGCTATGCTGATTTTGTTTCATTTTTCTTGTTGCAGGTGAAGTTTGCAATCCAGTACATGCGAAGAACAATCCAAAAGAAGGCTAAATTTGACATAATGGACCTCAATACTATTAAGGTTGTTTATCCTTTTGTTATTGCCTATTTGTTTAACTATTATTTTGTGACAGGTTTTTTAATGAAAGAATTTACTATTACATGCCTGATTATATGAAATGATTGATTAGTTTGACAGAAAAAAAGTGATAAGCTTTACCCTTTTGCCTTTCCTCATGGTAATATTAAGTTAAAGTTTTCATCTGTACCCAATCGTAGTTAACAAATGTTTTTTGTTTTTTAGCATGAACTTGTAGAAATTACATAAATGGGTAATATTTCCTTTTACTGGCAATAGTATTCACTTGTCCGTTAGTCATATAAATCTCCCAAGTCTAAACATGATTTATTTAGTAATTCATAAATTTATTGTCAACAAATTCATGTTAAATTTCTTGTAAATTGAATTGATTAATTGATATTATCATAGGTGGGGAAACTTTTGCTTGTCAATGAATGAAATGTGCTATTTTGATTCAAATTGTACAAAGTTTCAATTAGTTAATGTGTAAAAGAATATATGAAATTTGAAGATTTTTTTTTAGTTGCAAGTGGAGGGGTCTTGCATATTCTGCTTGTCCTTCTTACTTTTTAATTGCTAAACCTGTAATTTGTAGAATTCTAATATAATCGGCTTAAGGACTGTATTTTCAATTTTTTGGTTGTTAATGGCTAAACTTGTGGGACACAGTTCAATTAATTGAGTCCTAAGCTCACATGCAACATGAGAGTTTGTGTTTGAATTTCCGTTGGAAACCTCCAAACAAAAATCCAAACACACCCAAGTGTTTGCACGATACAATTTTTGTTCAAATGATGCAAAACAATATAACAACAACAACAAAGTCTTATCTTACTAAGTAAGGTCAGTACATGGATCAAACAACGCTATTGAGCTCGGTAAAAAACCCAATTGATGATGCAAAACACTCAAAAAGAAAAAATGGTTACATTTGTTTTGTTGTCCTTGAGAGAGGATATATGGATTTGTGAGGCATTCAATAGCATGGAAATCTGTAGAAAATAAATATTTGGTAGTAAATGCAACTTTTTATAACTATTGGGGTGGGAGGTGGGGGAGACAATATAATTGTATTATTATTGGTTCATTCGTTATTTGATTGCATTGCAGGTGGCAAAATCTTGTTTTGTTCCAGCTCTACTAGGGCATGCCATTGATGATGATTTTATACAACCCCATCACTCTGATCGTATATTTGAGGCATACATGGTAAGTGTGAGATTTTTTTTTTAAAATTACAAACGGAATTACGACTGCTTGTTCTGCTGGGTTAGGGTAAGTGTGTATTTGATTCAATTCATTTTGGATAAATAATCGTTCTGTTTATTTTCTTGCTAGCTTCTTTAAAGAGCTCTTTTTTTTAAATGATTCTTTTTCCAAATTATCTAGACCAAGCATGCACCAAGTCCTGGTTGTATCTTATATTCCTTTAAAGCATGTCTGATGCTTTTGAAATTGGTTATCAATTTGAGATTCAAATCACAAATTGTCAAGCTAATTTTTGAATTGTGAATCATAACTTGTATCCAATTGTAAGATTAAGAGACAATGAAAACAACTTCAAATATATCATAAATGATGGTGGAAGAATGACAGAGAGCAATGGAACAACCAAATAGATGGTATGCAGTGAATGGGTGATAAATATGGAATAATCAAATAAGATAAGTTCAGAAGTGTTTCTTCAATTCCTTTTTTATTTAACAATATAAACTTATATGACTTTGCAATTTCTATCATAAGAATTGGAGAGAAGATCAAAAAGAAAAAAGAATGAATTGTGGAATCATGTGATTCGTGTATTGTTGATATCAAATTGCACTAATTTATTCACATATTGTAAGATTTAAAGTCATTTGAAATTCATCATCTGATACAAATCACTAGCTAGCTTAATCACATCAAATCGTACAATTTAAATTGTGAATCATAAGATTCTAATATACTTGTTTCTTTGAAATTTTTGAGGCTGCTTAGACAGGATGCATTTGGTGTCACATGTCTTCTAATTACAATCTATAATTTATGCTATTGAATTTACTCTTTTTTTGTTTTATCTTAAAGGAAGTTTTCATGTCATGCCATTTGGATCTTTAATATTGCTGCATGTTCATGCTTTACAGGGAGACAAAAACATAATTAAATTTGAAGGAGATCATAATTCTCCGCGTCCTCAGTTTTACTTTGATTCCATAAACATATTTTTTCACAATATTTTGCAACCTCCAGAAGATGAGGTTGGGGAATCATTTTTTGACACTGTGAATGATTACTTTGGTAAGGTAAAATCAGCAATGCAACTCACTGGTTCCACCTTGATCAAATTGCAATGTTCCATCTCTTGTACATCTTTGAATATTGACTGTTTTTCCTCAGGATGTTTGGAGATCTGTGCATGAAGTAGGCTACAACAATGAATCATCATCTAAAAACAAAGGCATGACCCAAGTACCTAGTTTCTCTTAACTATTTCTTCTGCATTGGTTTCTATGAGGAGCAGCTCTTGGTAACTTCTCTTTTTTCAAATCCCTTACTTGTTTCATGGATAGATGCAGAACCATCAACAAGCAGTACGGTAGATGCTATTAAGCAGGTCCGTTCAAGACGCCCAATGAGTAGGATGGAGGTTTGTATTTATACGCTCTTATTTTATTGTTAGAATGGCATGCAAATTGGTTTGACTGGGGAAATGTACCTTGTATTTTAAAAATGGTTAAAATATATTTTTGGTTTCTACTCGTGACATTTATTTTTAATTTGATCTTTATCTAAAGAAAGGTTTTTAATTTAGTCCCTATACAAATAATTGTTTTCAATATGGTCTTTACCATTTCAATAATTGTTCTATAATACCTACTATATGTGGGTGTTATAATACCGTGTATTGAAGTTATAATGAAGTGAAGTGTAAAATCCAAATTGAAAATGAGCATCATAAATTGAGACCAGAAGTTTATATTTTTTATCCCATGACATGATAATCATTTTTAATTTGGCACAAACTCAGTGTTATAATGGTTATAGATCATAGGGACGTCATTGACATTGGTTGTTCATTTTGGCAAATGAATTGCTTTTTTTTTCTTAGGAATTTAATTGAAAACGAGTATCATATATACAAGGACCAAAACATGACAATGTCATGTTTATGTAGGGCCCATTAATTTTACTTGTCTTTCACTCTGATAAAATGACATTTTCATGTTCCTTTGTAGCACAAGAGGATCCTGATCCTAAAAAAAAGCTTTAACCCAAAATAGATGGTTGCAAATTGCAAACATTAGGCTAGTGTTTTGCGGGGTTTGCTAAAATATGTATTATTAATAACTGTCAAATGTTTCGCGCATGGCCTGTGAAGATGTAGCCATATGATGATTATGATTTTGATTTTTTTTAAGTTCTTTAATTGTGATGATTTTTGTCCTTGAAGTAATGTATTATATGGCTTTTCCCAGGTTCCATCTGATATTTCAAAAGATGAACATCGTGAACATGAGGTATCTCCCTTTTACGTTATTCCCTTCTTTGTATTATTTTTTTTTATAATTTCTTCTTATGTGTTGTAAATTTTTCCTGTACATATATAAGCATGCATGGCTATGGTTCATTTGTTTTACGCAATAAGATTATGAGCTATCACACTTCACACACTGAGCAGAACATTGGTTGGTGATAACTCAGTGAATATCTAAAACTACCAAATAAGTGTGGGGATTTTCTGTATCAATGTTTAAAATTGTAGTAGATACCCCTCTCTAGGCCCATGGATATGACATGCTGCTGAGATTCATAGGCCTACTGAGGTGTGCTTTCAGTATCAAAATTTTGTGTCAACAGCATTACCCTTTCTAAATTGTTCATTGAACCAGATTTTGGTGTCAGAGAATATCGTATGAAATAATGATTTTATCCATTTTTTCTGCCACACATCACATGCAATGTATGCATGGAATACTTTTTTTATGATATATTGGAACACTTGCAAAAATATATATGATGAGTGGCATATAATACAGATGAAGGGGACTTGCTGGCCTGGTATCCATTTTTCTCTTCCTGAATACTCTAGTTTCTTGTCTTTTCTTTATTATTATTTTTTTTTGAGGGGGGACAGGGTGTTCAGTTTCACTTTTACTAAAACAGAAGAGTTATTCTAAGTTAAGACAGACCTGCCTCTAGCATTTGTTCCTCACTTGTAAGGAAATGTTTTAGCACTTAAAAAGTTTATAAATCAGTTTTTATTTAATTTAAATGTTAAAAAATGGGGAAAATTGTATCTAAATAAAATTTTATTTTCTGTTTTGTAATTTGTACCAATTTGATAGTGTTAAGACTCAAGTACATATTTGATATTCTTTAAGTAAGGTCTTGATTCAAACCTTGTGTATGAAAAAAAAGAAAGAAGTATAATTGAAGTAAGGAAAGTGGAGATTAAACACAGAAATACATTAACCTCACATTTTCCATGATATTCTTTGCCAAGCTCGAAGAGAAGTGTGGTGATCTTTCCCCATCGTCTTCATCAATGATAAGCTTTGAATTGTCAAATGGTGATCCTTTTGGCCCCCATGTTCCAACCACGTTGGATGATGATCAGTATGTCGAATATCAACTAGAAGACCTTGCAGGTTTTCCATCCAGTGCAGAGGAGGAAGAAAGAGTGAGTCAACTTGATGACTTGTACATGGTCTAAATATCTGTTGACATAAATGCAGAGATTGAACATTTGTATTTTATTTACGCTTGATATGTCCATGCTATGCAGATGTTCATGGAAGCAGTGATGGAGTCACTGAAGGACCTGGAATTACGAAATCCACAGACAGAACAACCAACAGCCAGCAGTGTTAGTACCGTATCCGTAGAGCCATCAGATAAACACAGCACAGATGTTTCACAGGAGATTTCTAGGCCTATGGAGACAGAATCCTCTTTAGTCAAAAGCTCTGCCGATTCGAACTCTAAAACCAGTTCCACTACATCAGAAGAATGTGTGCCACTGAAAGGTGAGTCAAATTCCGTTGCATTGAATCATTCCCAAAATGTGGTAGCCGAGCCAAGTCCAGTACCAAGCCTTTCCCCGCAGCTGCCACTAGCACCAGCGGACACATCATCAGTAACCGAGTCTGGCAATGTGGGTGGATCTGCTCCCAGTGATAGTTCTGCAAGATTACAAAGTTCATCAGAGACGGACGTATCACATAATACAAAAGCCACGGTAACAGTTGTTCGGAATCCGGCAGGCCATGCCATGGACGGCTTAATGCGGCGTTGGGATTTCAATTTTTTCAAAAGTAACCGATAGATAAGATGAGAGATTCTCATTATCCATTTGTTAGTTATACATTGTTTCTGTAACTATAAAAAATCATAGTTTGTACGAAAGAAATAGGTTGCTCGTGTGTAAATTTAGTATGTTTAGATTCTTAACAAATCATCCAATATTCTTTGACTGTAAAAGTGAGAATTATCATATTTTGAATTGTTTTGTTTTTATGAATTTAAATGGGAAACAATCTTTTTCCACCTTTGTACTAATCATTGAACAAAGATTGTGGATATTCCTCATCTTTCATGACTAGTATTTGCTGAAACTGCATGATACACTTGACAAGATGTGTGTTTCCCGATTGCATTTTCTTAACTCAGAAGCCTGGTATGGTTATTAACTTAAAGATATTTTTCTTAACTCTAGTACATTGCCAGAGTAAATATCATTTTACATTGAATCTTGAGTGCATGTTTGATAGATTAAACTGCTGTTTTTTTAAGTTACAAAAAATTCCACTTACAATATTTTACAGATTTTATTTGAAAGTGCAGGAACAAAATCGCACATGATACTGGCATTTAGCATTGGTGTACGAAATCACCATTTCTTAATTTTATATTCACTTATAAAAGTAGATGTTTAAACATTGTATTTTAAATATAATAAAGGCTTTACTTTTAAAATTTTACTTATATGTCTTATCACTAATAAAAAAATAAACCACTATCGAATGACACGTTATCATATTATTTAGTGGGTTTAATAATATTAAACTATTTAAATGATAAGATAATACATGATTAGATAGTGAATCAATTTTTTTAATCTACTTTTAATTATTAGAGTCCTCATTCTACTTGTAAGAAGTCTCAGTGATCAATATTTGTTACGTTGATTCCATTTGAACATTTCTGTTTTAATGATCGAAGCATGATGCAATAGCTTATTCCTAAATCAATACCGCAAAGAAAATCCTTACTGTGATTAATATAAAAATATTCTAGCTTTCCAGTACCAGCAAACATGCCGGCGTTTTTGGAAAATCTACTGCAGCTCAGTTTAACCACACACACTTGCAATATCACAGTGGTTGCTCTAAGCCAACATGGATAACTGATTTTGTATTATAGTACTACTATGGTTAATAGTTTACCTATTTGCCATCAATTCCAATGCCGTCTCAATCAGTGACTGAGTTGTTAGATTGTGCCTGTTCAGTCCAACAGTGCCAGAGAAAACATTAAAGCTTTCAACCTCTGATGTGGTCTCTAAGACACCCTCCAACACCTCCTCCATTCCCAGACATTTGAAGGTATCTATATTGTCTGTTTTGTCTTCCATCATCCATATAACCAGCTCTATTACGAACCTCCTTATCCTAGGAACCTTGGTCGGGGGATACTGGTGTTTCTTGAGAATCTGAATTAATTTATTTGCTAGTTCTGCCTCTGTGATTTTAGCTTCTTCAAATACAATGCTAGATTCATGAGAAGTCATATATTTCAAAACATTTGCTGCTAGTCCAATCATCACTTCCTGTGTCTTGTTTTCTTCTAACATGATTGCCTGAAGTATCTGCAGGAATGAGAAATGGTAAAAAAATGAGAAAAATTTTCTTGTGTTTTTCATTCGAGACCAAGGTCTCATGATGGTAACACTTACTATGGGTGCTGCAGCTGTTACCCTCCTTAACTGGTTGAACCATTCTGATATACTGTAGGTGCATAAATTTCTAAGAATTCTAGCTGCATTGATGCGAAGCAAAGGATCTTTCAATGCTTCTACAAGCCTTTCCAGTACTTTCATCTTCAAAATTCGATGACAGTTATTCTTGCTTTCTAATGCTAGCATTGCTAGGGCCTCACCAGCAACAATTGTTACATGTTTCTGATTTTCTGGTTTGTCGTGTCCGAAAAAAATGTTAAACAATTCCTTAAGTACTCCACCTGTTCCCCCAATTCTTTCCTTTGCATCCTCTTCCAATGCCAGACTGGTTAAAATTTCTATGCCCAGTTTCTGTAGAAGTGGATGCTTCTCTCCATGCCTTAAAATATCTCTAATATTGCTGATGGTGAAAACTATCTCTGAAATCTCTTCCCGAAGGTGTTTCCCTGTGGTTCCTGTTGTGCTAGCCAGCATCTTCACCAGTTGCAGAGATCTCTTCACTGTCAGAACTTGGGATGGGGTATCATTTTCACTCTTCAGCCACCATTCTTCAGCATGTGTGAAATCTATGATTTTTGGGAGGAGGCCTCTTGTGTTTCCAATCTTTCCGCAGTTGTCTAGGTCACGTGCAAGCTTTTTCAGTATGAGGAGTCCCATGTGGTTAAATGTCCAGAACCCATAATTAGGATGATCCAATACTAGTTTCTTTTCCCCAATTTCATCAGCTGCAGGAATTATATTCCTGTTAGTTTGCAGAAGAGATGATATTGATTCCATAGCTCCCGGTATCCCGGTTATGCGGAGTGAGTTCTGCTTCTTGCCAGCTAGTTTTGATAAAATCTCCGCAGCTGAAAGCCTAATCTCTTCCTCTTTGGGGTCTGTCCAATTCAACATCTCCACTAGTCTCTCTACCACGGGTATGTCAATTCCAATCTTTTGAAGGGTATCATCAGAAAATCGCTCACTGATTGAAAACTGCCTCAGAATTCTTGCTCCAATGAGCTGCTCATCAGAGGAGTTTGAAGCCAAGAGATCCACAGAAAAACTAACCATATCCATTTTCAGGCCATCAAATATGCTTCCATTGACACATCTTGAATAGGCATCATAAAAGAACCTCCTAGTTGACACCATTCCTGGTGGCCCCAACTCACACTCGTTGTTAACCTCTTCCAACAGTTTGCAGTAGCTGACTTGCCATTCCCAATAAGCCTTTTCCATCAGGAACAACAAAGCTTCTGCAAGAGCCAAGGCGTAGAAGATTGAGAGAGCAGATTGGCGGTTCCTCTTGTCAGTGTCTCCCTTTGCCACCAGTCCATAATCATGCTTGATGAGCTTTATCAACGAGAGAACCACACAAGATGTTGCAGAAAAAAGCTGAAGCCAATAGAGTAGCCTACTGAAATGCCTTGAAAGGAAAAACCACTTAGCATATGGTAGGAGTGGAACATCTGAACTAATCCACATCCTAGTTGGTGTCCTTTGGCTATCTCTGTGCTGAAGGGTTACAACTACCTCGTTAGACCCTTTTGTGCTCTTAACTGCAACAATGGGCCTGAAAAGGCTCTTTATGCTTTCAAGGAGAGAGTTTGAACTGGACAAACTATTGATACCATTTCCAGTTCCAGCATCAGTGATAGACCATGTGGCTTGGTGCTGCCATTCAAGCTCATGGCTCCTGCTGAAAATCCTAGTACCTTCAACTACAAGTATGATGGTGATGAACCAGAAATCGGTTTTCTCTAAGGTGATGGCGAAACCGCCCAGAAGGACAACAGTTGCCCAAATGAAACCAAGTGTTCCTAACCCGGTTGCTGCTTTTTCAAGCACTGCAAGTTGGAGAGCAAAGAGGGTGAGCTTCTTTTCTGGTGCTCCAATTGCTGAGGTTGTTGGAGACACAGAATTGACAGTGCTACTGTCTAACTTGTCAATGCTGCTTAGGCCACCAGGCTCAAACATGGTGGTGCCTATGCTTCCAGTTTCACTGAGCTTGACCCTTTGTAGTTCATCAACATGTACATGTACGCTTCCCTCTCCTTCCATAGAATAAGTCTTAACCGGCTAGCTGCATGCAGTGCAACTACTGGAAGTGTATCTTTTATCTGTGAAGTTTGAAGAGAACTAGTGCAGAAAGGTTTGTTTTATACAAGAATGAGAATGGCAAGCTTAGGGGGCACGTTTATATTGTGACATGTTGGAGAAAGAGTAAAGTCAAGCTTCTCTTTCCGCCAATTTTCCAAGAAGTTGGTTCACCAACTAACTTGCCCAAGGGTTAACTTCTTTTTCTACTCCAACCATTGAGATACAAATAAAATGTGTAGGAAATGTAACGTGAAGAAGGAGATATAAAGAAAAACAAAGTGAGAATACTCTACAAGTATATGAATATCATTGTTGGTCTTCTAAACTTCGCTTTCTTTTAGAAAGTTCCTTGGTAGAAATATTTAGTCCATAGCTCGTGCTCTTCCAAATCACAAGAATCATCGTTATCCAATAAATAGATGCATTCTAAGTGTCAGACTCAAAACGCACAAAAGTTATTTCTTGGTTGTTTTTGGATTTCTAGTTGTTAATATTATATAAATCGTTAGTCTACGTTCACTTCTAGTGTTCTACACTTCTTGGATTATTGAAGCTAATGACAAAAAATATTCTAAGTTTGCCACCTAATAATCTTATCACAAAACATTTATTGAATATAACGTGATAGCTTATAGTCATTTATAAGCTTCTGATCAGCTTAAAATCATGATTTTATTATTAAGAAGCAGAAGACATTGTAGGCGTTGTTTCTTCATGAATCATTCATACTTAAATTGGCATTTGACTTCGGGTTTGTGCCTGTTGCTTGCAAGGAACCTTCACCTGATCTAAAGCGCCTCATTGGCATTTTGGACTGCAATTTACAATGAGGTTGGGCCTTGGGCCCCAAGGATCCCCGGAGTCCCTGCTGTGCTCATACCTTGGAGTATACGGTTATATTGTTATTTTGATGTGACTCAACCTAATAATAAAAATATAACAAAAAAAATAGATTTGATTTTGTTTTTACACCTATCTTTATTTATATTTTTTTATTTTTTATATTTTTTGTAAAATAATATCTAAAGGAAAAAATAATTTTAATTACACTTTTCAGTCTCTATATTTTAATACATGCCTGATTTTGGTTTTTTTTTAGTTTTAATGCTCACATTTAATTATTTTAATTTTTTAAATTAATTCCTTCACTCAAAAATTTATTCAAAATGGAAAACATGCAATATATTTACATAAAAATGCAAAATAAAGTATATAAAATATGTCTTAATTTTGGAGTGGAGAACTTAATTTGAACATTTAAAAAACTAAAACTAAATGTGAATAATTAAAATTAAAAGGACTAAAATTGTATAATTTATTTAAGTATAAGGACCAAAAATTAGAATAAGCTAAAAAAGTAAAACCTAAGCCAATAATTTAAATGTTTTAAATAATTTTTAGTTAAAATTTAGAAGTTCCTCCATAACTAAAATTTAAATGTTTCTAGCCAAAGATTATTGAAATGAAATTTTAATTTTAATTAATAAATAACATTCAAAGGGTCTAATATATCCACTTTTTTATTTGTTCACTTTTAAAAGAAATTTAAAATAATATTAAATACTATATTTTAATTATATCCTTGTCTCTACTTACTTCTTAAATACTTTACATGCTTATAATAAAGAAAAGAAGAGTAATAATAGAGACCATATTACAAAGTTGAAAAAAATTAATATAATAAAAATATTAATTATACTGTTGAATTTAAATGTTATTTACCTAAGTAAATAGATTTAAAAAAAACATAGATAATATGATATTATACTTAATTTTTGTCCAAATAAAAAAAAATTCCATGAAGGCAAGTTTCTGGCTAATTACGTTCGTTGTTCAAGCGTGCTTTCCCATTTTATGCACCAGAAGTGGAAATATTCGTTGAGATTCAATATTCATCCTTTTTGTTATTGGGACACAGCCTCTGGCATTCAACTCTATTCAAAGCATACACAGCAATGTTTTAGTTGTCATTTCTACGCATGCAACTTGGCGTATGTCACATACCAACTGGCTTATGGTCCCATAATTGGTGACAAAATTATTTATAATGATAATAATGTTTTTTCCCTGAATGAAAGTGAGATAGAGACATTTCAATCTTCATCTATAAATTGATCTTGATTTCCATTGGGAAAGGTACCTACTTGTAAGGTTGCAGAAAACGTAGGCAAAAGGGAAGGACATGAAAGCAAAATAAGGGACTCCACAACCGAATTGGTCCATTATAAGCATTTAATACAGCTACTTATTGCCACAATATATTTGTTATGGCAAAGGAAGAAAGACCAAATAAAGTTTCAAAATAAACTTCAGAGAGACATTACAGATAGAACCAATTATTTTACTACAAGCGAGTGGGTTATAAAACTACATCATCATTGTTGTGGATGGTGACCAAAATATGAGGGTAATACTAATTAATGACTTATATTCAGCAATAAAGAGAACAACACAAATATGTAGCAGCGGCTGCACTGATTTCATTTCAAGCTTTTTGGATCTTTCATAAACTCTGATGTTAACGAACTAGGGAGCAAGAAAATCATAATTGCACCATGTGGAACCTTCCAATGAAACATCAGCAAGAGACTTCTTCAGATTTTAATCCCTTTAGCTCTCCCACCGTTTGATGCCAATCAAGGCTGTGACCACCACATATATTTTGTTCAATTCAGATGACTGATCTGCCTCCGTGTGGACTCTGGTATGCCTGACAAAAAGCAGTTGCAGGCTACAAATTCAACAGTCCGATATCAACACCAATTCCCACCAGCTCCACCTTGAGCAGCAGCAACTTTTCGCGCTACGTACTGAGGCTTTGGCTGAAGTCCATTAGAACCTTCAATCCCATCGTCTGTCCTCTCATTTTTACAGCTTGCGTTTCTTTTAGGATATGAACAGCTTGAAGCAGCATACTGGGCTGAAACAGATGGATTCCTGACCATCCTCCGCTGCTCAGCCTCTGCTATTCCACAGTTGTTGTAACGCAATACAGAATCCACAAGTTTTCCAGGCCGCGCAGCAACGCCTGAATTGCAACACAAAGAAGCAAATTTAAAATCCAATCAGTAGAAGAGAGGTGTAAGGGAAAACAAATGTATAAATGGTGAGAATGGAACAGTAACACCGATGTCTTTATGGAATCTAAGATCTGTTATATCACCATCTTGCACGAGCCATTCTGCTGACAATACTATATATATGTTCATTTGCATCTCACACAAAGAACATTATGCAAACAAATAAATCATAAAAAAATTCCACAAGTCTATTTCTTCAATACAAAACATGTTGCTTTCAGCCATTCACACACAACTCCCATCTTGTGACAGAAGAAAGATGTACAAGTTCAGAAACCAGAAAAATGCTTCTTATTGGTTCAAAGGATGATGAAACAAAATTAAACAAGCCTCAACAATGAGCACAACACTCTGAGGACAATGCTAGCTGTGCACATATGAGAAGCAAGAAAGAAGAAAAATGACAAATGGAGGAGCAGGAGTAACAAGCATACTACATTCAGTCATCACACCTTGAATATTTTGAGGAGCTTGTAAAGGAAGCCTGCTCATAGGGATACCACCAGTCCTGTCTACAGCTGGCTTCTTAACTTCTTTGATGCTACACTTGGATAGATCATCAGCAATCTCAGCCACATTCTGTCTTGAGTTATCTGAATACAACACACACGGCCTGCATTTACAGTCTCAAATCAGTATAGTTGGCAGTTCATGAGCAGATGGATGAGTGTGTTAACAAGAAAAAAGAGGCAAAGCCTAAGAAAGATACATCTTCCAGAAACATTAACAAAAATTAAGATACCTGGGTAATGATGCATGTTGCCTCTCAGGTGGAGTGATAGTACCACCTTTTCCATAATGCTCTTCAAGATATGCAAATTGCTTCTTGAAGTGATCCACGGCACTATTAAAATACGTGTTAGGAAAAAAGGAGAAAAAAATCATAAGCTGAACTAACATATAAATTAGTTTACAATTTACAAGCCCATAAAAGTGTGCCATTGCAATTTAACTTAAAATTCAACAAATTCAAAGTCCAGGTAAAGTTTTCTAAAGTAAGTATCCAGAAAAAATGTTTAAGATGTCTTAGGGACTAGAGCAGAACTTAGGGAGATGCTGGGTAGAGAAAAAGTATAATATTATCTCAGAAGATGTTGGATGTCTTATGAGTGACAATCAAATTCTCTCTTATAAACAGGGAAATAATTAGAAGAAAAGGAAAATGCAGGAACAAGAGTGAAGAAGAAATCCTCCCAACACCTATGTATGAAATTATTTAAAGGGTAATAATATCCAACAACGTTGAATTTACATTTACAGATTACAAGTGTGCAAACTCATGTAAAAGAATGAGAAGTGAAACAGAAATTTTGGTGCAGGTTTGGACAATAGTACCTTGGATACATGAAGCCTGTTGGTTCTTCTCCCTCTAGATGTTCCTTTAACATCTTCGGATGGTACTCCAGAATCTCTCGGTAAATAAGTTCTCTTACATCTTCCTTTGTTATCCTGCGCCTTTCAAATTCAAATTCCATTTTGGTAACTGGCTGAGCGGAAGGCTCTCTCTCTACCTTTGCCAATCCTTTAAAATATGGATCTGCAAGAGCCTAACAATATCATACAAAATATTCCCTGTTAAAGTCAAACATGATGTGTGGAAAATGAACTGCAGAAGGATGGAAATTCAACCTCTTCAGCAGTGGGTCGATCTTTAGGTTCAAATGCCAGCATTCTTTCTAAAACACGAAGAGCAAGAGGATCAACATTAGGAAACTTATGGGAGAAAGGAACCGGCTTCTTCTTACGCATGCTGCTCAAGTATCTCCGAGCTTTCTCATTTCGTACCTGTTAATATACTATCAAGGTTGTATTAAGTAATAAAATAAAGCACATAAAATTGTTAAAAGGATGCGCAATCAAATAGACAGACCCTAGCAATGGCTTCAGGAGATGGTGTTCCAAGAAAATCAGTCATGAGGTCCAATTGATGGACAACATTCTTCCCTGGGAAAAGAGGCTTTCCAGTTAAAAGTTCAGCAAAAATGCATCCAATGCTCCATATGTCTATGGCTGGTGTATACTGAGAGAAAAAAAATTAACAACATTCATTATCCAGCTTCATTTTACAAAAATTTAGCAACTTATTTTCTTTATTCAACTATGAAGTAAAGAGCACAAATTATTTTGTGTGTTTCACTTCAATCCATATTTGTTGTTAACGACATTGAAAAAAATAGTTTTGTAAGAGTAAGATCTATAGCATGGCATCAACATTACATATAATAATAATAATAACAATAGTTGTGCAAAAAACAAAAATTGAAGAAATTCCTAGCATATTTGCTTGAGAAAAGATATAAGGGCAAGGGGGGAGGAAAATTTTGTGCCCAAACTTTTAGATTTGAAGCAGCTATAAATATGACATAAAGAGAGCAGTGATCCAGGATAAAAGGGGTAACAGATATTGAACCTTGGAGAAAAAGGATCCACACAACTCAGGAGCCCTATACCACCTTGTTGCAACATAATCCTGTGAGGAAGCAAGTGGGAATAAGCAAAGCATGATGACCAGATAAGGGGAGCTATGTTCAAGGTTAGTACTTCAGGGGAAAAAGATTCTTACTGTCCAGAATATAGCAGTGGGCGTATCATTGAAAGCTACTCTGGCAAGACCAAAGTCACAAATCTTCAATTTGCAGTCAGCATTTGCTAAAATGTTTTTTGGCTTTAGATCTCGGTGAAAAACATTTGCTACAAGGCCATTCATTAAAACGTTTAAAATCATCTACAATGATCATGTGCTTTAGCAACTAGTTCTTACAATAAAACATTGACTACAAGAATGCTACATTGGGAAATCTAAAACTATACTAGCTAAATATAAAGATCATAACCTGTGTGTATATACTTCAAGCCTCGAAGAAGCTGATAGAGAAAAAATTGGTAATGCTCTGGAGTCAAATCATCATTTGCTTTGATGACCTGATGTAAATCAGATTCCATAAGTTCAAAAACAACATATATATCTTTGAATTCCCTTCTAGAAGGAGGTAACAAGATATGCTTGATCTCCACAATATCGGGATGACGTAAGAGTCTAAGAAGCTTGATCTCACGTAAAATGCGGGTGGCATCAGATACATGTTCAAATATGTCATTGATTTTCTTTATTGCAACCTTTTCTCCGGTGTGCGTATCATATGCAGAACAAACAACACCATAGCTTCCTTTACCGATTACTTCCTCTATTTTGTATCTACTCCCTTCTCCATATTCTGTAAAGAAATCTACATCTACAGATGACTGCATAAACACAAGAAATTAGACATGGTGAATATACTGAGAACAGCAAGGTCATAGATGTGATTTAAACGAGCTGCAACATGTATATTGTAATGAAGGAAACTAGAATGAGGCTTGGTACATTTTATACAATAAAGTTGCAAGCTCAGCATCTAATGTTTGTGTTGATCAATAAACAGAGAAAAATAAAACTAGCTAAAAACTTAGACAACAAATATCACTGTAGTTAATCTACGCATGAATTTTATAAAATCGCCCAGGGTTCATTAGACTCTCTCTTCTAAAGAATAATTGAATTTGTAAGGATAAAAAAAAATTATGTGAATAGAAGTGCAATTTGTTGCAGGCAACTCTTTACAATGCTATTCATGAATGCACAAATACATGTACCCATTTAAAATGTAACAAGTAAAAATAAAAGGAAAAGTAACTACATAACAAAGCACAGCATACTTGTTCTGGTCATGCTAACAAGTATCCAAATATATAATGTGTATTTTTTGAACTTAGGAAAAATTTCAAAAATATAAATTAAAATAAAAAATGTTTACAATTATAAAGAAGATATGCATAATTTATTCAAATAAATTTGAATTTAAAAAAATTAAGAGAGAGAGAGAAGTTAGGACTGCCATGTCATTTTTAAGAGAGAGAAATCTATTAGACTAAGCCACTTTCAAGAGAATGCATTCTTAATTTAAAACAGGATTGCTATTCAGTTTGATGAATTAAGAATAGACTGACCACAGTGACCAGGTTCAGTACGAATAGCCCATACTGGATTTTCATGAGTTCTCATACAAAACTTTCCTAACTAATTATTCTCGATTTCCCAATTTAAAATATACAGATAGGTGGTTGCTTGAAAATATTCACTGAACCTTGTTCATGAAAATTTGATACTTAATTAATGAAGCAAATAAATAGGGAAAAAGTAGATAAATACAGAATCAACAGGGCATTATTAAGCAAATTTAGGAATTGTTTGAGCAGATTTTATTTGTAACTGATAAGAAGAAGAAAAAGGACGCCCGAAGTGAATTGAGAGCCTTATCCATAAACGGAGAGTTAAAGCTGAAAAAAACATGGCCAAATCTTAAATGATGCGTAAAGAGATTATCTCACTCTTAAGAGTGGGGATTCTTATTTATCATATAATGCTGGATCATTTGGCATGTTGTTTCATAAAAAAAGTTTCCTTGTTGTAATATTTAAACTGAAATGAACAGTGAAACTAAGAAAAATGTTGAAAGGATCCGTTGCAATGGTGTATATATGGGAACCAAAATAGCAGGCAATAGATCTTACATGACGGGAAACTTTATGCAGGACCTCTCATAAAACAACACTATAGACATTAAACATATGGCAGGGAAGCATTGACAGTTACATGACAAGTTTGTTTTTTTCTTTTATCCATACCACACACAGTGCCTTATGTACAATACAATCAAAATAGAAAAAGAGAAAAAAAAAAAAAAAAGGGTATGCAATACCAGGGAACAGGCGGTACTAGCAGGTATGAAAGGACATAATCTCAACACAGAGTACAAATCCTATCCATGCTATATAAAGATGCACAAAACAAAGAGCAATCATTGTCTTCAATACGATTTATCCTGGATAAGCGCACATCTACATTTAAGTGTTGATGGAGAAACTTTACCTTTTTTCTCTGATCAGGCATCTTAGAAACTAAGCATAAAACTCTTCAATGGTTCAAACCACCAACAACCCCTTCAATCGTAACTCAAATTCAGATCACCAAACTCCAACTTCCAGTTCGAAAGGCACTAGAATCCCCGGATCACGAGGGAGTAATAACAAATGTGCAAAAAAGAAAAATGGATAAATTAAGGAGCGAGGAAGAAAAAAAGAACATAGGATTCAAACTTGAACAGAGCTCAATAAGAAGACAGACCCAGTAAAATTTGGCTGCTAAAATAATAAGTGCGTTTGAAACAAAGGAAGATAATCACTGGATTCAGAAGAGGAAGCAAAAACAACATAAATTCGGGTGTAAATGGGGAGATTGCAGATCACGTTATTATTAGAATCAATTAAGTTTGGAATCAGCAGAAAAAAGTAATCTTGAAAGGGTATGAATAAAAAAAAAAAAAAGAGGGAATGCTTGGGATTTCAGAGCCCAATAAGATTGGTTCTGTTGTTGTGCAGAAAGCAGAGACTTGAAGAAGCAGAATGCAAAGTTTAAAGGGAAAAAACGAAAACTTTCTGATCTCCCGCACAGACGCAGAGAAAGAGAGGGGGTGGATGTACTTCAAGTTGAATGTGGTTCTGGGATGGTGTGTAAGCTCAGAAACAGAGAGAGTCGCATAATAAAGAGAACAAAACTGGGAAATAATAAATTGTTAATTGTTAATTATTAACTTATTATTATTCGAAAGATTACTCTGTTTTAAAACGACAGGTATTACAAAAGGACATCTTTGACACTCAAATTTTCTCATTCTTTCATTTTCTTTTCTTTTCGTTTTTGTTTTTGCTTTTGTTTTTTGTAATATTTTTGGTATTGAAAAATGTTATTGGATAAGGCATTACGTGGTAGAGAGGTTGGGTAATTCATTCATAGTTGATAATAATTGGTGCATGACTGACTCATTTATTATATTTATCAATAAAGGAATCAGAGGAGAAAATTGAAACTCATTTATTATATCACAAAATAAATATTTTATGGCAATAAAAAGCATGACAAAGTCATTGTTTTATGATTATAAATACATTAATAGTTTATAATATAATAAATGGGATTCCTTCTAAACTGTTCATGTTATTCAGGATGTGAGTGCAATTAATAGTGATTGTCGATATCTCTTGGGAAGATGATATGATGAATGTCGAAGCTTTGCTACATTATTTATTTCTTATTTTATAAAATAAGTATTAGATAATATATATTATTTTAAAAATAGAAAATATATTTAAGATTTTATTTGTTTAATAATTAGAACAATTTATAAAAAATAATAATAAGAGGATTTAGAACTGTTTTATATGTAAATAAAGTAGTTCTAAATTATATTAATTATAATTTTTATGAATCTTCCTGGTTTCATATTCATTTTATAAAATAAAAATAAATAAATAAGCTGATATAACAAGATTCATGTGAATATGATTTGGCTTGCTAAGGTAGAGGACCAGCACGAGAGCTCCTATAATACTTTGTCGCCTTCTTTGCATAATTGGGGTAATCACTTGAGTTTTTTTTTTTTTTTTTTACGTGTAAAAAATTATAACAATAAAAAAGTTGTAAAAACTATGTTTGGCACGCCACATTTTTTTACGGGAAAATATGTAAATGAGATAAATTATACTTATCAAATATGACTTACATTAATTATTACTTGGTTTAGTAATTAATTAAGAACATAATTAGAAGATTATTGCAAGTGTGTTAAATATTCAGAGTAAAATTAATCTTATAAAACCTCAAATTAAAAAAAAATTAAGATTAGTCCTATAAACCTCAAATTTGATTTATTTCATAGACCAATGAACTGAACTTGGTTCAATCATGTACCGATCACACAATCAGCATAATTATTATGTCAGTCCCACTATTGCACCGTTAGTCTATCGGTACAAAAATTCACTTGTATAAATTTAATATTTATCTGTCTCTTAATAATCATTAAATAAAAATGATCATATGAAATTTACAAGAAAATAACTAAACACAAAATTTGCACATAATTTATCATTTCACGTGATAGCTCCTTAACGCAAGTTCTTGAAAAAGTATTGAACAACAAGGCATTAATGTAACAGTAGCATTTGAATTTTCTTACAGAATTATGCATTCTTATAAACCATAGTTGCATTCTTGAAGTGCTGCCATTGCCATGCAATACAAGGTACGGTTATGATCAAGTCCCCACGACACTATCAAATACAAAAAATTATACTATCATTATTTTTCTTTTACAGACGATGACATCCACACCCTTTCAAATTATTTTGGGGTGAACACTCATGATCCATGTCCCGTAGACCATGAAAAAATTATATTTATTTTCAGTTCCTAACTTGCAGGAGATTTTAAATCTCCAACTATTAGTTTGAGGCCAGAAGAAAAAGAAGAAAAAAGATAATAGTGTGTTCAAAGTTCTAACTTGAGGATTTGTTTGATCTGTTTGTTGTTTAGAAGAAGAGGCCAAGACAGAGAGGCCTAAATGTTCCTTTTCCAGCCTATTGGAGCTGTGGGTAGAAAAAGTCTTGGCATTTTGAAATAGACAGGTAGACAAGTTTTCATGTGACGCTTTCCAATTCTTTTTCTCTTTTAAGATAAGAATTAAGAAGGCAACAGCTTTGTACCCTATCTTATGTGCACTTGTAGACAACATACAGTTGGGTGTCTTCAACGGAAGACCAAACAATCTGCCTTATTTTTCCACCCATCTTCCATTATAGACTACTAATCATTAATGTAAAATAAATAAGAAGATTAAATGTGGGAGGTTTAACTTCTCACATTTAAAATATTCAAATTAAGTCCTTCATTTCAAAATTTTATCCAATAATTAATAAAAAAATATAATAAAAGTATGACATTTTATTGATCTATACTAATAAGTAAAGAATAAATATACATAATATTTAAATAAAAATATAAAATAAAATATGTTTTTTAATTTTGGAGTGAAAAACATTTAAAAAACTTAAAAGAATTAAATGTTAGCAAATAAAAGTAAAAAAAACCAAAATATATGACCAAAAATACAATTAAATCATTAAAATATAAACAAAGGTGTAATTAAACTTACGAATGTTTTTTAAAATTTTTCTTTCTAAAATGAAGACTAGCTTTAGCTTTAGAAGAACCGCGTCCATGAAAGATACACAAGGCAAATTGATGAATATGTGTAGAGGAGAAGGAAGGTCAAGGGAAGATAATAAAATGAATTCAGTTCAACATTATTTTAACACGAGTTTTGGCTTAAGCATTGAATACGTTCATATGATCATTAGACAATTTTAACTAGTTCTAGACATGAAAATCCAATAAATAATATCAATCATTTACTAAGACAAATAATTAAATTAAAAATGAAAGAAAATAACAAGACATTAAATAATCACTCAATTATTTCATCTCTTTTATTTTCAAAATAATCAATTTTTTTTTTTAAAAAAACATCCCTCCTATTTCAAATTCAACTCACAAGCAATCCTGAAAGAGTACCGTGCCACGCTGTTACCGCTGTGCATTATAGCTAACGAAGAATGACATTTCTAACAGTAAGCAAAACTGCAAGACGCAACATTACATCGAAACTGCGTCCCTTTCCAAGAAATGTATAATCTTATGGCCAGAAATCACCCTTCTCGTGTAAGTGTTTATAAAGATCAACGGAATAGTTGAATGCTTGTCGGTTCGAAACTCAATTTGATTCCCGTTTTTTAAATTTAGGGCACTGAAGAGATTAGCTAAAACGAATGAAAAAATAGCTGGGAAAATATCCTTTTAATATCAAATCGGAATCAGAATAATTTAACAGTTCTATGAGCATGGAGTTTTTCAGAAAGCGGAAGACCGCTAATTTCAGAATTCGATCTACTCAATGCCATATCAAACTCTAACCGGAGTACTGGACCACACCAGCTCAAACCTTGTTATGCTCCAACTTTATGATAAAACTTCTTACCGGTTAAAACAATTAAGACAGTACATTTTGGTAACGAAAAATAATGATAAAGAAATTAGATAAATTATAGTTACCAACTTGGTTTAGTAAACAAAACAAAGAACATCACAAAACAGCTCTTGCTATGCATGATATTACTAGAAGACTAGCATATCCTCCATTACAACTGGTGAATCTCAAAATTGAAATCACTACTATCCTCAATCGAAAATAGCCTAGTAGAAGAAGCCCAGGACCTTACCACCAACATTCTTTCTCCTGGCCTCTTCATGATCCATGATGCCAGCAGATGTAGTCAATACAATATACCCAAACTGCATAATTTGTGTAATCAAAAGATCAGGGATGGTGGGAGAAACCATATATATATTCAACAGAACAGAATAACCAAACACGTAAATCTAAATGACTGACAATATCTGACATAATGAGCCAATGTCACAGCAACACTAAAGACGTGAAACAAACAAACCTTAGTACATACATAAGCAACCAGAGCCATGACCAAATTTCACAATATAAAACTGAAAAATCAGCACAAGGGGAAAATCAACCCTTTTATATGAAGGATCATAGTTGGGAATTTATTTACTGATCTTGTCAAAATGGTAACACACGAAAATGAATAATAAGCTCTTATTCCATCACAATGTACATATATGTAAGGCATCAAAAGCTCATAGAAGCATGCATTTGGACACAGCACACAGCTAAATAAAAGGTTATGAAAGAGATATAATGAAGGAATTTTAACTAAACCTGTCTTGAAGGGAGAAGTCTAGCAGTCCAACCTTCTATCTCTTTGACACCCACATCAAAACGGGGACTAATAACCCCACACTTGTTCAGCCTACCATTCAATTCAACCACAATTTTACCAGCCCTGTGGTCATCAACGTACTCAAACTCTCCAATGTATCCTATATTATAAACAACCATAATATACCAATTCAAGACACAAACTAAATAATTAAGAGGCCATGTTCAAATAATAATAATAATAAAATTGATTATTTAGAGATACCATGCTTCTGCATGACCAAAAGGAATTTGATAATGACTTTGGAGGATGGCCTAATCATGACTTGGCGCTTGCCCCTTTTCTCGGCATTGTACATACTCTTCAGAGCATCATTCAACACACTAACCCTCACCATAGTCACTGACACAGAAATTTCAATCAGAATCATTCAACTATAATCTAACACGTAAACCAAATCGCACTCCAATAGAAACATTTTTTGAAAGGGGGGAGAATAATCTTACCAACAGAGAAGAGAAGCCTCGGGGAGACGGCGCCTGTGGTTTTCCGTTCACAAGTGAGTACAAGATCAAAGAAAACACGGAAATAAGAATGTCCTCTGTATTTAGGGTTTAAGAGCATCAGAGCCTCTATTGGGCCCATTTTGGGCTTAACGACAAACGAAGTGTTGGGCCAACTCATTTTCCACGCATATTTTTTTACATACTTTCCCTAAATAAAATAAAATAAAAATAATAAAAGGAGTATGACATATAGCAAATAATTATAAATATTTTATTTTTTATAAAATAATTGTGCAGGTGTTAACATGAGCCAAGTGTGAGAGCAATTTTTTTTTCTTTTTTAATGAATACACAAGCCCGTATTAATTCCTTTGATATGTTCTTAACACAGAAAGCCAATAATCAATGGGTTTTTTTTCGTGTTCTTTATAGATGAAGCAAACAATTATTACTATTCCGTTCAAGATGTGTTTTAAGTTTTGTATTTAATATTCGGTTTTTTATTTTAAGCATTTGTTTCTTTTTATTTTAATGATGAACTAAGAATAACATCTCCTTCAATCATAATCTATTTTTAATACAATTAGACTACCTTTTATTTATCTTAGAGGGAAAAAAATTAAAATTGAATAAAATTTAGAGAAGTTTTTACAAAATTTTTATTCCTTATTTTTTCTATTTCTTTCTTCTCGACTAAATTATAAAAAAATTCAGATTTTAAATATTTTTCATCCTTGTTTTCTTTCTTTCCATCAAAATATAAAGTATGAGAAAAAAAAAACTATAGATCCTAATAATTTAAATGTTACCATGTTACCATGTCACTGGATGCAAGATTTTTCTCAAAATTCTTGAGAACATGAATTTGCATGGTCGAATTGGAACTATGGTTTAGTTGAACTTTCAACAAATTTGTGTGGTATATAACACTTGTTGACGCAAAGGATTGACCATGGAAAGAGTACCTAAGAAGAACAAGCATGATGGCTTTTCTTATCTCCTCTCTCTATATATCCTAGTTAATGTTAGGATATTTATAATTCGATTAGATTTTCCCTTTTTTTTTTTTAAGATGAGGAAGATAAATTTTAAATTGAAATTGAATAAAATTTATAGAAAAAATTTAAAGTTTTTATTCATTATTTTTTTATTAATTTTCCCCTCGACTAAATAATAAAAATTATCGGATATTATTATTTTTTCTTCCTTGTTTTCCTTCTTTCCATTAAAATATGAAATGTGAGAAAAGAAATATTTATAGATACTAATAACTAAAATGTCAGCATGTCTACCTGATGCAAGATTTTTCTCAAAATGCTTTATAGCATAAATATGCACGACTGAGTTGGAACTATGGTTTAGTTGAAGTTTCAACACGTTTGTGCTGTTGCTGTTGACTCAAAAGATTGACCATCAGGAAGCGTGCTAAACAATGAAGAAGCATGGAAGAGTACCAAAGAAGGAACGAGTATGATTGCTTCTCTTCTCTTCTCTCTAGCTATATATACGAGTAAATGTTATTGTTATGCTGCAAAGTAATCATGTGGCCCCAAAAGAGGAGAGATTCGAAGAGGAGAATGAAGAAGAAGATGGTGCTTCTTCCACAGGAATTGATAATTCAAATCCTGTTGAGGTTGCCGGTGAAATCTCTTGTCCGTTTCAAATGCGTGTCCAAGTCATGGCTTTCTCTAATCTCCGATCCCCACTTTGCAAAATCACATTTTGAATTAGCTGCCACACCCACACACAGACTTTTGCTGTTAGGACAATCACTCTATGAAGCCCGCTCCATAGACTTGAATGCATCGCTTCACGATGATTCTGCTTCTGCTGCATTAAACCTTAACTTCTCCATTTCCCAATATGATAAAATTATAGGCTCTTGCAGAGGCTTCTTACTTATTGCTTGTAATCCAAATCTCTATGTATGGAATCCTTCCACCGGTGCCCACAAACGTATACCTTCCTCTCCTGTTGAGTCCAATTTGGAAGCCATGATTTTCACTTTTATCTATGGTTTCGGGTATGACCCATCAACAGATGACTACTTGGTGGTTCAAGCCTACTATGAACCAAATGCAGATTTGGCGACCCACGTGGAGCTTTTCTCGTTCAAAGCTAATACGTGGACAGAAATGGAGGGAACCCATTTGTCCCATATGAACGCCTCTGATGATCTCAGACTCGGTTCGCTGCTGAATGGGGCTATTCATTGGTTGGCATATCGTTATGATGCGTCGGAGAATGTTATTCTTGCCTTTGACTTGATGGAAAGGAGATTTTCAGACATATCCCTGCCGGTTGATTTTGAATATGACTTAAATTTTTGTGATTTGTGGGTACTTGATGGATTTCTCAGCCTGTGGGTTATGGAGGAAGATGCAACAGTTATATGGGTGATGGAAGAATATAAAGTGCAGTCATCTTGGACTAGGACTATTGTTGTGTCTATTAATGCAATCCCTACTCAATACTTTTCGCCAATATGCTATTCAAAAAGTGGTGATATTATTGGAATAGATGGTAGTACTGGATTGGTGAAATGTAATGACAGAGGACAGCTGCTAGAGCATTGCACCTTTGGTGATAATGTACATGGACGCGACGTGGCTATGTACACAGAGTCTCTACTTCCACTGCCCGGTGAAAGCGAGCACCAAGACTGACAATAAAAACCAAGAAGAATTAGGAGCCTTTTTTCCCTGTCAATTTATGTTGTTCCACCTTCGGTTATGTGGCTTTTATTAATTGTTACCTTTTAGAAGCCTTTTTTTACGTGTCAATTATTGTTGTTCTAGTTTGGTGCTTTGTGTTGTTTGGTACTTGAGGCATGAGAACGTTTTGATTTAACTGTTTTGATATATTAGACAAATTGAAGTCGGAGGCTATTTGCATGAGTCATGATAATGATTCTGGTCTAGCTAAAGCCATAGGTGCGGGTGCTTCATTTTCTGCATGACTTTGTAATGCAAAGAACTGTACATGTGTGTAAAACATCTTGCTTCCTTTTGTTGATTTACTAGGGTTAATAGGCTTGTTAGTTTATGTAAAACATGTTGGGACTCACTAAACCTCCATTTGTGTTTTGCAAAACTTGTTGGTAAGTAAACGTGAGATAATAAATTACATATTTACCCTTGTTTTCATTTGTTAAACATCTTATTTTTGTTAGGTACCAAAATATCAGAGTAATATCACATAGCTAAAATAGAAATGAGAAAAAAGGAACTGAAGCTCAATAATTTTACGTGAAAAACCCTCAACAGATAAGGAAAAAACCACGGGTAAGACTGGAGAAATATTATTACTAAGTGAAAGAAATATTACAATTTTTTTTCTCCAATTTACAATGAGAGAACAATAACACTCTCTCTTGAAAAATAGGAAAAACTCACTCACTAGGAGAACCTCACAGAAGAATACTATTTTATCTCTCTATATTTTTTCTCTCTATGTATTTTTTCTATTCACTATGAAATTACACTCGATTGTGTTGGATGCTACAAATGAACGAAGGAAGCTTGCTATTTATAAGCAAAGCTGCAGTCTTTCCTTGCCTGGCAATAAATGCCACCGAATAGCATGCAACAATTTTTTGACAAAACTGTAACTGCTATTCTTGACTTTTGCTAATAGCCACAAAAGTGGCTTTATGACAGCCTGTGTTCACAATCTTCCACTTAAAGTCACTTTTGTGAGCTTTCAAAACTTTCTCTTCTTGCCAGTTCCATGTTGCTTACGTTTCTAATAGGCCATAGGAGGATTTACTCCATGTAAACTTATCTACATTGATTGGCTTTGTCATCATATTTGCTAAGTTATCTTTCGTGTGAATCTTCTGCAAGTCCACAGTACCGTCTTCTACTACTTCTCTGACAAAGTGGTATTGTACCCCTATGTGCTTTGTCCTAGAATGAAAGGCTAGATTTCTTGCAATATGCAAGGCACTCTGACTGTCACAATACACCGTAATCTTTGGTTGCTTGTGCCCGAGTTCTTCCAATAACCTTTGTATCCAAATTGCTTCTGTAGTAGATAAAGCTACAACAGATTGTAATTTAGATAATCAGCTTACTGCTCCTCCTACAAGTGTAAACACATAGCCCGTAGTAGATTTCTTTTTATTAATATCACCTGCAAAATCAAAATCAACATATCCTCTGACAATAAACTCTGATCCTCCAAAATATAATACAGCACCAGAGGTTCCTTTAACATATCTCAGGATCCTCTTTACAACATTCCAATGCTCTTTACCAGGATCTGCCATGAACCGACTGACCATACCAATTGCCTGAGCAATATCAGGTCTCGTGCAAATCATTGTATACATAAGGCTTCCCACCGCTGATGCATATGGTACTCAAGACATTTCCATCCTCTCTGCTTCACTGCTATGACCCATACTTGGGGATAATTTATAATTGATAAGAAGAGAGATAGAAATTGGCTTACAGTCTTGCATGTTGAAGCGCCGCAAAATTTTCAGTAAGTAGTTCTTCTGAGAAAGCCAAACTCTATCTTTTCTGTCTCGGTGAATTTGCATCCTTAAAATCTTGTTTGCTGGTCCCAAGTCCTTCATATCAAACTCCCTAGCCAATTGTGCCTTCAATTCTTAGATTTGATCTTTGTTGGGGCCTACAACCAACATGTCATCCACATACAACTGTAAAATGATAAAAGTATCATCATCAAACCCCTTGTAGTATGTACAATGGTCTGAACACAGTCTGTTGTATTTGAGGCTCATAATGAAGGAATCAAATATCTTGTACCAACATCTTGGCGCTTGCTTTAGACCGTACAGAGATTTGGTTAACCTGCAAACTAAGTTTTCTTTTCCTTGTTCTTTAAAGCCTTCTGGTTGGAGCATATATATTTCTTCTTCAAGTTCTCCATGAAGAAAAGCAGTCTTTACATCTAGCTGTTCAAGATGTAAATCAAATGCAGCACACATAGCCAGGACTGCTCTGATAGTGGTAAGTATAACCACTGAAGAGAAAATCTCATTAAAATCAATGCCTTTTTTTCTGAGCATATCCTTTGACCATCAGTTTAGCACGATATCGCTCCACTTGATCATTGTCATCTCGTTTGATCTTATAAACCTATTTGTTTCCAATGGCTTTTCGACCTTCTGTAAGTGTTACAAGTTTCCATGTCTTGTTTCTATGTAAAGCTTCCATTTCTTCCTGCATTACTGCCATCCACAGAGAAGCATCTGAACTGTTCACAGCCTTTTGAAAGGTTGACGGTTCTCTTTTTTCTGTTAGAAGACAATATGCATCGTGGCTTGCCATCACATAGTCTGAGTGGTAAGATGGTTTTCTTATCTGACGTGTTAATCGTTGAACTTCTGCATCATTGGTCTCATCTGGTTCTTGTTCTTCGTGCTCTGGTTTTGCTTCAGAAGAAGCATCTTCTCCAGACTTTTTATCTATCTGAACAGTAGTAGCTTCTTTAGAAGTGCTATCATTTTTCTGCTCAGCTTGCAGTTCATTATCTGCAAAAATTACATCTCTGTTGACAATAACCTTGCGGGTAGTGGGATCTCACAGGCGATACCCCTTAACACCATCAGCATAACCCAAGAATATACATTTCCTGAATTTTGGATCCAGCTTTGTTCTTTCCTGGGTGTTGTACATAACATACACAGGACAACCAAATAAATGTAGAAAAGAGTAATCTGCTGGCTTTCCTTTCCACACCTCCATTGGTGTCTTAAGACCAATAGCAGTTGATGGTGACCGATTTATCACGTAACAGGCAGTTTTGACTGCTTCTGCCCATAAAGACTTGGCTAGACCCGCAGTCTCTAACATAGCTCTTGTCTTCTCCAGGAGAGTTCTGTTCATTCGCTCTACTACACCATTCTGCTGAGGCGTATGTGGCACTGTGAATTGCCTCTGAATACCCTCTTGCTTGCAAAATGCAATAAATTCACCATTTATATATTCTCCTCTATTTTCTGTCCTCAAGCACTTGATTTTCTTACCAGTTTCAAGCTCCACTTGTGCTTTGAACTCCTTGAATACTAGAAATACATCAGACTTCTTCTTGATTGGGTACACCCATAATCTTCTGGAATGATCATGAATAAAAGATACAAAATATTTTGCTCCTCCCAGGGACATTTCTGGTGACCCCCAGACATCAGAATGAATCAAGTCTAATATATGTTTGCTTCTAGTAGTAGACTTATTAAATTTCAATCTATTCTGCTTACTAGTCACACAATGCTCACAAAAAGGTAAATTTACTGATTTGAGCTTGTGAAGAAGATTGCGGTCTGCAAGAATCTTCAAGCCACGTTCTGACATATGGCCCAATTTACGATGCCACATCATCGTCATTTTTTCTTGACTAGTTGAAGCAACTAATGCATCTGCCGCCTGCAATGTATCTCCTAGAAGCATCTATAGATTAGCAGCAATCTTCTCTACTTTCATCACTACTAGAGCACCTTTCACCACTTTCAAGATCCCACCTTTAATATGGGTCTTACAACCGAGGTCATCTAATTGCCCTATAGACAATAGATTTTTCTTCAATCCCTTCACATGGCGTACTCCCTGAATTGTGCGAATAGTACCATCATACATTTTTAATTTAATAGTACCAACCCCAGCAATTTTCAAAGTATGATTATTTCCCATGAACACAGATCCTTCTGAGATAAGTTCATAAGTGCAAAACCAATCTCATTGTGAAGTCATGTGTCATGTTGCTCTAGAGTCCATTATCCATACGTCAATGAGCTATCTTTTGCCTTTGGAACCAATTGCAGCTTCGCTGTATAGAATTTCTCCATCATCAGAGGTACTAACAACACACCCTTGAGATGTACTTACTCTAGGAGACTTCTTTAGATTTTTCTTGTTGTACCAACAATCTTTCTTCAGGTGCCCCTTCATGCCACAATTGTAGCATTTAAAGTTTAGGGTTTAGGGTTTGCCTTTGGAACCAATTGCAGCTTCGTTGTATAGAATTTCTCCATCATCAGAGATACTAGCAATACACTCTTGAGATGTACTTGCTCCAGGAGACTTCTTTGGATTTTTCTTATTGTACCAACAATCTTTCTTCAGGTGCCCCTTCATGCCACAATTGTAGCATTTAAAGTTCTTCTGTCTTCGAGACTTTGGTCTACCATGGTTCTGTCTCCCACTGGAGCCACGCTCCATTGATCTTCCTCTCGTCATCGTCAATGCTTCCAGTTGCTTTGAACTTTCTTTACTATCTTCTTTATTTTTGCGTCTAGATTATTCTTCAAGAATGGCTCCAGCAACATCATCAAAGTGCAAGCGACCAACAATATTATTATTTGTTATATTAATGATGAGTTGATCATACGAATCTGACAAGCTCTGAAGTAGAAGTTCAGCACGCTCATTTTCTGGTATTGTGAAATCTGACGCTGTAAGCTGAGCAAACAACATATTCAAATTGTTGATGTGGTCCGTTACTGATGTGGACTCACTCATCTGAAGAGTATACAACCTCTTCTTCAAAAATATTCTATTGTGAAGTGATTTCACCTCATACAGTTTGATGAGGGTATCCCAGATCTCCTTTGCAGTATTCTTTTCTGCAATGCTTGACAAAACTGAATCTGCCATTACTAAGTGCAAGGTAGAAACAACATTGTTATCCATTTCTTTCCACTTTTCATTGGTAATGTCGGCGGGTCTACCTTCAATTACCGCTAAACAATTTTCCTTTCTCAAAATTGCCTTTATCTTCAATTTCCACAGGGAGAAGTTACTCCCACTGAATTTCTCAATCTCAAATTTTGCCGCCATTTTTTTTAACTAAATCGATTTACACAATTTGAACAATATTGTATATTTTTACCACGCACTAAAATAATTTCAGTATACGTTAACAATCACTGTAAAAGTATACAATCACACCTTGAATAGTAACTGTGAATAGTACCGCAGCGTCAACAACCAGTGGATAATTCTCCAACAACAAGGAATTAATCTTTTCTGATGTAGAAGATCAGACTAAGCTGCAACCACAGAGCATACTAAGAATATCCTACTGAGCTATTGACTCTGATACCACTGTTAGGTACCAGAGTTTCAGAGTAATATCACACAGCTAAAATAAAAATGAGAAAAGATGAATTGAAGCTCAATAATTTTACGTGGAAAACCTTCAATAGATAAAGGAAAAACCACATGCAAGACTAGAGAAATATTTTTACTAAGTGAAAAAAATATTACAATTTTTTTCCTTCAATTTACAAGAAGAGAACAATGACACTCTCTCTTAAAAAATAAAAAACACTCACTCACTAGGAGAACCTCACATAAAAATACTATTTTATCTCTTTATATTTTTTTTCTCTATGTATTTTTTTTACTCACTATAAAATTATAATCGATTGTATTGGATGCTACAAATGAACGAAAGAAGCTTACTATAGGCAAAGCTGCAGCCTTTCCTTGCTTGGCAATAAATGCCACCGAATAGCATCCAGTAATTTGACAAAATTATAACTACTATTCTTGACTTTTGCTAATAGCCACAAAAGTGGCTTTTTGACGGTTTGTATTCACAATTTTAATATTATATTATATTATATCCATTTTAGTAATTTTATCTTTTAACTTTATTTTGTTTTATCTTTTAAAAAATCAGTGATTTTTTAAGTTATTTTGAAAACATCTTATCCGAACTCGTTAGTTCTACCAAAATTAATTTTACTTAATTGTAAACCGATCATACTCTTATACTAACAGATTTTGTGGCCTGTTTCTCCTAATAGATTTATCAACTTGTTTGTAGGCATTAATACAGAAATAAACCAGATTGCAACATAAATTTTGCTTTCGTAATAATTAATGCATGAACAGAAACCAGATTGTAAAATAAAATCCATGAGATATGATTCCTTACGATCTCAAATCACAATTGTCAAACGAACTGAAATAACCGAAAGCATCATTAATGAAACTAGCAACATCATCACCAGAAAAATACAGCAAATTTATTCTTGTAATACGTGGAACGCGTAGGCATTTCACATCTTCCACTCCATGTCACGATGACAGTATTAGAATCAAGATAGAAGTTGCATGTTCATGGAGTAAGATTTCTCACTTGAGATATTTATCAAACCAGTCCAACAAGATTTGATGGGCCTCCTCTGCAGACTTCACCGCTTCTGGATCTTCTGGGTTGTACCTTGTTGTCCAACCATGTGGGACATTAGGAAATACTTTTACATAACTATCAACCTGCACAAAACAAAAATCGCTACATCTGTGATACTTTCACAAATACAGCACAAGGGGCAACAAAAAATGTGTCAAATCAATTGCCAATTCTGATTAGTCCATGCACAATTGTGCATAGTTTTTCTCAAACATGGGTTACAGAAACAAAATATGAAAAACGTAGCCAAACTTATTTTACCGATTACAGAACACAATCGCCTTAAATTTTAATTAAAACATTGAAGAACAATGGTGATACCCATACAGTTAGTTAACGACAGCCGAGTGAGATTTTAAAAACACAGGCTTAAAACGCATTTATCAGATCCAACCAAGTTAGAAAAAAATTAAATGAAATGTAAAGTTTTTAAATTTATAATGTTTTAAATGCTGTGTTTTTTATTAACTAAGTACTTTCTTTTATTCTTTAACCAATGTTATTTGTTCATTTGTTTGTATAAATCTTGAAAATATAGATATAATTATATCTAGCCACAAAATGGTGTGAAAAGAACAAGAAAGAGGTGATCATTATTATTTCAGCATCAAAAAATGAGATGCTAAAAAAGGATTTTGAACGTTGTATCCAACCTCAGGTTTAGCATTTAGGACTTGCTCAAATTGATTTACAAGTTCCGGAGGAGTAACTGTATCCAACTCAGCTCCAAGTATAGCAATTGGAACGTTTACACCTGAAATTAAGATCGATAATTAATTTTTAAGAATATGAGCACCTCAGTCACTGCTATAAGAAATCTGCTTCTGATGAGCCTCTTACTTCCAAACATGCTTACATTGATGCACAACGATTGAAAAAAAAGCTCTGCCATAGTTAATTAATCATTTAGGTTAGAAGGTACTAAAGAACTGAAAAGGATTCTCTGTAATTTTAGGGCAAACTGCTGTTAATTCATTTTTGCATTTTTTTTTTCTTAAGTAAAAAATTAGTACTTAAATAAAAATACAAAAATGAATTAACTGCATCATGTAATTAATGCAGAGGATTCAAGAGTCCAGAACTAAGAAAATCCAATAAAACCCCTATACAAAGAAGAGAGACAGAAAGAAAAGGGAGAAACGAATGATCAGATTGGTGATGTGATGGAGGGAGATAAAGAGAAATTTGTTCTTGTAAAATTTTTTTGTGGGAATAATCCAACTCCACAAAGAATATGCAAATTAAGAAACAACCTAAACATTGAAAATTCATACCATCAATGTGATCCACATTGATAAATGCTGGATGTAATATCGCGGAAACTTCTATAAGTCTTGATTTCCCAAGATCACATACAGCCATAGCTGAGACATATTAAGAAGAAAACATATTATATTCTGTGAATTTAAGTTTTGAACATATTATAGACACTTTAAATACAACAATATTATACCTAAGGCTAGCTGAAACTAATATGCACACAAAGGGAGGGGAAATAAAGAGCGCCAAATAAGTGAAAGCCACTCACCACCCCAACAAAAACCGACAGCCCCAACAGCGGAAGCACCTTTACTTTTTAACGCTTCAATTATGGGTTTTGCAGCTTCAAAACCTTTCTCCTGTAAATATAATATGTCAGCTTCATAAAATGATGCATTACAAATTACAAGCAAAACCCAATTTTTATACATCTGAATTGAAACAAATCAGAATATTCGATCTCCAAACTACCTATAAAGGTGTTAGGCCAATTACAAAAATGATAATAACATAAGCCAAAAACATTGAATCTTTTCTTATGCAAAATCAGAGTTTACAAAGTTCCAATTAAGATGCCAAAATTGGATATCAATAAATAAGAACCAAGTATCATTCAGTAAATACTAACCGGTTCATGATCTTTTAGCCACACAGGTAAAGGCCTGTTCACATCCTCAAGATCAATGGGATCACCATTAAAGAAATCAGGAACCACTACATAATACCCAGCAGCTGCAACCTTGTCTGCAAGCTTCCTTCACAACAAAGAACACTGTATTACTTACCAGGGGAACACATTTCATTTAGTATCATAGATGGGATAGATAGCAGATCAGCAGAATGAAACATCCAATTCTTTGGGTTTATAATTTAGCTCACAAATAAAATAGTAAAGTGAAAAAGGTAGACATTCCAGTAGATCAAATATCAATTATATCACAAATTCACCAATTTGAGGATTAAAAATCTATCTATGATCTAACACACATACTATACACAATCTATGACATTTCTTGTGCATGAACCGTGACTCTATTAAGCTAAAAACAACTTATTTTTATAAATTATGTCAAAAAGCTTATTACAATAAGCTGAAAAGAGCTTATGAAACTTATAAATTATTTTTCGTAAGTCGTTTACAAACTCTTTCCAACATGTCCTAAATTGAACAAAGAAAGCAAACATGAGAATGAGCCATACCTTAGTAGTGGCGCTTCGTATCCTGCAAGACAAATTCAGCATGTGATTTAAAAGAAGATATTGGTCAAAGCCTGAAAATTAACTGATAAATGAAATAATTGATACTCGAGCGTTCAAAATCTCAAGCTTAACCCAAGTCGCTGGTTACAGCAACAAAGGAGAGACACGACTCAGTTCGCAAAGGCATGTCAAAAGTCATTTTCTTCATGTTTTTCTATCAATAATTATAAATATAATATTGTGTTCCCTATTTTTAAATATTTATAAGAACAAAGATAAAAATACATAATTTTTTTATGATAATTAAGAAAAGTATTCTCTCAAATATTTTCATTTTATTAATTACTTAAACTAAAATAAACAAAAAATTCAATCTTTAGAAAAACAATGTATTTTCTTTAATTGATTTAAAAAATATTAAATAAGAAAATATATAAATTTATTATAAAGGCAATTTTTAATTGTTTCAAGGCAACTAATTAAAAAATGAATTAATACCAAAAATATCAGAGAGGAAAAGAATGGCGCGATTGGAGTGAGGGGAGCCAGTGACATGTGAATTAAGACCAGCGAAATTGTCAACATGACCATCTCCACTGGTAGAATCCAGTGTTGGAGGGTTTGAGCAGCATTCTGGTCCTGACATCTTCTCTTTCTCTCTTCTTCTCTTGCTTGCAAGTTGCAATCTTTCAGGTTCTCTATTTATACACCAAGTTCTGACTTTGAATTTCAGAACTTTTTCCTTTTTTCTCTATATGTCTTAATAAATCATCCCAATTATTCGTAATAAAAAAACAAATTTTAAATACAATTAGACTCTTAAAAGTTTTTTTTTTTTTTACAATATGTTTCTTTTGATGGCAAAGAAATTGTCGACTCTTGTAATTTGTCAAAATGTTGAATGTTCTTATATTTCATTCAATCATTTGATTACGTAGAATTTTTAACTCATGTTTTAATCGCATTCACTAATTGTACTTTTTAACATGTTTATAAATAGTTATTGCATGGGTTTTGTTAAATGAATACGATAATATTAAGCGGTATTTTTAAGACACTAATTTAAAATATTAATAATTTTTTTATAACTAATAATATAAAAAAATACTTAATATTAATTTTTAAGTAGCTAAAATATTTTATAAAATATGCTAAATATTCCTCAACTAATGTCTTTAAATAACTCTTTTGTAAGACTCTAAGAAATATTACTTAAAAATATGCTGAATTTTTTTTTTAAGTCCATCGTGCATGGCGGGTCGACCAAATAAATTGAGTAACTTGTTATATATATATTTATTTATTTATGAAATATTAAATTGCAATCATAGACAAAGGAATCTTTTTCTTGTTTACTTTATAGTATTCAATTCGTTTCATCACATGAGCTAAATCCGTCGCCCTACTAATAAACAAAAGATAATAAAAATTTAAGTATGTTTGCTTTGTCCGTATAATTAGTTTTTTATGTAATTTATTATTAAACTTAATTTAAATATATTTAATATTTAAAAAATATTACTAAAACTGATTCTATCCTATGTTAAAATAATGAGGGAATGAGGTATGGGGCTGCTGAAAGAAAGGGTGGTCTTGTTTTAAAATGACTCCTTCCCGTTCTTCTGTAGGTTTGGGGCTGCTTAATTTTAAAGTGTCTCTTTGTCCCTTTCCTTTTCGTTTTTTATTTCATCCAATTTTGTGTCACGTCGTGATTTAATATATATAATTTTCTTTCTCTCTCTCTCGTACATTCTCCTGTTGCAGTAGTTGTTTAAATATTAGTAATGTATTATTTAATATATTAAAATTTATAACTTGACGTCTCCAAATTAATTAAAATTTAATATTTTGTTATAAATTTTTAAAAGTTATATAAAATATATATAGAGATAAATCTAATTAATATTAAGTATTAAATTTTTATATATTTATATCATTTAATGACTGTTTATAGAATAAAATATGAAATAATATAATTATCCAAAGATTTTTATCAAACAATTCAACGTATAAAATTTCATTAAAAAAATTAAATTAATATTTTGTCATATCATTTTAATTTAATAGATAATATATTTTTAAAATATAAATAAATATTAAATTTTAAATAACATACATACAAAATATCTAAATTATATAAAATTATATATATATATATATAATAAAAATATTTAAGATAATATAAGTATTTATGATAAATTACTTTAAAAAATAAAGTGTTTAAATTTAATATCCAACACATGTTGACTTATAATCTTCTTAAATTTTAAGCTTAAAAAAAGGCCTTGAAAAAAATTTATGATGATTATTACTCTCATTATAGCAACACTAATTAACATTTGTAATTTAATAGTAGTTAATCACAATTTTTAAAATTAAGTTTACGTATTTAAAAGTAATATTTTTAGTATAAGAAATATTTATTACGTAAGACACATAATAGTGTTAAAAAAACCACAAAAAAAGAAACATTTAAATGTAATGAATAGTATTTTAATAAAAATATTTATTTTTAAATGCTTAAATATAATTATAAAGATTAAAAACAATAAATAATAAATTTAATGTGAGTTAAAGTAAATTTTAAATCATTTCTGAATAATATTATATTGAGAGTACCTTGAAATTTTCTCAATCAATTTAACAAATAAATCGTTTATCAAAACTAAAATGAAAGTTTGTAATATATAACTTACTATCAGTAAGTTAATTAAAACCATTTAATTTTACAAGTAGTAGACTGAATTATAATTATTTAGTAAAATTAATTAAAATAAATATATAATATTTTATTAATATAATGTTAGAATTAAATAAAAAGAAAGATTTAGAATTTGTAATTTATTTAAAATAAAAATAACAAATATAAAACAAATTTATTGGTAGATACAAGGTGGATGTTACTTTAATAAATATTTAAAAAATTAGTTTTAAAAACTATCAATCCCTTTTATTTTGTGATTAAATAACTTTATAAGCTTTTTTTTAAAAATATTATCTCTTAAATAAGTTATAAACTTGCTTTCCAAACTATTTCAAATTTGGAATATTGACAAATACATCCCAAAATTCTTGAGCATTTTGCAGACAAAAGCTAAAACTCTACTATGATTCACACAAGCTTAACTTAAAGTGAAAGGTTGGCGAAAATTTTAGGAGGTTAATTGCATAGATGTAGTGCTAATTCTATTTTACTTCTCCTACCTAATGCGTGGTTTTTAAAAAAAAAAAAAAAACTTGAAATTATTGCTAAATGTTTTTAAAATATTTCAATATAATGGCAAAATTTAAATATAAGCGTGCAGCATTTATTTTTGAAGAGGGTATCACGCCTGTGTTTCTCCAATTTTAATAGAGGTGTTTTCCCCACTGCATTGAATGCAGTTTCTCCTGCCTAAAAAAATGCTTGAATTTATTGTTGAATGCTTTTAAATATTTTAATATAATGGAAGATTTTAATTATATGCGTCCAACATTTATTTTTAAGAGGGTATCACGCCTGTGTTTCTCCTATGTTAATAGAGGTCTTTTACCACAGTCAATGCAATTTAATGTGTGCTTTTTCCTTAAAATAATATTTAAAATATTTAATGTAGTGGAAAATTTTTAATTATCTGTGTCTAACCATTAATTTAAAGATTGTACCTACTCTGTGTTTTATATTGGCCTTTTCCTCGTTGCAGTGAATGCGAGTTTCTCCTGACCAACCAACAAGGTGGAAAGCGCTTCCTTCATTGATAAAATTTTTCGCATGAGACAAAATACGCGGTGAACTAACCACCAAACCGGTTTCTCAGGGTTACTTTTATTAAAGTAAATTTGAGAGTATATTTTATATTTTTTAAATTATTTTTTGATTTTTAATATTTTTTAATAAATTATTACTTTTTATTAAAATTATGATAATTACTTTACTTGTGAGAAAATATATAATATCTTTTAATTTATAAAATGTTATAGAAATTATTAAAATAATTATATTTTATAAATTTTTGTTATATTTTAAAAATGGGTATTGGGTTACAAGACAATAATCTCACTTGATGGTAGTTAAGTCGGTAGAACCAAGAAGCAAGTTGAAGAAGATACGAATGAATAGTGATATGCATAAAACTATTAAGGATATAAAAATAAATTATTTAAAATATATTTAAATAATAGGATATTAAAATAAATATACAAAATAAAGAATTAATATATTAATTTAATATGTGTGAGTATGTATATTTTAAGAAGTTGTTACTTAAAAGTATATTTTTATATCTCTTTAATTATAATTTTTTTAATTTACAAATTATGATAAAATCATTTGTAAAAAGGTTGATATTTTGTCACTTCTTGTGATCTTAGTTGTACAATTCTTCTAGAAGCTTTCAAAGGTTTGTCTTTTATATATAAAATATCTTTTTTTAAATTTTATAAATATTTATTATTTAAAAAATGTTAATAAGTACTCTCAAAATGTTGATTAATAAATAAAAATTATTAAAAACATTTAAAAAATGCTAGTAATACATTATTTTTAACACATTTTTATTAGTAGCTAAAATTTATTCAAAACAATAAAAATTATGAAATTCTTACTATTTATCACTTTTAAATTAATATTAAAATATGTTTAATAAAAATGTTGAAATATATATAAAAAATGTAATTGAATGTTTTATATAGAGGTTGATGTGTTATTTTTTTAATTTTATTTATGGGATTTAAAAAAAATAATGGTCCTTAATAAAAAAAATACTTTAAAATTTTAGAGATATTTTAACTATATTTATTAAGAAATAAAAAATATTTTAAATACATTTTTAGTATAATTTTAAATTCATCTTAAAATATGTTTAATAAAAAATTTATTTGTCATTTTTATAATGAGTATCTAGAAGATGTCCTTTGTTTTCATAGTTGTCATTCATTTGTTATAACTTTTAATTTAATATAATGATATAATTAACATTAAATGAGAAAAAATTTAAGTATTGTAATTAATATTTTTGAAAATGAGTAGATGAATTAATTTTAATATTTAAGATTTTGTAATGCGGCTAAAAAAGTATTTATTGCAAGAGAGCATGAAGTACGTGTTTGTGGTTGTTTACGAGAGAATGCGGACACAGCTTCAAGTTGTAAAGCAACGGTCAACAAATAGCTGTCTTCAGTGTCTCTCCTACTTAAAGCGAAACACAGCCATCAAAAATTCCGCAGAAGAAGATGAAGCATATTCCGAGTGAACTGCTGCATGAAGTCCTTTTGAGGTTGCCGGTGAAATCTCTTATCCGTTTCAAGGGTGTGTCTAAGTCATGGCATTCTCTCATCTCCGATCCCGACTTCGCAACATCTCACTGTGACAAAGCTTGCGCACCCACGCGTAAGCTTCTGTTGTTAAGGTCTTATACTTTTCATGATGTTCGATCCATAGACCCAGATGCATCCCTTCTTCATGATTCTCCTTCCGCTCCACTGGACGTTAACTTTCTACCCGCTGCACGTGGCGTTAACCTCGTTGGTTCTTGCAGAGGGTTAATACTTCTGGAGCATTCCAAGAATCTGTACCTGTGGAATCCATTCACAGGTGCCCACAGGTTAATGCCTTTGTCTCATGCTGCGTCCATTACCAACAGCATGGTTTTTCCCATTCTGTGCAGTTTTGTGTACGACCCTTCCACCCTCGACTACTCGGTGGTTCTGGTGTCCTACGTCCCTAGCGAAATTCATGCAACAACCCTCGTGGAGGTTTTCTCGTTCAAAGCTAATACATGGAAAAAAATTGAGGCTACTCATTTGAATTATGCAAACGGAGTTGATGATGTTATAAGGGTTGGGTCGCTCTTTAATGGAGCCATTCATTGGGTGGCTTTTTGTCTTGAAAAAATGGAGTATCTTATTGTTGTCTTTGATTTGAAGGAGATGACTTTTTCGGAGATATCTCCACCAAATGAGTTGCCTTGGGACTATAGATTTTGTGAGTTATGGGTACTTGGGGGATTTCTCAGCCTGTGGGTTGTGGAGAACAACACAACGGCCATATGGGTGATGGAAGAATACAAGGTGCAATCATCATGGACTAAGACCCTTGTTGTGTCTTTTGATCAGGTTCCTACTAAATGCTTCTTCCCAGTTTGCACTGCAAAAAATGGTGATATTGTTGGAAGTGTTGACAACACCGGACTGCTGAAATGTGACAATGAAGGACAGGTGAAAGAACAACGCTCCTACTGGACTGATCATCATGAATTCCAAGTCCAAGTGATTGAGTATACTGAGTCTCTACTCTCTCTCCCTGGTCCCCCCGAGCAAGCCGAAGAAGATGATTGAAAATTACAAACCAGGAGAATTGTGTTATGGAATTTTCTCTAATTATGTCTTTACCATTTTCTTTGAAATTAGGAACTAGATGCAATGTTTCCATTGTTAGTGATAATAGTTTAGCCTAAGCGAGTTACATGTTATGTTATGATGTCAGAACTGTCAAAGCTGGCTTCCATGCCAAACTGAATGCTTTTATTTTTATATTTATGTCTTATTAATGCATCAATTATCGTAATTTTATGAAAAATGTCTTTTATTTTTACTCTGGATTGACTTGAATATTGCCAAGCACAGTGCCAGAAATGAAGGATCGGAATTAAAGACTAATAATTTAAAGTAGTTAATCGTGTCCCTTGGCTGATTTATCAAAAAGAATATGTAACTTCTAATCCGGCGTTAATGTCAATGACACCACTGGTGAGGTTTTGCCTGGGCTGGTTCTTCACACACCATGTCTTTTCCGTCTAAACCTTACGAATTTAAGATCTCATTGTTTCTTCCATGAATATTATTTGTAATAGCACTAACTAATATTTATCATTTAATAAATATACAATTCATGGACGTACCTGGTTTTTGTTAATAAATTTAAAATTGATTTGATTTATTTAAAAGTCAGTATATTAAAAATAAAGCAATGCAACAGATTTTTTATAAAAAAAGAATATTTTAAAATGCTTAAGCTGCTTATTTTATTTCAAAATTTAGAATGACAAATACATCTCCCAATTTTCTGAGCATTCAGACAACAGCTAAAACTTTTAACTCCAATCTTAGGAGGTTAATTGCATAGATGCAGTGCATGCCAACTCTATTTTATATTGCTTATAGTTTAGAATGAATGTGATAAAATGCGGTTGTTTACGTGAGATTAATGCCCACAGTTTGCTTGAAGTTGTAATGCAACGGCATCACGGTAAACAAGCAGATGTTGTCTGTATCTCTTGCTTTACTGTCTCCTCTTCTTCCAGAAGCAGATAAGTTCAAGATGAAGTTGTTGGAGAACCAGAATTTTGTGAGGAAAACGGGAGGGATGGTAAAATAACATATTAACATATCAATTTTGAAAAATTGTCCTTTTGTTTCCTCTAAAACTCTCTTTTTAAATATTTTTTATATTAGAACTCAATTTTTTTAAAAGAAAAATGTTAATTTCAATTTTAAAATTAAAGATAAACAACTGAAAATGATATTTTTTTTATTGAAAAAAATATTTATCATTTTAAGAATAAATTTTTTAATAAATGTTATATTTTTTAATAAAAAATACTATTTTTAAATGTTTATTTATATATATATACGTATATTTTAAAAATACATTTAAAATATGGAAACGACATCCTAAAGCCTTTCTCTGAACGTTACATCAATCATTTCCTGTTGTCTAAAGGTTGCTGATGTTCGTTACACAGCAAAAGAAACAATCAAGTTTTAAAGGAAAAAAAATAAAAAAAACTCTGCTTTATTCTTCTCTTCATGTATTGGCAGGAGAGCTGTAAAAAACCAAATGCCTTTTTTTAAAAAAAAAAAAATTTACTTCAATTTATTGCTGAATTTTTAAAATATTTAATACAGTGGTGAAATTTAATTAAATGTGTCCAACATTTAATTTTTAAGATAGCATTGACCCATGTTTTCCTCCTATTTATCGAGGTCTTTTAATCACCGCATTGAATGTTGTAAGGTAAGTAAATGTATTAAATATGTTTATATTGTTAAAATAATAAATATATATTTTTATTTGATATATACTTTATAAAATAATAAAAATATATATCATAATTGTTTGTGTGAAGGTTGCTACATTGTTACGTCTCTCTATTCCCTTTTTAAAAGCTTTTGATGGTACATCCTTAATATAAGATCATTTTTAAAAATTTAAAAATATTTATTGTTTGGCAAAACATTAACGAGTACTGTTGTCGTATTAGCTAATAAATAAATAAATTATTAATACACTTTCATCATAATTTTTAATACATTTTAATATAATTTTCAAAATTTTATTTATTAATTCTTTAATCAACGTCGATGATAAGACCTTACCATTATTATTTTTATGTTTGTCCTTCATTAATATTGAGTGTTTTTAGACATTTTAAAATTTTTAATTCATTTTTTAAAATTAGTAAATTAACTAATTTTAATATATTTTTTTACTGTTTTATTAACTTCAATCTTAATTTGTTTAAACACCTATAAATATTTATTTTTATTTAAAAATATAATATTTATTACACTTTCATATTCCTAAAATATATAACTTTCTAATAAAAAATTTGCCCCTTTTAATTATTTTTCCTATAATGTAAGATTGGATATAGTATACGTGTGTGTATACGTGAAAATATATAATGTATATATTGCTCCACTCTTTCGTCTTCTTCCATGGTAATGAAGTGTCCCCAAGGAATAAGAAGATGCTGTATATATCTGTTGGAGGATTTGATTCGTGAAACCTTGTTGTTATAGTTGCCGGTGAAGTGTCTTTTACGTTTCAAGTGTGTCTCTAAGTTATGGCTTCGAATAATTTCCGATCCCGGCTTCGAAAAATATCATTATGAACGAACTGCTGCACGCACACATAAGCTTCTGTCGATACCTTCTTCTGCTTCTGATGTTCGATCCATAGACCCAGATGCATCCCTTCACGACGAGTCTGTTTCCGCTGCATTAAACCTTCACTTTCTACCACCCAACGCAGAAATACTGTTAAATCGCAGGTTCTTGTATTTTCCATTTCTCTATGGTTTTGTGTACGACCCTTCCACAAATGACCACATGGTGGTTCTGTCCTGCAACTTTGGCTCAGATGCTTCGGCAACCGGTGTGGAGGTTTTCTCGTTGAGAGCTAATATGTGGATACAAACTGAGGCTTTGTATTATGGGAACGATGTTCCTAATAATTTTAGAGTTGAGTCACTCTTGAATGGGGCTATTCATTGGTTAATTAGCTTTTTGTTATGATGTGTTGCATGTTATTGTTGCCTTTGACTTGATGGGAAGGAGTTTTTCAGGCATATTCCTGCTGGTTGATTTTGAATGTGACTTTAATTTTTGTGATTTGTGGGTACTTAGAGGATTTCTCAGCCTTTGGTAATTGGAGGAAGATGCAACAGTTATATGCATGGGTGATGAAAGAATACAGAAAGTGGTGATATTGTTGGAACAAATGGTGATAGAGGTTTGATAAAATGTGATGATCAAGGAAACGTTAAACAACGTATTGAAAGTTGGGTTCTGAAATACTCTCCCGTGTCATTACTGTTTTCTTGAATGTGACATGCTATTGTTTGTCGATGGTGATATTAGTTCATAGTTTGAAGCCTAAGCTACTTGTTATGAAGTACAAACTGTCAGTCATGGCTTTTATTTTTATATTTATGTCCTCATTAACACATTTTTTTATCAAGATATATTTTATCATTACAGAATATGCTATTACTCTGCGGATTGACATGAAGGAAGAAATTACTTCGTAAATAATTTAAAGTAATTTTTATTACTTTAACATAAATTGACATCAATATATTAATCCTGCGTTTATGTCAATGACACCAGTGGAGAGGTTATGCCTGGCCTGAATCTTTATACAATATTTCTTTACCGTCTAAACCTGACAAATTTATGATTTGTCTTCCATGGATATTATAGTAGCACGGATTAACATTTGTTATTTAATAAATATATAATTCATGGTACAATATAGCAATATTATCAAATTGCACGATCATTCAAACTGTTCGCTTAAATTTAATGATTTTGTTAATCCCTGCAATTACAAATGAGTTTATGCATTTTAAAATACTAATTTTTCATTTTTTAGATAAAAATTTATTGTATTAAAGATACAGCAGTTCAACAATTTTTTTTAATAATTTTTTTTAATTTTTAAATACTTAAAAATTTAGTCCTGAAAAGTAAGGTTAACTTTACTATGATTCACAAAAGTTTAACTTTTAAGTGAAGGGTAGGCCAAAATTTTAGGGGTTTAATTGCATCGATGCAGTACCAATTCTAATTCATTTTATATTATATACAATTTATAATGTATGCACAATCTGTGAACACAACACATCATCTACCTTGATCTCAGCCAAATTGCCTAGTGAACCTGCCTTTGAGCTAATACCATCCGTTTGATGTGTCACATAATAAGCAAGGAGAGATGTATTACAATATCAGAGCTGGTAAATTTTCTTTTGACAGAGAGGGGATGAATCTAGCAATGTCCAACAAAACAACAATACATTATTTATTTTCTAGTAAACTACAAGCACATGGCATGAGTAGCACATAGAATTTCTTATTTTATTTTTTCACAAACACAAATGTTCTTCTCAAGAAAAAGATTCCTTACTTGAGATGTTTAGCAAACCAGTCCAGCATGTCCTGATGGGCCTCTTCTGCAGCCTTCACAACTTCGGCATCTTCTTTTTTGTACCTCACACTCCAACCATGTGAGACTTTAGGAAATATTTTAGCATAACTATCCACCTGCAAAAAAGAAATATCAAACGGGTTAAAAATGGAGTGCTAAAAATAAAATTGGAACAAACCTAAGCTGCAGATAGATGCTTCAATTTCTACTTGTCCACACCTATTGAAAACAAAAAAAGAAGACAACATCTTGTAATTGTAAAAGAAAAAAGAGTCAACGTAGAAAGCACAATAATATCGTTAGAAAAACATAAATGTAATATAGAAATGATGGTAGATAACCACAAAAGAAAGAAAAAAAAAAATCTGACCCCAGGTTTAGCAGTTAAGACTTGTTCAAACTGTTTCACAAGCTCTGGAGGAGACATTTTGTCAATCTCAGCTCCAAGTATGGCAGTTGGAATATCAACACCTGAAAGTAAGACCAATAATTGGCTGTTAGAATATGAACATCTTAGTCATAGCTTCAAGAACTCTGCTAATGATTGCTCCTCTTTCTATGTATATTTTGAATCATTCAGAAGAGATGTCAAGTGGGAGTCTGAGCGATTTGGTATGAAACAAACTTCAATAAAGTAGAATCAATGCAAAATCAATTAAACCAAAATAAGTTTATGTACTATTGGAAATGAATCAAAGACAACAGGGGAAGATATTTTTTTTAAAATAAAAATTAACTGAAATTACCCCTATGTAGCAGATTGTTGCCTTTAGAAATTAGAAACATCTATGGCATGCATAGGCCATAGAAACTGCATCTTACATTTCTTTCTGGCTTTTCTTCACAAAAATTTTAATTCCTAATTTTTGTTTCACTAATGTATAGTTGTATACTTATTGTACATTAATATAACATATGCATGTGTACTAAAGAAACTACAACACAAATAAAAAAAACCATTCATGAGATCATCAAGTATAAATATAACAATGCTGACATTTGAAACAAACTCCAATACTCCATGGTTATTTTAGGCTTTTCTATAAAATGTCATTTACGATCCAAAAACTTCTCAAGTAATTATAAATTTGTGCAGCTTTCATGGCCTAATATAAAATATTCATCCATTTCTATCCTATAATTAAATGTTAAATGTGATGACTATGATTCTTGCAACATAGGAAAGAGAGAGAAAGCCAACTAGTCCCCTAATAGTTGATACACAGTTACAGTAACTGAGAATATATTATTTATAAATTTTTTATCACATCAGCAACATGAAAAAATGCACTGCAAGTCAGTGTGAGGAAAAATACGATTATTCTGGAAGTGATGCAAGGCCCTTGCCCTCGTCATGTAAAAACATGCTTAAATTGATGATATGACAAGATTCTGCAACATAATTTTGAATGCATTCCCCATTACAAATGCGACGTAATTTTCCATTAACAAATATGCAAATTAAGAAATAATCTAAAAATTGAAAATTCATACCCTTTATATCATCCACAGAGACAAACGATGGATGTAATAGAACAGCAGCTTGGATTAGTCCGGGTTTTGCTAGTCCAACCACAACTTTAGCTGCAGGAAAGAAGAAAACAGTACACTCTATGAGTTTGACTACTAACTAACTTGTGTTGAAAACTTCAAAGATACAAGTACTTACACCCCCAACAAAATCCAGCAGCCCCAATAGCTGACACCCCTTTACTTTTCAAAGCTTCAATTATGGGTTTTGTAACTTCAGATGCTTTGTCCTATTAATAAAATATGAAAGCATCAGAGAATGATGCATTGCAATTTACAAATAAGTCACAGTTTTGGTTCATCCAATCCAAGACGATTTATAGTATTTGATCTACAAATCCAAACCAGGTATAAAGGTGAAAAGCTAACATTCAATACAACTGGCCAAGTAAAACTTGTTATTTTAAGATAATTAAAAAAATTCTGAACAGCAACCTATAATAAATTTTCTTTGCTGATAGAAAGAATTGTGAACAACCAATTATAATAAAATGAGAACTAACCGTGCCATGATCTTTTAACCAAACAGGTACTGGCCTGTCAGCATTCTCAGGATTATAGGGATCACCATACAATAAATCAGGAACAACCACATAATACCCAGCAGCTGCAACCTTGTCTGCAAGGTTCCTTAACAACAGAAAACAAGCAGTATTACTTCGAAGGGATACACTTTGGCTTCAAAGAGAGAGGTGGAGAAAGAGAGAATTGGCAAAGAGAGCAGAATGAAACATCCAGATTCTATTGGCAGTATAAATTGTCAAAATCTTCAATAAAGTTTTAAAGTATAAGGTAGACATCCCAAAAAACCACATGATCAGGTGCATCATTAATGAAGATTAATAGTCTAGTTATAACATACAGTATACAGCATTACTTTGATAAATCACGACTCTCTAATTCATTTTATTATTTCGCTACCAAAATTGAAATCTGTCAGTCAATTTAAAAAGGAAATTAGGTTCAATTAAAACAAAATATAGAATATATTCTTCACAAACTCTGTAAATTTTAATTAATCTATAAATGAGTAATTGGATCAAGAAAACACGAATTTTCTCCCAAGAAATACATATTAGAGTCATCATCAGCAGGCATCAACTGTGAATCAGACCAAAAATAAAGCGGAGTAAGAATCAAATACCATGAGAGGCAATCTACTATTTATCCCCCTTCAATTATAAGTGAAGCCAAGATAACTTGCTCTGACTTATAACCTTAAAAAGTACTAAATTTTATGCAAAATATACATGAAATCATCTGAAAATTAGCCCATACCTTAAATTTGGTGCTTCATATCCTGCGAAACACATTGAGTATGGTAAGTTAAAAATAATATTGGTTAAAGACAATAACAGTAAGCAAAGTATATTTAAGTATGTGCATACAATCAATATAAGATGTTTTAACCATTTTTTCCCCTATAAATCAAAAGGGTGCATATACCCACTTGATTAGAAAACACCACAGCAGGGAACCACAAGTGTAAGCAAGGTAACCCAAGTCAAAGAAAATGCTAAAGATGTGATCTTTCATACATGCATAGAGAAGAGAACAGTAAAGATGGGATTTTTATAGATACCATAGATGTCGGACACAAGAAGAACAGCAAGATTGGAATGAGGGGAGCCAGTGAGATAGCAATTAAGACCAGCGAGTTCTTCAACATGCCCTGCTCCTCCATTGGGGTTCAGAATTGGTGGGTTCGAGCAGCATTCAGGCCCTGACATTCTTATGCTATCACTCTCAAACTTATGCTTGCACAAAGATGAGGTCAATAAAAAAAGAAAGAGAAAAATGGCAGATTCGATCCAACAACGTTGGCTCTGAGTCTCTCACTCTGCACAACTTATCAAGTGTCTCGGGAACCTGTATTTTTTAATTTAAATAAAAAAGTATAAATAACTTAAAATTTTATATTTAAATTATAAATGTAATAAATAAATTATTTTTCATTTTTATAAAAAATTAATTTAAAATATATAATTAAAAATATAAAATCCATGCTTAATTTTTTTAAAATAATAATTTAAAAAATCAAGAATAATTTATAAATTAAAGAATAAAAATATTAAAATAAATATTAAACAAAAATAAATCTTATAACTAAAATAATAATAATAATAATAATAATAATAATTAAATTAATAAAATGTCTTACATATAAAATGTATAATTTAGAAATTATAACATAAGAATTTATTAAAGAAAAAAAAAGCAAGCATCATCTCTCAAATCGAGTACAATTAATTTAGTTAGGCTCTAATCACCTTAACTTTGTGACTTGAATAATTTTTAAATGATATAAGTTTTCTTCCTTAAATTGTTAATAATAAAAATACAGGCATGAATCACATTGATACGGTCACATAAAGATAAGAAAAAATAGTTTTACAGCGCTTGATAAGCAGAGTTTTATCAAAATATTCTGCTTTGAAAGTTAAAAAAGCAGGGAAGAAAAATAAAAACTTCATTATTCAGAACACTTTCTTGGAACATGATGCATGCATAAAGGTTCAACAATCCCTTTCATCTAAAACTGTTCTCTAGAAAATGCAAACTGGGCTAATTAACAATTATGTTTACAGTGTTAACCATAAGCAGTCATGCATATCGTCGATGCAGCTATCAATCTCAGCATAGCATATAATTCACGGGGAATTTTCACTTTAAACAATGCTTTTCACTTAACATGCTTATGAAACCAATCCAGCAAGTTTCGATGGGCCTCCTCTGCAGCCTTCACTGCCATTTCATCTTCAGCGTTGTACCTTATAGTCCATCCATGCGACACTTTAGGAAATACCTTTACATAACAATCAGCCTGAAGAGAACAAAAACAAAGTTGTGAATCAAAAGTTTAAGGAGCAGTGTCATGGAAGTTGTTTCTTAACTATTTTTGGAAGAATAGTGTTACATTGCAGTATTTTACTAGCAGCATATCATCAATTCATGATCAAGGTATTATAAAGAGATTCTACTAGTAAACCACAGTATGAAGGAAAGGATCATACTACCCCAAGTTCAGCAGTTAGGTGTTGTTCTAATTGTTTCAGGAGTTCTGGAGGACAATATTTGTCAATTTCAGCTCCAAGGATAGCAATTGGAATATTAACCCCTGAAAGTAACACCAAATGTTGGCTGGTGGGTTATGAGCATATAATTTAGCAGTGTGCAAGAACTAGGATACTCTCCCATTCTTATCTTTTAGAATTGATTGGCAGTGAACAGAACGCAATAGAATGACTGTTTAGATGGTAATAGTACTTAATGAAGTTCATTATTGCAGGAGGAGAAAAAGAAAACAAGAAAGGAGATAATTAGATCGATGTAAAACTTCCCAATTTAGCAAATGGTTTTCCCTCCTGAAACATGACTCCATAAATGTCCATATACATAACCAAAAACAAACACATGAAAAAGGTGATGATATAGACTAATTTTGAGAAACTTGGGTGATTTATTCAGCAACTTTATTAGTCATGTTTGGAACTCTGACTAACTCTTTTTAACATTTCCTTAAATCTAGGGCCAAAGCCAAGATATCAGAGAGTTGGAAATATAATATAAAATCATTCATGTGTCTTCACGTAACAGAAACTTTTAGCATAAGGTAGACGACCTATGCATTGTTCACGCTTCAACCACAAAGGTGTACTGGGCGAAGAAGCGTGTTAGAAATACAATATAAAAGCTGTTACGTGTCTTCATCTAATAGCTTAAACTTTTAGGATGGTCAGTTCATGACAATGAGTCATGTATGATTTTTAGGAAGCATAGATAAAAGTGATCTTAATATTTAACACATGAAATACACACATAGAAGTCCTTACCTTTGATGTCATCGAGGGTGATAAATGATGGGTGTAGTAGCACAGCAGCTTGGATTAATCCAGACTTGGCAAGTTCCACCACACTCTTGGCTGAGAAGTTAGGAGGAAATACCAACGCCAGTAAACTCAGCAATTAATCATTGCATATTTTGTGATTGTTAAGTTGTCTTATTAAATCAAAGTATCTAACCAGTAAGTATATATTAGATTAACCGAATGTGCTTTTTAAACAAATAAAACAGATAGTAAGTGGGAAGCGGGAACGCACCACCCCAACAAAAAGAGGCAGCCCCTATAGCCAAAACACCTTTGTGTTTTAAAGCTTCAATTACTGGCTTTGCATCTTCAAAAGCTTTGTTCTATTAACACGACATTAAAGCATCTGAGCACTATGCATTGCATTTCACAAATAAGAAAAATTATTTTCGCATTTGATTGGTGACATCAATTAATAATCAATTACCAATAATGTCATAACTCATAAGCCCATAAATAGCTAGCTAACAGCAATATGTAGAGAACTATCAATTCGAGTGGTAGTGACACATAAATGAAGCTTTACTTCAATCATAAATGCTTAAATATCAGAATTAACAATTCTGCGCAAGGACTCAAATTATTGGATTACAAGTACAGATAATCCTTGGAGAACTCACTGGTTCATGATCTTTTAACCAAACAGGTAGAGGCCTGGTAGCATCCTCGGCAGCAAAGGGATCTCCATACAAAAAATCAGGAACCACTACATAGTATCCTGTAGCTGCAACCTTATCTGCAAGTTTTCTTTACAACAGAAAACAGCAGGCATAAGTTTCAAAGGGAATAATGCATCATAATTAATATAAGCACAATGGATCAGGTTACAAAATAAGTATCTGTACACAAATGCATCACCGTTGTAACGTACACTATTCTGAAACGTACACCTTGGAAAATTTAAAACTTAATCAGCGTTAACATGACACTAGTGATAAATTCTAAATGTTCATGTTCCCTAGTTTAAGATTCAGACAAGTTGACTAAAATAATTCAGCGGTAGATCAGCATGATGCAGAAAAGCAGATAAACAATTTTCCTTTCCAGATGAGATGACTAAATTATCAAAATTTAGACTGGAAAACAAACACTAGAAGTATCCATCATACATTTCATACCTTAGGATTGGAGCTTCGTAACCTACGGGATAAGTTAAATGAACACGTGAAGTTAAAAATGTGAGACAGGCTTTGAATGAATAACTTTAAAGCTGAAGAATAACAACATCCAGGTTCCAGAAACAAAATAATAATCATGCTGATATTGATAACCCAAGTACTGAGAAAAGGAAGAGTTTCAGGTACCAAAAACATCTGAAACCATAAGAATGGCAAGTTTCGAGTGGGAGGGGCCAGTGACATAAGCATCAAGGCCACCAAGTTTTTGAACGTGGCCTATTCCAGAGTTTGGGTTGAGGATTGGTGGGTTTGAGCAGCACTGAGGACCTGACATTTTTCTTCAGTACATGGCCTTATTTTCTTTCTTCAGGCTATTTATATATGAGCTATATACTAAGATGTTAGGTGAGATTTATGATTTGGCTAATGCAATATTGGAGTGAAGACCAATACTCAGGACTCAGGAGAAAGAAAAGGATTAAAATAATGCTACCATTCCAACATCTAAACTGCTTGCTGAGCAAGGCAAGGAGAGACAGTCAAACTCTGCTTTTTAACACTCGTTATCAATGTTTGAAGAAGCCTTAGAAAAATTGGTTTATCTGGTGTAAACTATGATGTGATATAAATTAAAAACAATCTCTTTAATAATTAATTGAAATAAAAAGTTACAGCATCATCAATCAGACATATTTATTTATTATTATTATTTGCTATTTTATATTTATTCCATATAATCCAATCAGCTAAAAATTAGATCATAAATTACATTTTGACTCAAATAATACAAAAATTCTATAAATGATTTACAAAACAAAAAGAAAATAACATCTAAATCGTGACAGTCGTGTGACCATTGTCGTAGATGGAAGGAAATTTACCGTCTGCATTTATACGAGTTTTCCTTTTAGATTTTAATTTTAAAATAAATTTAAAAAAATAGGTGCATGTCATGAGAGAATCCTTTGAAATTTTATTGTTGTGAAAGAAGAATAAGCATACCAACTATTTTATAAGTTAGACTTAAACATCCTTTCATTCGTTGCCATGCGCTTAACTATCAACAATTTCAAATGAAGCCTTCTAGACTAAGTCGCAGCAGTTTGATGGAGCTAGGCTCAGTTTAAGTAGATTTTTTGAAAAATTCTTAGAAGAAAAGAAAATTAATATAAAAATAAATAATTTTTTTAATAAATTAAAAATAATTTATCTCTTCAATTTTTAGAGAAGTTAAATAAAAAATAGAAATTAATTTTAATTTATAAAAAAATCATTTTATTATTTAATTGTTTACTCTTGAAAATACTTATTAAGATTCTTATCCAAAGTAATCATGAAAATATCTGGTCAATCCCAAAAGAACAAAGAAAGTAAACAAGATATTAACATAAAGGTCTGAAAATATGATTTATTAACATCTCGAATCAAAACCATACAACAAACTCAAATCACCTGAAAGCAAAATTATTAACGATGATCTAGCAATAAGATCCATGTGTAACAGGTAAATAATACAACAATTATTTTCTTGCACATTACAGCTACCCTGATTGAGTAGCAACATTTGTCGTACTCCACTAGTATTCCGTGATACAATGTTGATAGAACAAGATTTCTCACTTATGATGTTTCGCAAGCCAGTCCAGTAAGTCCTGGTGAGCTTCCTCCGCAACCTTCACAGCCTCTGCATCTTCCGGGTCGTATCTCACAGTCCAACCGTGTGTAACTTTAGGAAATATTTTAACAAAACTAGCAACCTGCACAAGAAAAATAAAAGGGTTCAAGAGTGATATCTAAATATGAGATTCTTGTGTGTGCGCAAATACAATAAGTAATGTCTTTCCGAACAGCAAGCAAGCCAAAAAAATGTTAGAAAGCTAACCAAGCTGAATTGACAGCATGCAGAATCTTGTAATAGAAGAGAGAGAAAGAAAACAAATATATATGGGTGAGAATGGATTAAATAACATCAAATGTCAAACCTAATAAAATGATACATTTAATAACTTTTATTAAAAGTGAATTTTGTAAATCCAACCTGATGAATTAAAAGTTCTCATAAAGTGATCAACCCAACAGAATTTCATACAATTTAAGTTGATTGACATTCCAGCACTACGCTTCATTTTAACGCATGATGTATAAACTAAAATAAAGTTTTCTTAGATTACAAATCTATGCATGTCTAAATTATATAAAATTTTATTATATACTTGATAATATCACCTGAATGTTGGGTTAGATTGAAAATATTACTTTTGATAAAAAAAATATTATTAGAAGTATTAATTTATCTAAGTTTGCCACTAGAAGTAGTTTGATCCTATATGTATATATAACGAAAGCATCAAGATAAACATAAACATAAAAGGGTGACAGGTAGCCACAAAAGAAAAATCATCTGACCCCAGATTTTGCAGCTAGGACTTGTTCAAACTGCTTCACAAGCTCTGGAGGAGAAATTTGGTCAATCTCAGCTCCAAGAATAGCAGTTGGAATATCAACACCTGAATGTCAGACCATTAGTTAACTGTTAGAATATGAACATAGTACATCACAATCACTGCTTTAAGAAATCCGCTTCTGATTCTTCTCTTCTTTTTCTTTTCCTTTGTCTTTATTAAATCCTTAAAAAATGACAAGTGAATGATTTTGTACGGAAGAAGCTCCGAACTAAAACAGAATCATTATACTGCTGAAAAGAGGCATTTACATCAGGAAAAGGGGGGAATATCAATGTAAATTATCATACATATGACCTCTAGAGCATGGATTGCATGCATAGTTCACAGAAAACTGCATCCTATATCTTACATGTAGTCTACACACAATTGAATTCCTAACTCTTTGCACTTATAATCATATATATATATATATATATATTATACAAGTACATAAAATATACATAAAAATAATCAATCATGAGGTTGTCCGGTATAAATACGAAGCTGGCATTTAAAACACATTTCATTGTCATTGCAGGTATAGCTCCTCTTTCACAAAAATAAAAAAATAAAAATTCAAGATCCAATCACAATTACAAATAATAAACACATTTTGTTTCATACAAACAAAAATATCATTCAGTCAAAACTTCTCCCTGCAGATTTTGAATATGTTTTTATAAAAACAAAATTAATTAATCCAAACATTAACTAAATATAATGATTATGATAATTAGATAACAGATGTGTCAATATAATTTTAGTACTCTGAAAAGAAAAAAAAACAAGATAAAAGAAAGGAGAATGAGATCAAGAAAGGCAATTTGTCCCTAAAATAGTGAGACAATAACAGTAACTGGGAAAGAATATAGTAATAATAATTCAATAATAAATATATTTGTTCAAATAAGCTATATATATATATATATATATATAGATAGATAGATTTCTCATCGGCATTAAGACAAATATAATTCTCTAGCAAGTGACATAAGAACTCTTGCTCGAAAACATGCTTAAATTGATAGTAGTAACACTGAAAAGTTTTTGTTTTCTTTTCTTTTTTTATTGAACAAGAAGCTATAACATAACTTTAGTAGCCTTTTCCCTTAGAAGATGCTAAGAGACATACCCTAAAGAAAGACTATGCATAATAAAGAAAAAAAAAAATCTAAATATTGAAAATCCATACCCTTTATGTCATCCAAAGAGACAAATGATGGATGCATTAGCACAGCAGTTTGGATAAGTCCGGATTTCGCTAGTTCAACCACAACCTTAGCTGCGAGAAAGAAGAAAGGTGCATTTTGTGAGTTCAGATATCACCTTGATTGTGTTTAAAACTTTAAACCAAACATAAATCAATAAGTACACCTAAAATGATTTGAATCTGCTTTAAACACAAAAGGGGGAGGTGTTGAAAAGTCAAGAACGGTGTGCCATTTTCGGTGCCTAACATTCGGTTGAATGTTAACGTTTTCGGTGCCTAACTTTGGTTGAAAAATTAGCAAATTGTGATGCTTTGTTGTCTATAAATACGAAGCTCTTTCATCCATTCTTTGTATCCCATTTCTGAGAGAAAAATAGAGAGCAAATAAGAGAAAGAAAAAGAGAGAAAATAGTTTAGCTTTTGGGTATAATTGGGTTATGGGTTGTGAGTATTTTAAGTGTTATGTAAACACTGAGTGTATTTCCTTTTTTAGTAATATATCTGCAGCAGTCCGGAGACGTAGGCATTATTGGCTGAACTCCGTTATCAATTTTGTGTGTACAAATATTCCACATTTATTTTTCACTTCCACAAATCTGATGTTACAAGAAAATTCGGCGTAATTTTCTCAACAACTGGTATCAGAGCCTGATTCGAAATTCTGCAATTTTTTGTGAGGTACTGTTCATATGAATAGTAAAATTCTGCAATCTGTACCGTTCACACGAATAATAAACTCGCAAGTATTGTTCACGTGAATAGTAAATAGTGAAAAATTTGTCAACATTACAAATTTGTTCACAGACGTGTTCTAAACACAGTGGTATACAGAAATTGTCAGAAACAATTCTGAGGGAAGTCAGATTTGAGTGGGAGTGATGGCCGCAGATGAAGGAAAGGTGAAAATTGAAAAGTTCGATGGTACAGACTTTGGCTTTTGGAAGATGCAGATTGAGGATTATCTGTATCAGAAAAAGCTGTATCAACCTCTCACAGTAACAAAGCCAGAGGGCATGAAAGAGGACGAATGGAATCTTCTCGATAGACAAGTCCTTGGAGTCATCCGGTTGACGTTATCCCGTAATGTTGCTTTCAACATTGCAAAAGAAAAGACCACGACAGATCTTATAAAGGCTCTTTCCGACATGTATGAAAAGTCGTCTGCTTCAAATAAAGTTTATTTGATGAAGCGGTTATTCAACCTTCGGATGACAGAAGGCGCATCAGTAGCGCACCACATAAATGAGCTCAATACACAAAATTGATAACGGAATTCAGCCAATAATGCCTACGTCTCAGGACTGCTGCAGATATATTACTGAAAAAGGGAATACACTCAGTGTTTACATAACACTTAAAATACTCACAACCTATAACTTAATTATACCCAAAAGCTAAACTATTTTCTCTCTTTTTCTTTCTCTTATTTGCTCTCTATTTTTCTCTCAGAAATGGGATACAAAGAATGGATGGAAGAGCTTCGTATTTATAGGCAACAAAGCATCACAATTTGCTAAATTTTCAACCAAAGTTAGGCACCGAAAACGTTAACATTCAACCGAATGTTAGGCACCGAAAATGGCACACCGTTCTTGACTTTTCAACAATCTCCCACTTGAAGACTGATTTCAATCTGTCTTCACAGCTCAATTAATGCAGCAGTCTTTTCATTATCTATTATTCTAGCAGGCCAACTGAAGTTGAACATAACTTCAGTTTGTCAATGGTCACCACCTTTGTTAGCATGTCTGCTGGGTTCTTACTTCCTACAATCTTTTTCAATGTTAGCACCTCATCTTCAAGCAGAGATCTGATGAAGTGATAACGTATATCAATGTGCTTTGTTCTAGAGTGAAACGCTAAATTCTTTGCCAGATGTATTGCACTCTGACTGTCACTGTGCAAAACACTCCTTTCTTGGATGAATCACAGCTCTGTTAACAAACCTTGAAGCCATATCAATTCTTTACTAGCTTCTGTTACTGCTACATACTCAGCTTCTGTAGTGGATGATAACGGAGTTCAGCCAATAATGCCTACGTCTTATACCCATAACCCAATTATATCCAAAAGAGAGAAGTCAGATTTGAGTGGGAGTGATGGCCACAAATGAAGGAAAGGTGAAAATTGAAAAGTTCGATGGTACAGACTTTGGCTTTTGGAAGATGCAGATCGAGGATTATCTGTATTAGAAAAAGCTGTATCAACCTCTCACAGGAACAAAGCCAGAGGGCATGAAAGAGGACGAATGGAATCTTCTCGATAGACAAGCCCTTGGAGTCATCCGATTGACGTTATCCTGTAATGTTGCTTTCAACATTGCAAAAGAAAAGACCACGGCGGATCTTATGAAGGCTCTTTCCGACATGTATGAAAAGTCGTCTGCTTCAAATAAAATTTATTTGATGAAGCGGTTATTCAACCTTCGGATGACAGAAGGCGCATCAGTAGCGCACCACATAAATGAGCTCAATACAGTCCTAACCCAATTGAGTTCAGTTGAGATTGAATTCGATGATCAGGTACGAACATTGGCACTTTTGTCCTCTCTACCAGAAAGTTGGAAGACTACTGTCACAGCTGTGAGTAGTTCGACGGGAGACACTAAGTTGAAATTCAATGATGTTCGTGATCTGATTCTAAATGAAGAAATCTGACAAGAGAGTCAGGAGAATCATCAACCTCTTCAGTATTGCATACAGAGTCAAGAGGAAGAAATTCAATCCGAGGAAATGAACGTGGTAAATCAAAGGACAAGAGGTCCAAATTCAGAAGTCATCATAGTTCCCACAAATCGAAGGCAATCGAGTGTTGGAATTGTGGAAAGTCTGGGCACTACAAGAATCAGTGCAAGAATGCACGAAAGAATCAGGACGTGAAAGACGAGGCAAATGTTGCTTCCACCTCTGGAGGAGATGATGCGTTGATATGTTCTTTAGAGAGCAAGGAAGAGTCTTGGGTGTTAGACTCTGGAGTATCTTTTCATGCCACTTCGCAGAGAGAATTCTTCAAAAACTATGTTCCCGGAAACCTTGGTAAAGTTTACCTTGGTAACGACCAATTATGTGAGATTGTGGGTAAAGGTGTAGTGAAGGTTAAGTTGAACGGGTCTGTATGGGAATTGAAAAATGTCAAACATATTCCCGACCTGACAAAGAACTTAATCTCAGTAAGCCAGTTGGCCAGTGAAGGCTACACAACAGTCTTCCACGGTGATAATTGGAAGATTTCAAAGGGTGCAATGGTAATTGCTCGTGGCAAAAAGAGTGGTACTCTTTATAAGACAGCAGGAGCATGTCATCTGATTGCAGTTGCAGCAAATGAAAATCCCAATCTATGGCACCAGAGACTAGGCCATATGAGTGAGAAAGGGATGAAAATTATGCACTCAAACGGTAAGCTACCAGGTCTTCAGTCAGTAGAAATTGACATGTGTGAAGACTGTATACTTGAAAAACAAAAACGAGTCAGCTTTCAGACAAGTGGAAGAACCCCAAAGAAGGAAAGACTCGAGCTTGTTCACTCTGATGTTTGGGGTCCAACATCTGTTCCATCCATTAGTAGGAAGCAATACTTTGTTACTTTTATCGATGATCACTCCAGAAAGGTATGGGTATACTTTCTGAAATATAAGTCTGAAGTATTTGAGGCTTTCAAGATGTGGAAAACCATGGTTGAAAATGAAACAGGATTGAAGATTAAAAAAATTAGAACCGATAATGGTGGTGAATATGAAGACACCAGATTCAAGAAGTTTTGCTATGAGCACGGGATCAGAATGGAGAGGACCGTGCCATGTACGCCTCAACACAATGGTATAGCTGAGCGTATGAATCGAACGTTGACTGAAAGAGCTAGAAGCTTGCGTGTGCAGTCAGGCTTACCAAAGCAGTTCTGGGCAGAAGTAGTTAACACAGCAGCTTACTTGATCAACTGAGGTCCATTGGTACCATTGGAGCACAAAATACCAAAAGAGGTATGGAGTGGAAAAGACGTAAAACTCTCACATCTTAGAGTTTTTGGCTATATAGCATATGTGCACATTAATGATCAAGGCAGGAGTAAGCTTGATCCCAAATCAAAGAAGTGCACTTTCATCAGTTATGGTGAAGATGAGTTTGGCTATCGCCTATGCGATGATGAAAACAGAAAGATGATCCGCAGCAGAGATGTAATCTTCAATGAAAGAGTGATGTACAAGGACAAGCATAGCACAAGCGCCAACAATGCAGAACAGATTGAGCCAGCGTATGCAGAAGTGGATGATATCCCAGAAAATCCTGTAGTTGAGAATCCTCAGTCAGAGAAATCAATTGAAGAGAACAGTAAGCAGCAGTCTGACACATCAGAGGCTCCTATTTCAACTCCTGTATTGAGAAGGTCTTCTCGACCTCATGTGCCTAACAGGAGATACATGGACTACATGTTGTTGACTGATGGAGGAGAGCCTGAAGATTATGAAGAAGCATGTCAAACTATAGATGCCAACAAGTGGGAGCTTGCTATGAAAGACGAGATGAAGTCTTTGATCTCTAATAAGACATGGGAACTAGTTGAGTTACCTATGGGAAAGAAGGCACTTCACAACAAATGGGTGTATCGGGTGAAGGAGGATCATGATGGCTCCAAGAAATACAAAGCCCGACTAGTTGTCAAAGGATTTCAGCAAAAAGAAGGAGTTGACTACACTGAAATCTTTGCTCCAGTTGTAAGGCTCAATACTATCAGGTCTGTCTTAAGTATTGTGGCTAGTGAAGAGCTCTATCTTGAGCAATTGGACGTGAAGACTGCATTTCTTCATGGAGACTTAGATGAGGAAATCTACATGCATCAACCTGAAGGTTTCTCAGAAGAAAGGAAAAAGAATATGGTATGTAGATTAAAGAAGAACTTGTATGGCCTGAAACAAGCCCCAAGACAGTGGTATAGGAAGTTTGAAAGCTTCATGCACAAGGAAGACTTCCAGAAATGCAATGCTGACCACTGTTATTTCTTCAAGAGGTATAACTCCAGTTATATCATTTTGCTACTTTATGTTGATGATATGTTAGTAGCAGGTTTAGATATGAACGAGATTAGAGATCTAAAGATGCAGCTGTCAAAAGAATTTGACATGAAGGACTTAGGTCCAACAAAGAAGATTCTTGGAATGCAAATCACGAGAGATAAGCAAAGAAAAATTTTGCAGTTATCTCAGGAGGAGTATATCAATCGTGTTTTACAAAGATTCAATATGGACAAGGCCAAGCCAGTTAGTACACCTTTGGCCAGTCACTTTCGCCTATCCAAGGATCAGTCCCCTCAGACGGAGGAAGAAAGAAACTTCATGGCTAAGATTCCATATGCTTCAACCATTGGAAGTTTGATGTACGCAATGGTGTGTACTAGGCTAGACATTGGCCATGCAGTAGGAGTTGTAAGCAGGTTTATGGCAAATCCAGGAAAAGTTCATTGGGAAGCAGTCAAATGGATTTTGAGATATCTACGAGGCACAACAAAAAAGTGTTTGTACTTTGGAAAAGGAGAATTAAAAGTACAAGGCTATGTAGATGCAGACTTCGGAGGTGAAGTCGATCACCGAAGAAGTATCACTGGTTACATTTTTACTGTTGGTACTACAGCTGTCAGTTGGATGTCGCGGATACAGAAGATTGTTGCTTTATCCACTACAGAAACTGAATATGTAGTAGTAACAGAAGCCAGTAAAGAGTTGATATGGCTTCAAGGTTTGTTAACAGAGCTTGGATTCATCCAAGAAAAGAGTGTTTTGCACAGTGACAGTCAGAGTGCAATACATCTGGCAAAGAATTCAGCGTTTCATTCTAGAACAAAGCACATTGATATACGTTATCACTACATCAGATCTCTGCTTGAGGATGAGGTGCTGACATTGAAAAAGATTGTAGGAAGCAAGAACCCAGCAAACATGCTAACAAAGGTGGTGACCATTGACAAACTGAAGTTGTGTTCAACTTCAGTTGGCCTGCTAGAATAACAGACTAGAAAAGACTGCTGCATTGATTGAGGTATGAAGACAGATTGAAATCAGTCTTCAAGTGGGAGATTGTTGAAAAGTCAAGAACGGTGTGCCATTTTCGGTGCTTAACATTCGGTTGAATGTTAACGTTTTCGGTGCCTAACTTTGGTTGAAAAATTAGCAAATTGTGATGCTTTGTTGCCTATAAATACGAAGCTCTTCCATCCATTCTTTGTATCCCATTTCTGAGAGAAAAATAGAGAGCAAATAAGAGAAAGAAAAAGAGAGAAAATAGTTTAGCTTTTGGGTATAATTGGGTTATGGGTTGTGAGTGGTTGTGAGTATTTTAAGTGTTATGTAAACACTGAGTGTATTCCTTTTTTCAGTAATATATCTGCAGCAGTCCGGAGACGTAGGTATTATTGGCTGAACTCCGTTATCAATTTTGTGTGTGCAAATATTCCACATTTATTTTTCACTTCCACAAATCTGACGTTACAAGAAAATTCGGCGTAATTTTCTCAACAGGAGGGGCCGGGGATGCACAGAAAATAAGGAGAATGTGATGCACTCACCACCCCAACAGCAACCAACAGCTGCAATAGCAGTAACACCTTTACTTTTTAAGGCTTCAATTATGGGCTTTGCAGCTTCAAAACCTCTGTCCTGTTAAACAATGCAAGTATCAGAGAATGCTACAATTTGCTCGTGTGATTTGAGACAATTCTTGGCTCAATCTACACATCAAAACTGCCAATAAAGGTGGTGGGCCAGTAGCTAAACTGATAATAACATTACCTAAACTGGACATCCAAATCCGGTTATACATTTTCCATATCAGAGTGCTCAAAGTTTCAAGAAGGCTAGAAAAATTGTATTTCAGTCAAAAGTAAAAATACAGAAATTTGGATTTGTTTTTCTTCAAATTCTCAAGACCTTCAAATGGCCATTTGCAAGTAAGATAAAATTTTTACATTCCGCCTTGGATCATGTGATTAACATTGTTAATAAAAAAAAAATCCATTTGGCTATACATAAGAACTAACCGGTCCATGATCTTTTAACCAAGCAGGAAAGGGCCTGTTAGAATCCTGAGTATTAAACGGTTCACCATCCAAGAGGTCAGGAACAACCACATAATATCCAGCAGCTGCAACTTTGTCTGCAAGCTTCCTACACAACAGTGAACAAATAGTGAGGAAGTGAGACAAAACGGGCAAAGAGAGCAAAATCAAAACACCAGATTATATTGGCAGTATAATTTACCAAAACCTTGAGAAAATTTTAAGTGAAAAGGTACATATCCCAATGAACAAAATAACTATACCACAATTGCATATTACAATAACCAAGTCTTTTTCTACTAGGTGAGATTAGCTATATAAATTAAACGATGTCATTATTCTCCGTTGTCATCTATGAAAATTTAAACTCTAGCTATAATCTAGCATATCATATACATTTTACAGCATTACTCCCACAAACCATTACTCGTTGGATATTTCCCTGCTAGTTTTTAGTATGGTAACCAAAAAAAGATCATCACTTGATCATTTCCCCGTAGAAGTTGAAATTTATCACTCCCAGTCACCTCAAGAACATGAGCAAGCAATTTCAAAAGGACAAGTATGTTCAATTTGAATATAGCAACGAATATCATCTTCACAAACTTTATAGTTCTCACTAATTTATATATGAGCAATTGGATTTTTTTAAAAAAAAAAAATTTGCTCCCTAGACAAACACACCACTATTCACATGAGATAAGCAGACTATAAAAATTAAAAGAATTAATTAGACATAGAAACAGAGATGAAAATTAGCCCTACCTTAAATTTGGTGCTTCATACCCTGTAAAAAAAAAAGAGCATGTGAAGTTAAAAGAAAATTTTGTTCAAATAATAACTGTTAAAAGATTATCTGTCTACATTCAATATGATCATTGAAGTCTTCGGTTAGGCAAGAAATTATAAGCACGTAAATGTTTACAAATCATAAAAAATTAAATTCCAGAATATCCACGCAGTTTGATATACTTTCAGGTGTTAAAGACAATACTCGGCACCTTCCAAAAATAACCAAAAATAAGATGCGGGTCTTTACACAGTCCAATGCCTTTTTATCATGTCAACAAGAATTTTTGAGTGACGAGGGCACTTCAAACTAAGTCATGCCTATTTCAGACGTGTAATTATAGGCACTAATAACCAGAATAGTATCAGAATTAAAGATCTTATGACCAATTGTTTTTCTTCAGAATCAAATATGTGGGAATAAAATATAATAAGGAAAACGTTTGTAGGATGAATTGTACAAAATAAGGGTGTCAATTTAAAAAAACAATATAGACCAAATGAAATCCATCTCTACACACATTTATGGAAGAACCATAGAAAGTGAGAAAGAAGTGGCAAAGATGAAATACCAAAAACATCGGAAGCGAGAAGAACGGCGAGTTTAGAATGAGGGGAACCAGTGAAGTAGGAATGAACAGTACCCACTTTCTCAACATGCCCAATACCACCACTTGGGTTCAGAGTTGGTGGGTTTGAACAGCACTGTGAACCTGACATGTTTTCTTTTTGTTTTTCTCGTACCTTCTCCCCTCACACTCACACTTTTGGCCTACAGGTGCTGTGCTACTCATATCATTACCCCTGTGCTATTTATAGCAAAACAAACCTTAACAATAATATTTTCAACATTTATTTTTAGATAAATATAAATATTAATCGGTATTTTAATTGTGTGTTAAAGATATTAATTAAAAATTCTAAAATATAAGAAAATTAATATATTTTAATATAATATTTAATTAAAATTTTTATTAATTTTAATTAATCTTTTCAAATATTAATCGATAAAACAATTATTTTACATAAATAGCAAACATGTGATTTCCCTGAATAATCTAAATATAGAGCAATTTGTTTAATAGAAAATTACTAATGTTTTGCTTTCATTTCACTTAATCATATGACATTATCAGTATTGGAATCTTCTACCGAACAGAAGAAACAACTAGAAAACATCAGATTCGGTCAAAGCCATATGAAAGATAGACAAACCAAATTTATCCCTTGTTTGGTTAGAAAAATAATAATAGAGAATGGTATATTTTTGTTTGTTTGGTTAAACAGAAAGTGGAAGGAAAAGAATGATTTTTAGAAATAAAAATTCCATTTTTTAATTTAAATTTCAAAATTTCGCCTTCGTCTCACTTTTTTCTGGTTTTTATGATTTTATAAAGTATTAAATAAAAATAAACATATTTAATGTTATAATATAAAAAATAATGCTTTCTCAATTAAATTACCTGAAATTATTTTTAAAATAAAATATTAAAATATTAAAATTATTTATAAACATATAGTATGGTTGAACATTCTTTTATTGTTTTTATTGTTTTTGATTTTTAATTAAAAGGTAAAATTTAAATTTATTTATATATTGATGAGTGAAATAAATTTATTATAAATGTTTGAAATTTTATGAGCTAATTCATGTCAATTGAAAGGTTATTATTTAGTGTTCTAAAAGTAAAAATTAAAAATAGGTATATAATAAATTAAATTATGTTAAAACTATATTAGTAATATTTCTATTTTTTTTTATTTTTAATCTGTCTGGATAATGGAATAATAAATTATATATTGATTATTAAACACGGATACTACTACCTTGAAATCTACGCTAGCTCTGACGTCAACTAATAGTTTTGATTTTGCTTGAATGGAATTTAGATGAAAATTTGAAAGCAATGGATCACCTTATTTGTTTTTTTTGTTTTGAGAGGAAAGCAATTGAGCACCAAAGGAATATGTTAAATTTTACTTCTATAATTGTTTTACGTAATTTAAATATTTTTTCTTTAAAAATATTATATTCAGAATATAAAAATATGATTAACAAAACTATTTCTAATATTGTTTATAAAAAATTAAATACACAGTTCATTGAAATTAATAAAAAATTATTGCATATATACTTTATTATAAAAATACATATAATATTAAATAGTTACTTAATTTATTTTATATCAAATAAATAAATATATTTATTTTTAAAAGGAAAAAATGAATAACTTATTGACACAAGTTTTATAATTAAAATAATAATAATTAATATATTTTAAAATATTTTTTATTTTTTATAATTAGAGTATAAAAATATTTATTATTGTTTTAAAATTAACGTTGATTATCGCACGTTGTAAGTTTAAACTCATGCTCAATTTTCTAAAGTGAGGTAAACGTAACTTTTCCTATAAGCATCGTTTGAAATCAACATTTTTTTTTACCTTAAAATGTAACACTATTTTTCTTCCCTTGAAAATTTTGTAAGAAACAAAAATAACGAAACTTAAAAGAATCACCTATGCCTGCATGTAGTTGAAAAATACTAAAGAATCTAGTATATTTTTAAGAAAGTATTAACTTTAATTCTTAGAGCTACGATTAAGGGATTAAAGATGATTTAAAAAAAAAATGCATTCAGAATATAATAATAATTATTTTTGTATCTTTTAAACTTATAAAATTTATTCATTATTAAATAAGAATATTATTTCATTATTTTAAAATAATAAATATAGAGTTTTATTTAACGTTAATTTTTAAAACTTGAAAAAATTAATAAAATGTTATTATTATAGTAAATCTCATAAGAATATATAAGTATAATAAATTATTTTAATAAAAAATACTATATTTAAATATTTAAAGTTAATTTTAGGAATTGAAGTCAACACTATTATATTTTTAGTAATCCTACTTGTGAAAATTATTTAATTAAGTTTTAACTTTTTAAACATCTTTGATTTTTTTTTCATTTCTCGTTTATTTGTTAAACGAGTCATTCATACTTTTTTTACTAAATGTTTTTATGGTATTTTTATTTTATTTCTCCAAATAAATTTTTTAAACATTATAAATATTTCATTCTATCATCACAAATACAGTAATTTTATTTATTTATTTATTCTCATGTAAAACAAAGCAAATTAAGTTCTCAGCTGAATTCTCTAATGGCAGTCAAAGTCTTCAAGCCTAAGACTATAATTGTATACTCTCTACTTTTTTTAAAACTTAAATTGCTTCTTTTGATTGAGAAGTAGAGCATTCGACTCAAAATCATATTCTAATTGTCAGAAGACTTTACTTAAATCAACCATTTTCTAATAAATGCAGAAAAAACTTATATCAAGACAATAAATAAAGGATGATATTTTTAATAACTATATTTCTTAATTGTTTCACCATTCACTGTCGTTATTTCTCAAAAATTGCAGTAAAATGAACATTAAAAATATATAAAAATTAATCCTATTTTTAATTAATTTTTTAAAATATTTTCTTTTATTTCCATTTCATTCTCATGTGGCCATATTTAAATATTTTTTATTTAACATTCAAGCAAAACGTTACACAGAAATAGCATAAATAGATATAAAGTCTTCCTCATATTATTGATTTACTATTTACCTTTTTATCATTTGAATATTGTTTTAATCTCAACAAGTAACAAAGTAGTACTTTGGTACTGATGCGGCGCCGTTGCGTACTTTGTTTTAAGTTTTCTTTAATTTTTTGATTACAAAAGTAAAAGAAAAAACTGGGAATAGCACAAACATAAACGTCGTCGTAAAACATCCCCGAAGCGATGAAACAAAAAGAAACATGGACGAAAACTAACAAAACAGAAAATCTAATCATTTTCGAGGTTCCCCCTGTCAGTAACTTGGATCAGCGTGTTTCTTGATAAGGGGTTTTTGTAGGGTTTACTCTTCACTTTATTCTATTCTTTCCATCTAAAAGAAATGGGGTCTTTGGAAAATGGAACACACAAAGCAAGGGAAGAACAGGAACAAGAACCCATACTAATGGAGCAAACCCAGAGGTTTTGTATGTTCCCCATTCGCTACAAGCAACTTTGGGAGATGTATAAAAAGGCTGAAGCCAGTTTCTGGACTGGTACTTCATACGCCCTTTGTCCTTTTTCCAAATTACACCATAAAGTTCATTCCTTTCATGTTAATTTTGTTCCAAAGGCTCTGCTTTTCCAATAATCTTTCTGAATGCATTTTTCTCCCTTCTTCTACCCTGCTTTTGATACCCTTTGACTTATTTAAATGGGAATTATTTCAATATCAATTAACACTCTTTTGTTTTTTTTCCTCTTTATCTTCTTGGTTTTATCTTGAAACCTAGGGAAGGGTGAGTGGGGATATTATAAATTTCTGTTCCATTGAAAAAAAAAAACTGTTTTTTTGTCTGTTGCTTGAGTACTTCGTGTTACACATGTCGTACACCACTCGGTTTTTGATTCCCCTTGTCTCTATCTTTTCTTTTAAGGGACTATTTTTTGTGTATTTCATGAGTGAGATTTTTTCTGTTAACATTGTTTGGATTTTGAAGTTGAGATGACGGTGGATAGTTAACATCCATATACAGTCTATTGACTTTTTGGTTTGCAATGATTTAGCACACCGTATGACATTTGGAAATAGAATTTTCTTTTTGCAGGCTCTGATGTTTTTACATAGTTTTGTGATTTTTTTCTCTCTCTTTCTCTTTCTATATCTTTTGTGAGTTTTGTTAGTCATTCTAATGATGACTCATTCAAAGTATATGGTCACCTTTTTTAGGCAAAGTCAGCCAATCTTGGAAGCCGTAATTTAGCCATATTATTTCCATGTGATTGATTATATTAAGCACAGTCTTTATCTTATCACCCAATTCCAATAACTTACAAGTTGGTTGACAGCGGAAGAAGTTGATCTGTCGCATGATGTTCGACATTGGGAAACTTTGACTGACTCTGAGAAGCACTTCATAACACATGTCCTAGCCTTTTTTGCTGCATCTGATGGCATTGTCTTGGAGAATTTGGCTGCAAGATTTTTGAATGATGTTCAAATTTCTGAGGTAATGTTTTGAATGTGTTTTGCTAATTCTGTTAATGTTCTCTGCATTAACTCTGTCTTTATGTATCAAGTAGTTTTTATAGATGTACTCCTACTTTATTCTGTTTACATTCTATGACTTCAGATATTTGTTTGATTGAAAAATTCAGTGGTGGAACATTTGTACACCTGTTTTTTTCTTCTTTTCTAGGATGAAGGATTTGAATTTTCATTGCAGTTTTGGTTTAACATTACTTTTCTTTTTCAATTTTCAAAATATGTTCTGTTTTATGTAAGGCTTTTTTCCCTTCTTTTTCTCACTGTGAAACATGGGGGAATCTTCTCTTTCAACTGTTTGTTCTTTCTTTCCCCTTACTGGTTTTTATTCAATTGTTGATAGCATTTTATGTGTTAACTTAACTGTCAGACTATAATTTTTGGCAGGCTCGGGCATTCTATGGGTTTCAGATAGCAATGGAAAATATTCATTCTGGTATAGCTTTGTAGTTGATGTCTTCTTCTCTTCCTTAGCATAATGTCTACTTGCTGCCTGATTTGAGGTTTTATTTTTGTCAGAGATGTACAGCTTGCTGCTGGAGACGTATATTAAAGATTCGAGAGAGAAACATAGATTATTCAATGCGATTGAAAATTTGCCTTGTGTTGCAAGAAAGGCTGAATGGGCATTGAGTTGGATTCATAGGTGATTGTTAATCCTAATTGCATTCTGAATAACCTGTCAAACAAGTCTGTTACCAGTTAACGCCTGGCCCTGTCTGGAGAAATTGACTCGTGTAACGGGCTGGCCTGCTAGGCTAAAGTACTGTGGAAATTTCAGCCTTGTACTGATAGGATTGGTCCATTTGATCCAAGAGCAATGCTAGCCACGCACCCTTTATTATTGGGTGGATTTCATATGAGCCCCACTTAAAAACTGGGGTCCACTTTTTAAAGTGGAATCCTCATAAAGTGGAATCCAGGACAGGACAGGAATATAGGATATTGAAAGCATGCCTCTTCAAGGAGCTTCCTTTTCTTGGGCTGGCACAATTGGGACCCAGCTTAACTATAGAATATGCACTGCAATACTATTTTTTTGTTTGGTCAATTATTCTGCTATTTGTTTTTTTACTATAAAAAAGTTGAAAAGAAACCGAAAGAAAGGGGAAGGAGAAGAAGATAACAACGGTTATGCAGGGTAGTTTCCTGTGATGAAATTTGGGTGTCAAGTGTAACTGGGTAAGCCACATAAGAGTCCTTTGAAAATCAATCATTCATGTTCTGTAATATGAATATCTGAGATATGTATTGCCAATGATGTTATCTGATTTCCCTTTAAGAGTCAGAGTGAGACCATTGGTTAAAATTTAAAACTGTCCATAAAAAGAAATATTAAAAATGCAATTGTAATGAGCTATGAATATTGTTGACTTATGTGCTTGTTTTAGAAATTAAGCACATAATTTACATATATGTATGGGCAATACATAAAGAGATAGTCAGTGATTTTGAGAATTGTGATTATAAACCTTTATAGCTTTTATGTTTTGCCGTTATTTGGTCTTTTTTTATTGTATCACTTTAACTTGGTCTCGCTTCATACCTTCTAAAGGGAACATAGAAATTGCCTTCTAATAATAAATTCTTGTAATGCTTGGGCTACAGTTCCACTTCATTTGCAGAGAGACTTGTTGCTTTTGCATGTGTCGAAGGGATATTTTTCTCAGGAAGGTATTTGTCTCAAGAAAGAACAGCTTATATAGGCTTTTCCTTGTTTCGTAACGTGAGTTTCAGCGCCTACTTTCTGTGTAACTTTTTCTTCTTCCTGATTGGGGTTTGCTTTCAGCTTCTGTGCCATATTCTGGCTTAAAAAAAGAGGATTGATGCCAGGTTTGACATTCTCAAATGAGCTAATCTCTAGAGATGAGGGCCTTCACTGTGATTTTGCTTGTCTCCTGTACAGGTAGTGTTACCTTTTCATTTATTATTGTACACAGAATGAAGATGTGTGGATGTACTGGTGTATGTTCTCATTTATTTTGGAGGGTTGAAAATGCATTGCTGTTGCCTGCAGCTTGTTACAGAGACCGCTAGGTCCTGAGCAGGTTCATAAGCTTGTACATGAAGCAGTTGAAATTGAAACTGAGTTTGTCTGTGAGGCCATCCCTTGTGCATTGATTGGCATGAATTCAACACTCATGAGCCAATATATAAAATTTGTCGCTGACAGGCTATTGGTATGATACTAAAAAGTTTCGTTTTACCTGGGTAAAATGGGAAGGGAAGTTGATTCTCTACCCATTCTCTTTTTCCTCGTGTTGATTAACCATTTTTTTACCCTTCAGGTTGCCTTGGGCTATCAAAAAAAGTACAAAGTGGAAAATCCCTTTGACTGGATGGAGTTTATTTCTTTGCAGTGAGTATTTTAGAGATATAGTTTATTGTTCTTATGCTAATAATGATTTGAATTGACTAATGAGATTCAGCTTCTGAGGTCTGACCTATATTCATCCCATGCTCATACCATTTTAGGATGTGCTCTCATTTGATAATCCCTCAAAATACACATAGTGCCTATTATTGTTGTATTCTCATTTACTAAAGGAAACATACCTTTTGGATATTCTGGTATTAGAGAATTCTTTCATATTTTGCTTGTTTTTTTTTGGCTGAGCAAACACATCTTAGGAAAAAAATGTGCATAAGCTTCTTGGCTTTTCTTGGTTGTGTATGTGTTAAATGCAATGTCTTATCCCTTGTTACTTAGTTTGAGATGTTGATCTCAGTATAATTCATGATTGACCAGAGGAAAGACTAACTTCTTTGAGAGAAGGGTGGGTGATTATCAGAAAGCATCTGTGATGTCAAGCCTCCAAGATGCCGGGAAAAACTTTGTTTTCAAGCTTGATGAGGACTTCTAATTATGATCGTTCTATTACAACTTCAATTGGGTATCAAAATTTTTGTCAATCACGTGTTTAGTCTACACATAAGTTATTCCTAGCTGCTATCTTCACTCAGGTCATTTGTATAATATTTTTCTTTCTATTCTTCAGTGGCTTGTAATATTTTAACAATAGCCAAAACATCCACGTTACTATATTTCTATCTTTGATCATTATAGAGTGCTCCCTTCAAGTTTTGGAGTACCTGTGGTCTTATTATTATTATGTTAGTATATGTTTTTAAAATTTGTATCAATCCTCTTGACCAAGAATTCTTGACCGATTCTGAGAGTTTGCTTGAGTGATTGAAGGCTATAGTGGCAACAGTTATACCATATGGTATTATACCTTCAATCGCCCTTCAGATTTTTCACTGTTATAGTGCTTTTGCAGCTATAACTTTTATGATCTCCATCACTGCATATGGATTATTTATCAAAAACAAACTTAATCAAAATACTAAAATGTGTTCATGCCATTGCTGCCGTTCCTAATCTTCAAAATCTTTTTCGGCTGATTTTCACCTAAGATTTTAGGAAAGTTCTAGAGTATATTGATAATTCAAAATTCAAGATCTTTATACTATCAATACAATCAAATTGAAATAAGAATTTAAAAATATATATCCAACGTATGAAATATTTATTGATTTAGAACAGATCATAAAGGATATATTTATTATTAAGATTGAAATCCTTAATTGGTTATCACTTATCATAATAAAATTAAACTATTTATTAAATTTAAAATTTTATTATTTTTATGAACTATTAAACTCAATATAGTGCAGGACTTACAGTTAGCTACCCACTGTATTTTTTTAATTGAAAATATTAACCTATACAGTATTACACACCATAGTATATGTTAATTGAGCTACGTTAATGTTTAGTATTGAAAGTTGGTGGAGGGTGTAGCCAAATTGGAAAATATTTAAGAAAAGGAAGATTCAGCGGGTGAAGGATTGAACCAAGATTCAAGAAAAGAAACCTCATTTTGACCAAAAAAGAAAGAAAAGAAAGGAAAGCTCATCACGGGTTTCTTGGTTTTATATTTTATTGTGTTGGTTCTTTTGATTGAAATGTAGTAAGGTCTCAAGTTCACTGCATTTATCTTCTTTTATTTTTCCTTTTTGCGTTTCAAGATTTTAAATGCTAAGAATTCATATGGCACATGTACACAGCCAAACGGTCGTTGGAGTTAACAGCTTTGTGACGTGATACAGATGCGAATTTCGAAGAACGAAAATTAAAAAACAAAGCTTATTAATTTGTTTAACAAAGTAAACTCAAGCTGCTCTGGTTTTAGCCAACTAATAACTTTAATTAATGCTGGAACAGGCTTGATGGCATTTCCAGAGCCTTCTGCGAGATTTGATATAATCCAAGTGCAAAAATTCTACCCACTTGGGAAATTCTTTGCGCCCTCCATGGATTTCAATTTGAAAATATATCCTGTTATGATCAGAAACCTCCACCTTTCCTTGTCATTGTCACTAATCGCCAAATTGGGTTTACTTTGACTTTGTATTATGCTGAAGCAGAGTTTTAGTTTTAGGCATTGCTTGATGAGGAAAAGCCAATTTCTTTGGCTTAGATCATTTTTCGAAACTTAATAAAATTGTTCAACTAAATTTAATGTCAAAGCTATAACTTGTAACATTTTCACCGTTGTCTTCCATTTGTTTTTATGTTACTTATCTCTTGCACTTTGTCCAACTGATCTCCAATGTAAACTGTGTTAGCCATACGAGTTATAGGCATATTATTCATCGTAAACTGCCATGTCATGTGATCTTTCAGCATCCAAATACATAGTCACTGTCCATGACGACATGGATATATAAATAATGGTGCTTATCGCGCATACATATATATATATATATATAATACATTATGCTATTTTCTTTTGTCTTCTTCGTGTAAATTATCTCATTGCCAAATTCATTAACAGTTTACTACCTTATCATATTTGTACGGTCATTTTAATTCATTTTTCTATTTAAAAATTATCTTTATAAAAGCAGACAAATATTTAGACTTATTTTGATTTTTAGGGAAAAAAAATCCTAATACAAGAAATATCTTGGTGAACGTATACATTTTTTCTCTTATTTTTCTTTAATTCTTCCTTTTTTGGGTGAAACATTTTTAAAATAGCATGTTCGTGAGATTATACAAATTGATCATAATACCATAATTGAAAATCCCCCCTCCCCCATATGTGTTGTTCTTACTTTTCATATCAATCTTCAATGGAGAAAATTTCAATTTACACTAATTTTTTTTTATTTATCCATTGAAGATTTTATTCACTTCTTCCTACTTTTCTCTCTCTCTTTTTATAAGTATAAAAAATTTCACTAATTAAGCACCAGGAGTGCTTAGTCTATATCTCCAAGTATTGAATACTATGTAATAATTATTTATTTTATCTGTAATATTTATTGACCCATACTTTATTTGAACTTCCACTTTGTTCATGCATGGATGTATAAGCTAGTGTTGTGTTTTCTTAGAAATATTTCATATCTATTTATGTAAATTTTGGTTCAATTTTAAGCATTTAATGCATTATGAATTAATGATAATCGTTCGTTGAAAATTGTTGGATAAATTGAATGTTCAGCTATAAGTGTATTTTTACAGTCATTTAGAATTTTATCTTTTTAATTCCTTTAACTCTATTCCTACTAAATTCATAAAAAATAACTAGCTTTATTTACAAAGCTAATCATGTATGATAATACTGTCAATTTCAAATAACACATACATGTGTTTTTTTTTTTTCGTAGCTTTAGAATTTCATCAATTAGATTTTGCACCACTTTTTCAATTTTGGAACAAGTATATTATGTAAGCGTATTTGTTACAACAATTTAATAATGGCTGCATATAAGATTTTATTGTAACGTTTTGGAGTTTTTAATATTTTAACTATTTGACGATTATATTAGGTGAAAAAGATGTATCATAAATTAAGATGCTATAAGAGGTCATGTTATTGCTGAGAGTGCAACAAAGACAGGCTATTGATGAAGTCAACACTAACAATTAACAAAGACAAAGGCTACGGATGAGAATTAATCCTATTTTACTCATTCTAACTCTCGATAAAGTTAATATTTAAATCTTGACTATTGAAGACTCGATGGTCGAAATATGGTATACCCAGGATGGTCGTGACATTATTTCACTCACTTTTCAAATACCTTAAATATTTTAGAGTCAAGATGATTATCTTCAAAATAAACTATTCCATTTATTTATATATCTTTCAAAACATTGTCTTATATAAATCATAAAATAATTTGTGCAGAATCATGGATAAAATTATCAGGTCTAATTTTAAATCAAATAATAATATGAATTGGACTAAAGAACCCGACCAATTTTTCTTTTCCAACTAATTTGATTTTTTAACTAAATCAATCTGAAACCAGTTTATGATAAAAAAAATAATCGCGGTAAAAATGTATAATATTTTTTCAAAAAATAAAATAAAATCTTAGCTAATATTTCCCCTTAAAATATGTTTTTTTTAGTATCTGCCTGGCAATTAACTTAAATTAATTTCTCTTCACTATAAAACGTTCTAATATAACATATAATATTAATTTATATACACATCTGGGTTACGTTAAACGATTAAAGAATATTTTAAGTGTATGGATGACTTTGTATAATTAACAAAATAGATTGATAACGTTGTCAATTTGATCATCAAATTGATTGTGACAAAAAAAAGAAAAGAAGTCAATTCAAAGTATGGATGACGTCGTATTACGTCGCCAATGATGGATAGACGCAGCCTACAAGGAGAAAAATACAAACTGGTAAGCAATTTTGGGCATTCTATCAAATCATTCTACACATATAACCATATATAGGAATTCAAATTGCATTGTAATGAGAAAATTAAGCAAATACACAAACAAACAAAAGTCAGATGTAACATAATTAACCTTCAAATGGATAGACTATATTCCAAGAAAGAAAATAAAGGAAACCAAAAGTACGGACACCTCGAATTTTCTTCGCAGTTTCAATCTGTTAAGTACGTATTAGAAATCAGAATCGCGCAGTTTCGTGAAATAGACCAAAGAAAAGCGCGAAAAATTTAGGGTGTATGACGTGCAAATTTTAATAGCCTTGCTTCTAAGTTTCCTTGAGCAGCAAGCGTGTACAATTCAGTTGTTCTTTTCTCGTTAACTACGCCACAATCTTCCCATTGAAAACTTGTAAGCAGTATTAAAATGATAGGATAAAATAAAATATTAAACAAGCACTGATCAAACGGGGCAAAGATATTAATAAAAAAGAGGCACGTGGCTTATTTACATAGCATAAATTAAGGAAAACTATTTACTCAAGATAAGAAAAAACACGACCATAACAGACATTGTTTTCAACTTCAAGTTTATAAAATTATAAAAAATAAATTTGCTTGTATGATTTCAGTTGTCTTAAGTAGATGAAACACTCAAAGTAACAATTTAATGATTATAATAACATGCATCATGCAATGCAACATCAATCGTGGCGCTGATGTAAACGGATTAGATTCGCTTAAATTATATGTTCAATCTTTCTCAAAAACAAATCATATATTCAACATAAAATGATAATGCTTTCATTACAGAGTGGTCAAGGCATATCACGCCACAGATTCTATGACAATTAAAGTAAACAAACTTAAGCCGATCTTGAAAATGAAAAAAAAAAGAAAAGAGTTTTTGCCTCATTAGGGAGAGTGATACTAAAATTGTCAAAGCTCTTCATTAAATCACTGGTTAATCTCACGTTATTCGCCTACTAATTATCAAATCGAAAGCATAAGCACATCACATGAAATGCATGGTGGTATGCTATTCCAGAAAGGCAGCGCCACCTCATCTCTCAATTCTCATTCATGAAGAGTCATGAGGTGAGACTCATAAAATAGGCTTCTTATTCGAGAAGCGAAACCACCAAAGTCGTACTTTAAAACCAGCCACAGAACCCTGCCAAACACCACATCATCAATTATTTCCCTCTTAAAAACCACCTTCTCTTCCTTTCTCTTTCTGCCTCATCCCCACACCAACCTATTTTCCCTCCCAAAAACAACCTTATTCTCAGCAAATATTATGGGCACTCTTGTGGGACATGTAGCTCCAGGTTTTGGGTTCTTGATGATTGGTTTGTGGCACCTCTTCAACCACATCAAGCTCCACGCCCTTAACCCCAAGTCCTACAACGGTCCACCATGGTTCCCCACAACCAAGTTCAGATATCTAGAGCTTGTTCTCATCATGGCAGGCACCGCAGTCTCCATAGCCATGGAACTCTTCATAGGCCCTGATCGCCACCAACCTTTAGACCCAGATGGAACCATTCCCTCCAACCATCTCCACAACTTCGAGCATTCTTCCATCTCCATGACCTTCTTCACCTACGCAGCCTTTGCCATCATCCTGGACCGAGCTCAAACCCAAGCCCAACATGGACTAACCCAATTTCTTGGAGCCATAGCTTTTGCTCAACAACTTCTCCTCTTCCATCTCCATTCTGCAGATCACATGGGCCCAGAAGGCCAATACCATCTTCTGTTGCAGCTTTTGGTTTTTGTTTCACTCTCCACTACCCTCATTGGAATTGCACTACCTAGAAGCTTCTTGGTCAACTTATTGCGTTCCCTCAGCATTTTCTTCCAAGGTTTGTGGCTTATGGTGATGGGTTTCATGCTTTGGACACCTTCACTCATACCCAAAGGTTGTTTCATGAACGATGAGGAGGGTCACATGGTGGTGAGATGCTCCTCTGAGGAGGCACTTCACCGTGCTATTTCTCTGGTCAATATCCAATTCAGTTGGTTCATCATTGCAGTCACCATTTTTGCCGTTTCTTTCTATTTGGTCTTGGTCAAACTTTATAGTGAGAATGTGCAGTATTTTACGTTGGGGAATGAGGATGAAGAGTCAAACGACGACGTTGAGTCGCAAAAGAGCGGCACCTTTGGCAACATCAAAAGCTTTATTCACGTGGGGAAAGTCTTTTCTCAGAATGAGATGGAAAGGTAGAGAGTGATGAAACTGTAAGAGCCGTGTGTTAATTTGTGATTAGCGAGTGATTAAGTGTGTGGGTGTACAGTGTTTTTATACTAGTAACTAAATTAATTAGGCCAGCGATAACGTGCTGGCTAAAGGAATCTTGTGAATGGAGGTAATTTTTTAGGGAATTAGTTTATTTGACTGTGTGCTACTACTTGGTGCAAGAGTGCTTTGGTTTTGTTCTAATTTGGTGACAATTACCACATGGTTTAATTTGCAAATTATCCTTATGCTATCTAATTGTACTTCTAAATTCCATGCTAACATCTCTATTGACAGCTTTTTTGCTTTCGTGTTGAAAAACCTATTTGTAAGTAATTTTTCACAAAAGTTGAAGCGATAGTGATAAATTTTTTATTTCTTATAAAATCGACTTTTATTATAAATACAAACAGATCCTAGGATTTCGTTCTTCAAACCATATGTACAGTAGTGTTACTTGATTGAAGATTCTTTTTAATTGCATTTTTGGTTCATTTTCTATCGTTAATAAGTAACTTTTCTCACTCAATACGTTATTTTTTATATAATTTAATCCTAATTACAAAAAAAAAATCCAATTTAATGAATGGCATGCAAGAATGCAACCAAATATTAAAGTAAACTAGGGGTTGATCACGACTCAAATTTAGTGGGGCAAGTATTGAGTCTGACTTACATGAAAATGCAAATTGATCTTATGTTAAATATAAGACATTTAAATACGTAAGATTCTTATGTTTGTTATCATGTCATGTGTCAGACGTAAGATAAATATTATTTCTTTATTTGATTGCACTAGTAATTTTACCCGTTGGTTGAGTTTTTAAAACTGAAGGTTAATGCTCATTTATATCAAGATTTATATTCAAAATACTAGTTATTACATATTTAGTTGAATTAAGTAAAACACAACACTAATTGTTAACAATTAAATAAAAATAAAGGAGGCTAAACATACTTTCTACATTCAAGCATGTCAATTTTGTTTATATGATAATTATATTATACAAAACCATCAACATTCAAAGTAGAAGTAAAAAATAAACTTCACAGAATCATCAATATTTAATTTTTTTTAACTCAATTCAATTAAGTTTATTGTAAATTAAGTTCACAAAAAAAATAGATTTTATTTATTTTAAATATTATTTTTAAAAATCTAAATTATGTTTAGACCTTTCAACTTAACCCACTAAAGTCCATTACTTGTTAACTTTACTACAATTAGAATGATAAAGTCACGACTAAAACTATTAAATGAAGAATAAAGCTATATTTCCAAAAATCCTCATCGACATTCTTAATGTTCATGTGGACACTACATAAACAAAATCAAATCCTCTCTGGCCCAAACTCTTATTCCATTGAAAAAATAGAAATAGACTTATGATATTCTCGTAAAATTCTTTTTATATACATTCATTTTTACCATCATGCACACTCATCTTACTGTTCTTTTTTTTTTTCTCATCCTATTTTTTTAACGTGACAAAAATAGTTCAAATCTTCTGTACTAACAAGTTTCTCAGATATATGTGAGCATCCGTGTCCCCACTTAATGTGATGGATTTTCCAGCCACGAAGCATCCATCTTAGTTCCTTATCCCCACACCACAAGCGTTAGTGTACTTCATATTATGATATCTACGTATAGTTGGCAGTTGGCTTTCCTTTTCATACCAAATTTCGCTAACACTATACGCTAAGCTTTGCACGTTGATGTTCGTATGGCCGAGCAATGTTCCCCTTTTACTACTATTAGTAACCAGCCCTACAAAGCAAAGTAAACACACATAAATCGTACCTAATAATAAGAGTGTGAGAAAGGTTTATCGTAATTATATAACTACGTATAAATAGTTTTGAAAAAATAGTTATATAATCTTAATCATTTGTTTAATTATGCAATTTAAGTTTACAATTGTCACACTCTCATCTAATAAACTTTATATACATGTTCACGGGGGGCACCATGGATGCCTTTTCAAACAGAGACTCAAAACGAATGTAGAGTATTTAAAATCTATTTTTAGCCCATATAAGATATTTTAGTAATAAAAGCCATTACCACTTCAGCATTTTTTCGTACGCGGGAACGGGAACGCGTGGGAAGAGTGTCATTACAATAATGCCCTGGGAAAACTCAACACTGTAGGTGTCTGAAGCCTTCGTATTATAATTTGACAAATGCTAATTGTAAAAAAAAAATTATACATTTTTTTTACAAATTAAGAAGAGACAGCAATAAAAGAGAAAAAAAAGAAATAAAATAAGTGATGTAATGAAACGAGATAAAGAAAAATTTAATATAGTAGATTTTTATTGTGAAAATATTATAACCCAAGCAGCACCCACCCACACTCCAGCTTAATATACGAGAGTCACGGATGTAATGAAGCATTGTACAGCATCATTCACATCACTGATTGCTGGAACTTTTTGTTTCCATCAATATATTAAGAGGAGTAACGCTATACATTTTGTATTATTGGAAAAATTCATATATGACTTACTAAATAATGTTAAGTCCTACTTCTTAATTAGTAAGTCTTGCATGAATTTCACTTAATTAATAACCTGAATGAATTATATAATATGGGGGTGGGGGTGACTCTATTTCTAGACAATTAAATGTAATATAATCAAAATCATGGTTATTGAGGCATAAAAACCAACAGATCCGCAAAATACATTCAAATCATAAATGCAAAATTTGAACAAGTGGATATGCAGCTGATAACTTGTGAAATAAGTCATTGCGTTCACAGCCCCGAGTAATTTTCCTTTTCTATATAAATGTGTGATGCCCTTAGTTTTAGAGAGAGTGGGTTAACAGAAATTTAAACAACAAAGAGGAACAGGGGAGTTCAGACATATTGCCACAAGTAAAATTCATTCAAGTCATAAAACACACTATTTTTTATGTCATAAATTGTTAAAGAGAAAAACAGTTGAAAGCCCGTACTCTGGTTGAAGCAAATTACACTTCTCACTAATTCTAAATCTCAATATCTGGTGTCACCCACTAACATTTCAGAAAGGCTATCTATCCGGGTTTAAGTTACATGTTTTTTTCTTTGATGCTGCAGGATATGAAGTTGCTTGCTTTGCCATACACCTAAGCTACACATCCTAGAAGGCATGTTACAACAATTACGGATTAATGAATACACTATCCAGCTAAAAAAGTTCCTCACCTGCAATCAAATTGGTAAACATACAGATATTAAATTATTATAATCTTCAAATAATAAATAGGCCTTTATAATTTTTCTATGATATTTTCCTCCTAGAACCAAAAGTTCGTGTCATTAAAGTCTAACTCCACCCCTTACTTCAACATGCGTGTCCATGTCACTATTGGCACAAGAGCATGGTTGCCACCTTGTGAATTGGAACCTTGCAAACAGCACTCTGCTTGTGGGGATAAGAATGCTTACAAGTTACAACTACCCCCCAAGACCCCATTACAAGGGACATCATACCCTTGAGTACATTTAAAAGTTAAATGAGCAACCGCAACCTTAGAGGTTCTTGCTTATCTTTACTCCTCTTGAGACTTCACATAATACCATATTATTCAGTATAAAAGTGCATCACAATAAATCATCACGAAGGGAAAAATAAAGTAGAAGGGTTCAGATTCTGCCCATATGCAAACATTTGCTAGCACTTGAAGCAAGGAAGCAACAGATACCATTCACCACTCCCAAATTATACACATTAAAAGTTATGAATTATTTTATCTTTTTATATTTTTGTATAATTTATTGTAAAAGAATTTTTATAAAAATATCGTTTTTCATTGTCGCTTCCTTCAACATTCTATGTGCTGGCATGCTGGAAGTTCAGCCCTTACAATCCCTCTCAAGCAAATTTTAGAGAGTGCTAAACTATGTGATTTTAGATTTTGGTTAAGCAAACTGCGTAAACTACCTGAAAACATGCTGCTAGCCCCAGGTGAAACATTAGGAACAGCAAAATTTAACTGGTCGTGTTTCCTTTTCCAACAACATTTCTTCCCGACTGAAACACATAACATGTGAAATGATATGTAGTAACTGGAAAAATCTAACGTGCCTTGAAAACCTTGTTACTAAACAATATAGAGATGGAACATATAGCATACGTGGGCATAGTAATTCTGATTTTCATGAAAATTTTGAATGAACATTTATAATATAATAAAATAAATATAATTCCTTTCTTGTAAGTTAAAATTATCTTACATATTTTTAAACTTTAAAGAAGTTTTAAAAAAATGCATGGATCAATTTTAATTTATAAATAAATTTATTTTTATATTGTTTTCTTGCTGTTTCTTTATCTCTCTTCTATCTACATCATACACTATTTTGTGTTGATTTATTCGTGTGTCATTCAGGAGTTTTGAAGAAAGAAAAGGAAAAAAGCTTAGGATCACTGTAGAAGATTTTTTGCCAGTTACTGTGTAAATAGTATAAAATGTGAAAGTAACGGACCCGGATCCAGTGCAGTTGTTGCGAGAACTGCATCGTATATTTAAGTAAAAATTTACATTTCCACTTAAATAAAAATACATGAATTTAAACGAAAATATAAAAACACTGTAAAAAAATTTAGCGACAACTGCACTGAATCAAAATCCGAAAGTAACATGTCATAATTCATAATTTAGCACACCTACAATGCAGCTGCTGTAAGACACAAGAAGCTTCCGGTCACCCGCTGCTGCTTTTGCACTCCAATTATTATTCAAATTTTTTTCATTAAAAAAGAATGTGTGCATGAATGAGGCTACATGGACGAAAATTAATTAATCATGTACTAAGCTTTGAAACTTTGTCCCCCATAATTTAAAACATTCAAAAATGTGTTCAAAATTCATATAATTCCTAGCTCATCATCCCAGCCCCAAATTCCAATGACAACGAAATCTGGCCCATTGCACATTACATTTCATGATTTTCAATATACTGGACTCACCAATTCTTCATGAGATGACACCAGCATCTTTACATTACTCCATACGCGTAATTCCACAAGACAGAGCTGTCAAACTTGGTCCACTCAGCCCAGTTTTTACAGTTACCGGTAAAGCCTCACATTTCCACCATATAATTCTAATTTAAATATGTATTTTTCTTAAACTTTTGTTTGTTACTTAAATTTTTTGTTTTAATTTTTTTAAAAATTGAACACTTTTAGTTTTTATTTTGACGTAACCTAACAAAAAATTAATAAATACTCTTTTTTTTAGTTAATTACATCATCATTATGAATCAAAATTATTAAATTTAAGAAATTCATGAAATGAAATTATATATAAAAACTAAAACTAAAATTTTGCAAAAATATAAAGATAAAAAAAAATTTAAAACTATAATTCTTGATATTTTAGTCAAACTGATTATGAAAAAAATAAAAGAGAACAAGAAAATATCGAAATCTAGTTGCTTAATCACGAGATACATGACTATTTGAATCTCCATTAATGAAAAAGAAGTTTGGCCAATTTTATTTTTTCTCTCTCCACTTACACGACTGTAATTGCAATCTGTGTTTTTTTTTTTTTTTTTTTTTGCCTTAACAAGGGCGTAAACTCAGTTTTTTAAGCAACCAAACAGCCTCTATAATTAGTATCATGAAGCCATCAAATTTCCTTTTTCCCTTTAGCAATATTCCCTGAGCAACAGAAATTGCTTACCTTTATTGTGGAGTTCAAAAGCTAACGTTGCTTTGTCCCAAACGTTAACCAATACAGCTTACAGGACTCCTATTTATGCTAAATTATTCAGCTCTGATTTGTCATCTTCTACTTGTTCCAATTTCAATGGACCTCATATTTCACTAGAGATGGCAATAGATAAATAATAAATATTTGCAATAAATAAGCTAAATACTTATTTGACAAATAATAATACTACGTGTAACTATAAATTTTATGAAAATAATAATGAAAGCTAGCAGTCACTCACACAAATATAAAAGAAAAATATTATAATACCTTATTAGATACAGCTCATTTTCATCCCTATATTTCATCATAATGAGTCTGGTAAGAATTTCTCTCAGTACCTCTCTCTGAGATATACGATATCTCCCACCGGCTTTCCTAACACATAAAATTGTCGAATATTGATGATGTTTCCCTAAGGGAATGTTGCCACAGTGGTCCTGTGTAGTGTTGAGTTAGTCACATCCTGAACTACACTCATCACCTAACTTTGTTCATCACTGTTCCTTAAAAGACCCAACAGATGGTAGTCACAGTAGGACTCCCCACCAGCCTGGAACTTTCTTTTCTCACATTTTAGACTAAAAACAGAACAAAACCCCAACACTTGAAATAACATGTCCCCACCCTTCCACAATTGGCTTTCATGTGTGATGTGTGTCAAGCCCTACCCCTCTACTATGTGACTCACGTTTCATCTTCCCAATTTAACTAGGAGTAGGACCCATTATAGCTGGATATCTATACACTAATCCCACACCTCCACAAAGATTAGTTATACATGCTAAAGATCTTATCTTTCCCACTTTATGCTCAAAGATAAGATGTAGAACTGTAGGGAGCGTTTCATTGCCAATACTTTATTTTTTTCAAACAGTGAGACATTATTTGACATGCTTCTAAGTCACATGCTTGACCCATTTGAAGTAGAACAAGTCAAGATCTTCAAAGTAGGAGTGGCCCAAGAGGGAAGTGATGTTCAAGTTCTGGTTTATTTTGTTGGGTTCGCCCCCAAGGCTTAAGTGAAAACCATGCACTCACTTGTGTCTGCCTCACATTTGAACTGCTTCATGATCAACAAAGTTAAAGAGGTCCCTCTTTTTGATAGGATAAGATGTTAGCTTTAGCTACTATTTAAGATAAGGCTGGTGTTTTTGTACTTGCTAATCGTTTTCAGAGAAGCGACAATCACTAATGGCCGGCATGATTTAACTAAAAACTTAGCGTTTGAGTTGAATTTCGAAAAAGAAGGCACGTGACGTTGACATGAAATTCAAGTACAAGTGGAGCCTCAAGATGAGGGCGTGCAACTCTAACACGTGGATCCAATCAGTTCAGTACATTAGACTCTCTTGCCAGATCGGATTTTATCTTCAATAAATTCTGCGTAGCGTGGAGCAACACGTATAACTGCAATTTGAGACTCAAAATGGGAAACATGGGCAAGAGATTTTCCAAGTTGAGGAGAATGGTGAGGCAACAAAGGGGGAGGCTTTATATTATGAGGGTGTGTATTTCTATGCTTCTTAATTGGCATAAGTACTCTTAGCCAAAACACAAAGCACTTTTGTAGTATTTTCAACCGGCTTTGAGGACTCATCATCTAGCTCAACGGGTGTGACCGTTGTACATTCATTAGCATTCAATGAACTTGAGTAGTTAACATCTATGGAGTGTAATTTGGGGCTGCAAATTTACTGTTTACTATTTAGCGAGTACTGTAAAATCTATCTCCCCACCAAGGCCAGCTTTGTTTGTATGTCTGTTTGTTAATCAAATAGCAAATATATGTATTATCAAACGTACCAGTTTGGTGTAATTCTTTTTTTTATTTGCGCTTTGTCTCGCATAATAGACGTGTTCGAAAATAAACTCATTCCAGTAGAAATTAATGTAATGTTACCATTTACCAACTAGACTTGATTTTTAACAGTAAACAGAAATTAATGTCCCTAAAGCTTTTACATGTATGATTAGAATCTCGAACATGGCCAGCAATTATTGATTTGGTTATATACTACATAAATTCAAAGATTTGATTTTCAATTTTCACCTGATTCATGGTATGTTACCTAATCTGTTACAAAGTTGATAATCACAGCAATCTGTTGAGTGGAAGACATCATGTTACTTTCAACTAGCATCCTGCAACATAAGCGGTATTAATTAAAACAAGATAAAATTGCTTCCCCATATGTGACTGTTAACTTTATGATAAAATAAAATATATTGGTATATTATAATTGAAACTACCTGGGAGAATCCATACAACACAACCTGAAATTCAGGAACAAATGCGGTTGCTTTGGGAATATACTATTAGTACAGTTACGGAGGTAGATAATATATAGGCTAGTACAGACAGGGTTGGCCACTCCTATTAGGATGAGACGATGAGTAGTAGTAAGTCCCTTGCATGGTGATTTGGCAGGGGGACAATGTGACAAAGACAACTTTGTCATCTTCGATTTCATTAAGGGACCACCCATGTCACCTGCTACGCGCTCTTACAGTACATTATTCACAACCTTCTATATATATAATAAGAACGAGTTCTTCTATAGGGGCTACAAATTGAAGTACAAGATTTTATGTCATATAAACAATAAGGAGTTGTTCCTCTAGGCTAGGCTTTTGGACCATGGCAAGACAATCCTTATCAATGAGAATTCCAAAGCCTCGGTTAATGCAACGGTGTTCAAGGCACTTCCGAGAGCAGAAAACTAGATTTTATATCATATGGAGGTGCACAGTGATTCTTCTACGGTGGGAGGACAGATTTTAATGGAAAGATCAGATTCAATTACTAGCTAGTCTCTGCCACAAGATCTACTCCACCAAGGGATTCGGGGTTGTCAAAAATTGCTTACTTTTCTTGTTTTCATATTTTCTGGTCTGAAGGGATGTTACTTCACTTAACACCAAGTGGAAGAACCCAGAACGGCTACAGTTGTTGATAAACATGTATAGTATAGGTTTTTGTTTTAATCTGTTGTCCCTAGGCCCAATATTGTAACTTTTCTTTTCATCGGAGAAAAATACTTAATGCATGATCATTGTCAACATGTGGGTAACAAATTCTCCCTCTCTCTGAATTATAATCAATCACAAAAAGAGCTTGAACAACCTTGTACTGCCACTTGTCTGAGTTCTCTCTTTTATGTTACTCAAACGGTAAGGCAAAAGTTTATGCTCATGAAATTATGAACAATGCTGGTTTTTTCACGCTCCTTCTTTTACTCTTATTTTATGTTCTTTCTATTTCTCATCCTTTTTCATCTCTCTGTCTATATATATATATATATATATATATATATCACTTTCTCCCTTATTTGGGTGTTAAATGATAATTTTTCAACCACGAAAATTGCTCCTTCTAGCATAAGACAGTAATGTTCTTCACGCTACAGGTTTGCCGACACGGTTAGTTATATTGTTTTGGTACAGATGAAAATTTTACGAAACTATTAATTGTGAAAAGTGTTACTATATTATGTTGATCTAATTCCAACTAAATGCTACATCCATTACAGTAACAGGCGATCACCCAATTATTGACCAGGTGAAAATTTACAGCCGTAGTGGAGAAGTTTAAGCTAAGCATCTTGGTGAAATAATTGCTATCAATCCTATCACTTATATCCAAAATTTAACTCTGGTATGTTTCTGTTGAGACCCTGCAACTTCAGGAATGTTATGCAGGGTTGCAAGTTCTACGTTACCGATGCTAGCTCAGCTTTTTTGTTTAATAATCGAGAATGAACTTAGATGATTTCATTTTTTAAATCTAACTTAAGATCAAGTTTGTTTTATAATCGGAATAAGTGAAAAAAGAACAACTACTTGCCAGATGAAATTGAACTTTAGATATAAAATAGTAAATATTTCGCCCATAACATGAGCAATTGTTAATTTAATAAACAATATAAATAGCTTCAATGTAAGGATGAAAGAGTAAATTAAAAAAAAATGAAAGGAGTTAACTTAAGAGTATAAGTTAATATTTGAAAGAATATATAAAAAGATAATTTTGAAAATAACTAATAATTAAATTTATTAAAAAATAAAACAAATTAAATAAATATAAAGTCACGTCCCACGCAAAGAATGAGAGTACAATAAAAAATATTCTCACATTCAAGAATAAAGACTCGTGTTTTTGTAGTAGTAGATTGCTGAAATTTCTGATCAAGATATTCGAGGAATAAGTGAAGGCTTAACGAAAGGAAGTAACACTGTTTTACTGCTGTTCTAAGAAGCAAAAAAGTTAACAAATTGAAATCAACACGAGACACGACAAGAATAGGCAGACAACGTAAAGTGTTCCATTAAAATTTAAATAATCAAATATCACATCATATTTAACACCGACGGGCACTCTTTATAACTGCTCTCCCAAGTTGTTACAAGAAAGGAAAGGGGTACACTGGATTGTGTTTCTTGTACCAATTAGAGTCATTTATTTCTTTCACAGTTAAATGTTTCGTAAAACATTAGTTTTGACGTAGATTTCTTTTAGGTAACATAAAAAAGACGTTTTGGATCGAAAATAAAATTGCAGCAAGCACGGATGCAGTTCTAGTTCAATAAGCTTCTACTATAGTAGAAAGCAATACATCCGTTTAAGCCCTTCCAAAAAGGGAAGTTAATAATTTTGATACATGAGATATCAAATGACTAAGAAACTATCTTGGGCTTCTTTTTCAACATCATATTGCTGACATAAAAGCAACCCCTCAGTGTTTCATTATCTAGCACGGGCCTTGTTACCTTGTAAAATTCAATCCATTTTCCTCTGCAGATTTCTTCGGAGTTTGCCCTGTCTTAATTTGGCCTCCCTGGATGGTTAAAAACAAAATCAGTAAACAAAAATAATAAGCATCATCCATGCTGGAGATTTACAGTAACAGCCTTCAAGCAACAAAGTTGATTCATTCTCGAACCCAAAACGCTTTCGGGCTACAAATTTTTAAAGCTGCGTTGAGATATTCATCCGTATTCTTTGACGGAAAAAGAAACTAATTTGAAATTATTAGTATTACTAAGGGATTGGGAGGTAGAATCTGCAACTTAATGATGGTCACAACCATAGGTGATACACAATAGGACACACCCACCTACAAGACCCATTAGATATCTTCAATCCATGCCCCATTAAAACATACAATGCCATGCAATATGTCAAGAATTACATGATAAAAAAACCACGCTGAGTGGTAACCTTTTTCTCAGATCCAGAGAAGAGAAAAACATTGATTTCATTTAGCAACTATCGCATACAAATTACAGATATAAAAATCATGAAAATGTGCAATAATAAATCACTTACTGTTCCCTTCTGAGCAGTCAACCTTCGGATTGATGGAGCTCGTGCCACTGAAGAAGCAGCTGCAGCTGCAGCAACACGTATTCTGCAAAATAAAAATTATATAACATCAAAATTCAGATTTGCAGCGGTTTCAACCATCTCTACAACTTAATTCATTAAAGTTTGTACTCTATTACCTCTTATGAACATCAACATATTCATCTGTCTCATCCACAATTTCTTCCTGTATCAAAGAACAAATTATAACTGTTTAAGGGTGAAAATATAAAACCGGACTTTGGGGGGGGGGGGAGGAGGTGGAGGAGTATCTCAAAAGACAGAAATTTACTTGCAGAAGTTCTTCGAATACATCTTCCAATGTGATAATACCAATTACTTCACCATCTTCAATATTTTCCGAAGAGGGACCATTTGTTCCATCACTACGTTGCAAACCAGTTAGCCTATTAATGCTGGGAAGCCTTGACGGCTTGTTGTCGATGTCAACAACAACACTCCCTGATTTTGCATCCTGTTTCTGTAGCAACGGAGCAGTCAACTGTGAATCCCCATCAGTACTTTTGTTTTCTTCATTTTTCTCTTCATCAATTATTTGTGGAGTTTCTTTTCCTTTTCCCCTGGCCTTAACAACAGCAGCCATATGACTACTGCCTTTTTGGAACTCATTCAGTATATCATACAGAGGCATATCTGATGGAACCCTGTACATATAAACCATTACACAAACTATGGACAGTTCACAATTAGTTTGAAATAAAACATGATGAAAATAAATTAATAAAGACAGCACACCGTGGAATTCTCCGGATGGATACAGCACTGACAGGGGTCTCTGTTTCTGGTCGTACAGTAAGAAGACTTTTGACCTAATTTAAAGAGAAATAATGTGAAGAAGAACGAATAAAAAAACTAATAGGTAATAAAATGCAAAAGCATAAATAAATTCAGAATATGAAAAAAAAAATATACACACACACACCAGAAGAAGCCCAATAATATTTCTTGGATTTCCAGAATAGACGGGAACTCGGCTGTGCCCTCGAGCTAGAATTTTTCCCATTGCTTCCCTGATTTAAGATTGGCAACATAAAGAAAGTCTTAAAAGAAAAAATGAATGGGGGAAAACAATTAAGAGTGATTCTAGTTTTTACATATGATTTGCATCTTCTAGCCAATAATTATACTCCCAATATACAAGCAATGTTAGGTCCAACTAGTATTTGTGGGAAATAACTTGAGAAATATTTTCCACATTTTAGTAATTGGTGCAGTGGAAAAGAAATCTTCAGTAACAAAAAAAAAACATCCAAAAGTGAAGGCAAATAATTCGTCATAAAAAAGAGAAGTCATTTTCAAAACAAATTCAATCATTGATTTGCAACCGACTACAGAATAATGACCAAGAAATTAAGAAAACATACCAGTCCAACTTTGAATTAACATCCAAAGAAAATGTTGATTCAATAGGAGTCATAGCCTCCTCAGCAGTCTGTTTAAAGACACAAATTAACACACACAAAAAAAGGCTATTTGTAAAACAAACTGGAAAAGATTGCACTAAATGTTCCTTGTATAAGTGAACAGCATAAATAATGAAGCAAAAGACAAGAAAACTCAAGGATGCTTGGAATGTATTTTTTATGGAACACAAGATCACAGGAAGTGGATGGTCGAATTTGCATCAATATGAAGTAGTAGTATGTTGCTAAATATTTAGTAAACCCCAGTTTCCTATTTCATGTCCAATGCAATTGACACTTCCTAGTATCCCCAAACAGAAGACACTAGTTAGAAGTTACCAAGTACATGAAGTAACGATCACATGTTTCACCTTTGTATCATCCTCAATGTATAGTAAAACTCAAAATTGGTAAGAAACTTCGTATTTTGCTGCATTGAATATCATAAATTGAAAATTGTATTGAATTGACATGAAATGGAACACAAACAAATAGGTTGACATTCAATCTGGTGGGTGAATTGCAGCATTTACCTTTTCAGTCAAATCAAGTGCTCCACTGATAATTGTCGTCTCATCATGTGTTAGCTCACCACCTTTCCCAGCCTAAAAACAAGCAAATTCAACATATATGAATCAAACACATGGACCGGACAGTTGAGTAGCTTCATTAATCTTGACATGACTTATTCTGTTACTTGAATAAAAAATCAGCAAGTCATACCTCCTGGCTGTGAATGGAGACAAGAGCTTTTAACTGAGCTCGCCTAAATAAAGCCTCGTTATGTCCCAATAGGTAATCCAGAACCTGGAACAGAAATTAGTGAGAAGAAAAAACAACTTTGGGCATCATGGTTAAAATAAAATACATCATCTATACAAGAGAAAAGCTGGAGCTTAACACTCTCAGATGTAAAGAGCTACAATAGCCAAGAGATTGACAAGGGTCTCAGCCCTAAAAGCAGGCCAATAATGTTTCTCATTTTCTATTGCTAACACATGATAGTATTCTTTTAAACTAGGAAAAACAGATATAACTGAATCAACAAACAACTTTAAAAGGACCTTAATTTGTACACGTATCATAATCAAGATAACATTTGCATTCTGATGAATCATGGAAACATCTTGAAATGATATGCTATTAGTTTCCATTTCTTTGTTCTCTTCTCAATTTTATTATGTTGGTTATCAAAAGAATGCAAAGGAACAACTTCCACATGAGAATATACCTTTCCAACTGGATAAGAAACTGGGTAACAGACAATCATTAAAATCCGAACAAGCCATGCACAGTTGGCACCTACAGCAAGACCATATCTACTACAAATTGCTTGAGGAATAACCTGAAATCAAATAGGAAAATTAGTTTTTCATAAAAGGAACTTCATAATGTTCATTGGGCTCAAAAGTTGAGGATAAACCCCTGAACAACAGAGATAGAAAAACAACATACCTCCCCGAAAAACAGAACGAAAGTTACAGAAAGAATGATAGCAACAAATTGATTGAAGAGTTTATCTAGGTATATGGGAAGAGCCTGCAGATTGCAAGTTTCAAAGCCAATGGCTGTGAAAAGTTAGGCAGGGTTTAAGAATCAGTATGAAGTATACACACAATCCATATCAAGCATAAAAAAGCAGACTCGACAACAAAAACTAAATTACCTCCATGGCAACAGCATTACAGAGAAGCAGAGTGACAAGAAGCTGGTGTTGTTTTTTAACCACAGGAAGTATGACCGCTGCATACACAAACACAAACACAAACTGTTAATCCTGTATTGAAAGAAGCATGGTCATACCTACATACATGAAAAATGCTAAAAATACACCTTCTAACATACTCTTTTTAATACATTTTTAGTCATTAGCTACAATTTATTAAAACAAACTTAAGTCTCACTCTTAATTTAATGATTTTTGCTTTAAGTTTTGTAATTTTCAATTAATTTTAGCTAAGAATTGAGTGTGTGTTAAAGAAATGCGTTAGAAAATATATTCCAAACACTCCTCTGCATGCACACATACACAGGTATATACATAATTAAGAAGGAAGCAGTACCAGCTTGCATTTTCTCAGAAGGAGAACCACTGCGCTCAAGAATCTCGAGGTCGACGAGGCCGAGAGACATGAGACCGAGGGTGAGACCAGACATGATGCCGGCGAAGAGGACAAGTAAACAGGAGATGCCAGCATAGACGAACCACCACACCGATCCGAAAGGTATGCTTTCGTTGCCGAGGAGAGGGACCGAGTGATCCCGAGTCAACATCCGAGTCACCATTAACGCACTCACCAACTGCATCATTCCGATTCCTATTCAGATTCGTTACCTTTCTCGTCAATCGTCACGTGCTCTGCTCTTAATTATGCTTGGATGACGATCGAGGTTGAACGGTGATCGAATCCAGAGTTAGCCAATCATACACGCCGCACCCCTTTCTAATTCTTCATAAGTTATTCCACCATTCTATTTTCCCCTTTCTCACAACTTCAACACACAATAAATGTTATCTTTGAACGACTGTTTCCTACTCTATTATCAAGATTTAAATAAACGGTTTCTTAACTTCATTTTTTAACTTAAGTTTAAATAATTTAAGTTATAATTTTATAAAAAATTATTTATTATTTTTAATAAAAGATGATAAAATGGATAAATCTATGTGTGTCTTGACAACTGGTCGACTACATCCAGCGGTAAATAAGAAAGGATTGTGCAATTAAGGTATAAAAAATTTGCTATGTATTGACTCATTGAGTGGCAGAGAATATAATCTGGCATTTAAGCCGAAAAGCACGATCAGATATAAAGCTCCAAAAGAGTTCATTTTTTCGCAAAGGTACTGTACTGGAGATACCAACCTATACCTAGTAAGGACTTCACTAAAAACCAAACCATATTAACTCAAATTGGCCGGTTGTGATTCATTCATTGGTCACGCAAAACTCCAAAATGAATTGTTAAATTCTGACTTTTTGAGAAACAAAAATAGTTTTTTGCACCATTAAAAGGTAACTTACAGGTGTTTTTTATATACAATTGAGAGCATTTTTAAAATACGTATATATGAAAAAATCAATTAAAAAGACTACTAGTAAATTAATCACATAAAATATTAATTTTTAATGATTTAAATAAGTAAAAACGTAAGGTGTCTAAATCTAATTTATAAAGCTTTTTATCCTTGCTCCCCCAAATCCAAAATTAGCAAACGCCACCAATCTAGATTTTTTTAAGCTAAGATTTGAAACAACACGCAAAACATTTTCCAATACAAACAGACAAAAATTGGCACTAGTTTGTGGTCTTTACAGATTAGACAGCTATAATGCGGAGATAGAGACAAATAGAAAGACATGATAAAGGTGAAAATTCAAATCGAGTGGAGGTGTTCTTTATTTGTCTAAAAGCGCTGAAATGGTTCCCCAACTGTAATACACTTTGTAGTTGTACATGATCAATTCTCCAGTACTGCATCAGCATCCTTCACCTTTTACATTCTGAACGTATTTGGTTCCTTCTCAATTACTCATCACAACTTTTATTTACACACTCCCAAAACCAGCAGTGCTAAAATGGAGGAGCTCATATGATTAAAATTTGTAGGGTGTTGTCCCCTTCGATCTTTTTGATGATCCGGGCTTTGCAATTGTAACATAAATAAACCTGCCATCAAAAAACTACACCACAAAACCATCTCCCTGGTCAATTAACATTTTATTAGCATGGAGATTCATATCCTACCTCTTGTAATTGGAAATTAAAGCTATTAAAAGTCATGCACACCTTTCCATTCATCTCTTTCACAGCCAATTGTGCACACTCTTCCTTGGCAAACCAAATATATGCAAATCCTAAAGACTGCCCACTTTCTCTATCTATCGGAAGCTGGACTGCCATAAGATTAAACAGCCAAGCATTAAAGGCACATAAGAGAATCCAGAAGTTGAAAAATTGAAACATTACTTTTCTAGCAAGTAAACCCCCCCAAGCATGCCCAAAAAGGATTTAGTATTACCTAGATTGACTTCGCCAAACTCTGAAAACACCTTCATCAAACGTCCTTTGGAGGTTGAGAGAGGAAGCCCTGCATTGGCCCATCATGAAGACTTCAGTATAATGACTTATCACTGCAAATGAAAATGGAGAATTTATTAAGACTAAAGTTGCAGGTAAAAGAGCGGAATGGGACCAATGATTTCTAATCATTCATAAAGATCACTTTTATTAGACAATTGGTGACAACTTCTGCAGAAAATTTATAGCACACCGAAATAATACACAGTGCTGAACTAAAAGACACTGCCGTGGATAGTCTCTAGAAAAATTATGAAATGCCAGTATGCAGCATTGCAATCCTAAGATTCTAATAGAGATGTCAAAAATGGGTCAATCATGAATAAACCAATAAAATGTGTGCACTAGGCTAACAAAATTCAGGACTGATAGCTTGATCCAGCTTGACCCAAGGTCAGGTTGGCCTAAAGTGGCCTGTCCCAAGATTTAACAACTATAATTCCTAAGCAATGAAACTATATTTCACATACAAGTTTCCTCTAAAGTGAGCTCGTTTATTAAAGAAAGAAGTTCCTCTAAAGTAAACTTGTCTCAGAGTGCTAATTAAATGTGTAATTATTGATGTAATTTAAAATACATCATGATCTTAGCCCCCTAAAATTTAAGGGTGGACAAATCTTTATGCATTCAACAGACAAACTCAGTTTAGAAGACCTTCAGCCTGTCTCTGAGAAAGTAAACTTACATCCACTCTCCGTTCAATTTAAAGTGCATCGTGATCTTAAACCTCTAAAATTCAACGTTGGATATATAACCTCACGTTAGATGAGATTTTTCCCCAATTTCACAAAAAAATGTATAAGTAATCAGCACGACAATGATAGAGAATTTTCAAGCAGACACACGTACCAGTACAAACCCTTTTAGGGGCATTAAGTTACCATCTTCATGCAAATTAAAAGTAACTAATAGCCTTTAACATTAGGTGCCTAGAACGAAAAAAAATGCAAAGCCTTTTTCTATTATACACACTGGTGTGTTCACTATAATTCGGAGACATAAGCACCTAGCACCTTAATGTTACCGTTTCAGCATTCAAACATTTTATTTGTCTCATTTCCCTAGCGTTTATCTTCCCAGCAAACGACAACGATGTAAATTTGAAGAGCAAGCTATTAGAAGACAAAATTAAAAGAGACCCATCATTGATTTGAAGGTGGTGAGAGCCAAAAATGTTACCTTTGATGAAGATTTTGGCTGAAGAAGGCAAATTGCATTCGACAGAAGAACTGGAGCAGGCTCTGCAGCAAAACAGTGCGTAGCGAAGAGAGGCAGAAAATGATGGTGAAGGAATGGTTGGACATTTTGTGAGCGAGTTCGATGGTTTCCAAGTTCCGATGCGCCGAACCGACACAAACTGAGGTGAACATGTCGTGAGTACTGCGACTAGCTGTGCCATCGGATTTCGAAACACTCGTGTTCATGTGATGACACAGAACAAAACTAAGCAACTTCCACCGCCAAATTCCTAAGTAGCTTATGGATATGACCCATGTAAGAGACCAGCCTATTCTTTGGGCCAGTCCCGAGTGAGAGGCCCAAATATATTGTTCTTGGATGTTACGGGCCCAGAGAGCAGTAACCGTGCTCTAAAAAAGTCTTTGACCCAAAGAAACTGTTTTTCCCGAAAATTCTCTCTTTTGTGTCTTTTTTTTTTTTCCTTTTGTATTCTTTCTTAGTTTTCAACCAAGTATGACTCATTTTGCCCAATTTTCATTCCTCTAACATGAAAAAAAAAGAAAAAGAAATGCTCAAGCCACCTTATTATAAATTGAGAAAGTGAATATTGAATTTAAGAATGAGTAAACTTACAATGTTTTTTACTTCCAGAAATAGAAGTATTTTTAAGGGTTGATTGGGTTATTTTTTTATTTTATTTGATGTGTTTATATTAATAATGACAAAAATGCCACGTTAATTATTTTATTTATGTTTAAAAAAAATAGAGGGAGATCAACTTACAATGGCGCAAATGAGACTCATTTTTACATCATTTCATATGTTTTTATTGAATAATTAATCATAGAATCAAACATCAGATTAAAAGTTCATATCATATACAAGTCATGTTTGTAAAAATTAAATTAATCTAAAATTATTGTGTATCTTATTTATTCACATAAAAAACTAATGTGATATTTCATTTTAAGCCTAACGAAGACATATAAGTGGATGAGAAACAAACACATGCAAAAGATATTTCATTTTAAAAAAATGAGCACTCGATATTATACAAAATTAGAAGATAGATTTTCTTATAATGATATATACTTTAGATATTTCCTAGCATCTTATACATTATAAATATAAGGGAAATGTGAAAAATATAATTTTAAAAACTAAGATAAATTCAAATTAATCGAAATAATGTTAATTTACAAATAATATAAAAGTTGAAAGTGTGTGGAGCTTTTAATTTTAGAAAATTTTAAAAAATATTTCAATCAATGATAATATTTTATTGATGATTTATAAATATCTCTTTATACTTAACTCTAGTAAGAGAAAAATAAGTATTAACCAATTAAATAAATTAAGGCAATAATTTTTCTTTAATTGAATAATTAATTTTTATTAAAAACTATATAACATATTAGTTAAGAAATATTTGATATATTTAATAAATATTTATATTAATTTAAAAATATTGAATGATTTAAGTTTTTTTACTTAATAGAATAAATTCATTTTTTCATTAAATACTACATACTTTTGCTGGATTCGAATCCTCTCCAATTTAAATTCGTTTAAGTAAAATAAAATTTGTTTAAACAAATTTAGTAAAATGTGAGTTTGGCTTAAGTTAAAATTGTAAAAAATTTTAAAGTTTTATCTTTTTCATTTCTAAATTGTAAAAAATTTGAAGAATTTTTGTTTCTCACCAATGACTATCTAGTTATTAAAGACTCTTACATATTTCATTCTACCAAATATTTCAAATGTATTGTCTAGTATACTATTTATACTAAACATTAGTAAGGTAGAATCAAGTTAAATTGCTGAGAATGATGATAAGGATTATAGAAATGATAACTTTAAAAAATTTGTTGAAAAATAGTTATATTATTACATGTTTTGAAACACTTAAGCTTTTGTTATATGACCATAAAGTGTGACCACATGATCTTGCACAAATTTTTATCAACTTTTCTACAGTTTAAAGAGAAAAAAGATAAAGTTTTAAAATTTTTGATAATTTTAGCTTAAGTCAAAAAATTAGTTTAAACAAAAATTAATTTTTGACTAAATTCACTTAAATGGATTTTTTAGGTTTAAGTTAATATAACTTTTTGCTAAATTTGCTTAAGTAAATTTTGTTTTACTTAAACAAATTTAAACTGTAGGTTGCATTTTCCTTAAAAAATACAAAGGATCCAATTCACTTTTACTTTAGTCATGGGCATGCCAAAAGTACTCGTTAGCCTCATTTAACAATTACAATTTTATTAACTTCTTAAGGGTTTGTTTTAAGAACTAAAAAGTAATATTTCTTATTAAAAAGTATTTATTATATTTTACATATTCAATGTAATAAATACTTTCATTTTTAATAAAAAATTATTATTATTTTAATATTTAAATTTAGTTTTAAAAATTGAGATCAACAAAATTAATATTTAAATATATAAATATTAACTTGATTTAATATTAAAAAAAATGATTACATGGGAATAAAGGCGGATAGGTTATATCATTTTAAGAATAAAAATTAAAATTTATCATATAAGATTTGATAAATCTTATTGTATATTATTTTTCTTTCATGTCATGACTTCTTTTTATGTTTGGGTAGACCATCGTTTTTAAGAACACGATCGAATCCATCATGTTTAATTAATCAGTTCACATGCGCAGCTAGGTACGGCCGGAACATAATAGCAAAATTAACGATAAACATCAAATCTTTCTCCAATCATATCGAAAGCCTCAAAGGTAGTTAGCGTGAGGAAGATTGACTCATCCCACGATTTAATCCGATAAAAGTTCTAAAAGGAATGTCATATGAATGTATGCATCTTGTTTTGAAGGCTTCAAAGATTCTTATCTTGTCTTGGAGTAGATATAGATTACTTAGAGTATGCAAAAGGCAAATAAGAGAGAGACTTGAACAGTACATGGTTTGCACCTTCATTATCGTTTTCACGTTTCAATTATATATATATATAGGAACGCAAATCTAAGATAATATTTGGAGACACGATGAGTGTCCAATATCTGATAGACCCCAGAAGATTTGCAAAGAAATCCAATCTCGAAATGATCAGAGCAAGAATCTAAGTGAAAGATATACGCAGGAATAGCACTAGATCTACCTAAAGATAACATGACAAACATTTTTATAGCGAAAAAATTGACGTAACAAGTCTAACTCCAAGCTTATATAATAGTCATTAAAGATTCCAATGCCCAACCTCCAAAACCGTGTGTAGCTAGTTAGCTACGCGTTTCTTAGTTGTAAAGCAGCTAATTATATTAACGTGGACCGTATGGGACAATCACCCACTCCTATCCTGCTAAGGACGCATGCTACGAAGAAGACCCCAGCAACATTCTTCACATTAACTTAGCCACTAGAATTCGGAACAGACAAAGTAGTGATGCCCCAAAGCGTAATAGATAACTTCCTTCAAGGGACGAATCGGGTAGAGTCACGTATCAAAACTTTGAATACACAATAAAAATTTATATATATATATATATTTGTTTTATTAGAAATAATAATAATAATATCAATTTTATTTTTAACATCAAAAAAATTTAACAATTTTTCAAAATTGGCAGCTCTTACAACACTTTATGAAGCCTTGATTTCTTTGACTTGGCCAGCATGCACACGTGCATCTTGCTTGTAGTTATTTGATGAAAAGGAGTGGGTATTTGTATGTATATATATATATATATATGAAAAGCATGCATTGCACCGAAGCTACAAAATGCCGGCACCGTCGCCTTTTCATCATCATATACACATCTTCCCTATTGATTAAGATTTTGCTCACAAACAAATCCTGCTTTCTATCTACGGCTCCCTGATTGGATCCACGTGCTCAAAAATACACTCAAAGTATCACGTCATGGATAATGGCTATCGTACGTGTAGTCAAATATTAAGATAGCACCAGCTTAACCAGTACATGGATATATGTTTAATTAAACTGGTGATATATTTTCTCAAATTATTCTATCTAATAATTGTATTATCAACATTCAAGTTAATTATGTAATATTTATATTGGAGGATACATGAAAAGTGACTGATTATGTATACAAAGTTATGTTTACAATATGATTTATAATCTTTAAACAGATTAATTATATCATTGATTTATCAATTTTTTTACATTGTTAGTAGATATCTTTAAATTCCTTAATTCACTTGAACAACTTTTTAAATAGACTTTAAATGAATTTTATCATTCTAATATCCAAGGGCGTGTTTAAAAAACAGTGTAACTAAATACTTATTCGATAAATTAATATGAGAATTTAAATACTTATTTTATAAATTATTATTATTATATAAAAATTAGTTATAAATTTAATCATAAAAATTGTTAGAGAAAATTAAGAAAAAAATTAATTCTATATATATATATATCTTGAGTAGAAGGCACGAATTGATCATACAACAAGGTTTCCACTAACAAAAGTAATGATGTTATCCTTTTTAAAATCAATTATATATAAATTAGGAGGAATTAGATTTTCTGAGGTTGTAGGGGGGGAAAAACTTCAATTGTACAGTTCTAAATTTCATCATTCATTTCTAATAAAATTTTAAGTTTGCTTTATTACATAATTGAACTGTTTTAAAGCATAAGATCATGTACAAAAAGAAAAAGAAAAAAGATACTGCATGTGACGATTTCAATATGGTGTAGGCGACACCAAAACTTGGATTCTAAAAAATATTTAATAAATGTTAATTAATATATTTATACATGTATTAAAAAATTGTTTAAGAGTGGTAACTAGCATTTCTTGACATATTTTATCTTGTGATTTGGTGTAGAGTGAATTCGGGTTTTTAATTAGAACTTCCTTTTAAATATATATTAGGTTAGCATATGGCAAAGTTATCAAATCTTTGATTTTTGTATATTTATATAGTACATTTTTTACATTTTTTTAAATTTATCTCATTTTATTATATTACATATTTTACTTCTCACATAATTGTCATAAGTACATTTCACTCATTTTTTATCTCTCTTTTTTATTTTTTTCCTTTTTTATGTAATTTTTTACATCTCGTATTTTCTTATTTCTTTCTCTTTTTATTTTTTTCCCCCTTCTACTCATCGTACATCCCATACAAGATGTGAAAACAACATTATGAATTATTATTAACAGAAGAACCTTTGATCCTTTTTCTGTCGTCTATCATTAAATTATTGGTTGTACTATTAATTGGACACCAATTTGATGACCATTTTA